TGCACCATTACTAGGTTAGCGAGCTGCTTTGGATGGAATACTTCTATGATGAAGCCGACCTTGAGGAGCTTGTTGAACTCTTCTCAGATAGCCTCTTTTCTATCCTAGTCGAATTTACGCAGCATTTGCTTGACTGACTTTGCATTGGAATGCAAAGACGAAGAAAAAAAATCTAATCACCTCCTCAATTTGATCATCTCAATACAAGCAAGCAATGAATGTGATTGAGGGGCTTGATTGTAGAGGATTTAAAATAAACCAAATTTAGAGAACCAAGAGGTGTTAATTAATGTATGTATGCATGCACGTCTTATATTATGATATATGAGAAAAATGGTTGCCTTATATTTTGGGATGAAGAGAGTAGGGGTGGAAAAAAAACTCGAGGAGAGCTCGGCTTGGGCTTGGTTTGGGCTCGCATAGCTCGGCTCGGTCGAAAGCCAAACGAGCCAAGCCCAAGCCTCTTTCCTAGCTCATCCTATATACTTATATAGTTCATCCCCACTAAGTGTAGTCAATGCTATTTCTCTCTTCTCTCATTAAGCCACATCACCCTAATTATTTCTAACCTTTGGATGATAGATCTATGATCCAAATTGTCTCTTCTTTTTTCTCTCTTAAAAACATACAATCTCAATTACTTTTAGGCTCAAAAATGTATCAAATTGTTTTAGTTCTGTACATATTATGCAACTTAATTTTTCACAGCAACGCGACGGGGTATTCATCTAGTTTCTAAAACGAGCCAAGCCTGAGCTGTCTCACGAGCCACTCGCGAGCTCATTTGGCTCAGTATAATAGGGTCATATACAATAATTTTGCATCTTTTCAAGATATTTATTAGGTTATGAAGTTGCGCATCTGCGCGACTTTAACCATTTTGTTATGTGCTTTGTGAAGATAAGATATATACAGAAAAGAGCATTTAGAATATTCAGTGATATACACTCAAATTGGAAATGACATTTGTTTGCATGCCTTAGTTACTGTAATTGAAGAAGATATTACTCCAGTAAATAAATTTGGGACTGCTTTTAGTGTCAATCAAAAGCAGATGAGCTAACTTGTTTTGCTTTAATTTGATCCCTCGGCACAATTAATGGTTCTAGCTGAAAAAGTGGTCATGAATACATCACATAAGCATGGTCTTAACCATGTTTAGAATTTCGTCACTACTATATCTGTCGCCCTGTGTGGACATTCGTACTCTCCTACCTCAACACACGCTGTAGTCTGCTGCCCTGCGTGACAGGTTAACAGAAAGTCAAATTCCATATATAAAATGCTTTTGATTCAAATATGCGCAAATTTTATGCAAGCCAAACCATCTCTTATGATAGTTTCCCCCTAATTTTTTCCAGTAAACCAAATCACGCTGACTGGCTCATCTTATTTCCTTGTCATCATTCATTCAAAGTAGTTTCCCCTATCCTTCTTTGAGATGTCATACAGGCAAACATAATATAACAGTGATTGTCTTACCGGCATATTTTTAAAAATAGATCTGATATTTACCGGTATCCCAATAGCCCAGGATTTGGCCGGCCACAACAATAACAGCTTTATTCACAATGCTGTATCATCTTTTGCATCATCCTCAAATCGAGGGGAGGTAGGCACTGAGCAACCATTCTGCAATAGACGATTTGGTAAGCAATCCATCTTCTAGAAGATGTTAAACTGGAGGAAAGGCTGGCAAAATTTTCCTGGCCATCAATGAAGGGATCAGCTATCTTGAGCGTCTCCACGCCAAGAACGGAGCAACCAATGGCTGAATGCCTGAATCTTCATCAGAATCAAGTGATCGATCACTCATCAGCGAAGATAGGGAGGCAAGACACATCGATCGCTGTTGGTTAGAAAATCCAATTTTATGTGACTGGATGATACCCTCGAGGGGCACGCCGTCGTCTGCAACGCCATCATTGCGGCAGGAAGTGACGGGGTGGCAAGGAGCAGGTAGGGGTTGACGCTGCCATGGCGGCATGCAAGGTGGCTTGGAAGGGTAGCCTCCGTGCGGAGACGGAGCCGTCGACGACCTGCCTCACCAGTAGCATCGTTGCATCGTTTCCTCCTCCCTCTCCTCTCTGTTGGGTGGTGGGGTTGTTCGTGACGAACACCCACGGTGGCTGTATTCGATGGCCAGATTTGATGCCTCCAACTCTCCATGATCCTGTGGGAGGACAACCGTCGATGGGGAAGAGGATAGGGAGGCAGCAGTCGAAACGGAGGCGGCGGCGGCACAGGGCCGGCCCTAGGGGGGTCAGGCCGTGCGGCCGCCCGAGGCTCCCAAAATCTAGGGGCCCCCTACACACATATAGTGTATATATACTACATATTGTATAATTTTAATCTATGGGCCATGTGCCTATATTAAGTTAGACAGCTGAATAGCCCAATTCAGAAAATGAATTTTAGTCCATCGCCAGGCATGTTTCAGTGAAGCCGAAGAGATATTCATCTGACTCCCGTCGCTTCGTCTCGATCACATCACGCCACTCGCGTCGCGCCGCCTCGATCACATCACACTACTCGCTGCTCTTGCGCTCGCGGCGACTTCTCAGTCTCGTAAATGAAAACAGCAAGTGGACACAGCAAATCGTAGCTCGCCAGTAGCCACGCTCGTGTCAATAAGGGCCTCCATATAAGTTTTTGCCCTGAGGCCCCAAAACCCCAGTACCGGCCCTGCAGCGGCGGCAACGGACGGGCGGTCCACACGGATGGACGCATCGCGGCGCCGCCGCGTGCGGTGAAGATGGGGAAGCGACAATTTTTTTTCTCGTACGAACGTGGAGGTGGAGGGACCTGTGTGCAAAAAAAACTTCTTAAAGGATCGAGAAGATATTTCACGAATCAAGCAATGTGACGGCCAGTAGCGTCCAAATGTAGAATCTGACGGCTTATGTTTACTGAATGGCGTGGCGCTACAATTTTACATTTTGGGGGTTCAACTTTCATATATTAAGATTTGTTGAAAATGATAATCTTGATTACCATGTTGTCTATTCATGTGTTAGGATGACATATTGAAGAAAAAATCACTTTACTACACATTCTATGTGTTAAAATGTTGCTCGATTTCTCCTTGACCTGCTTCAGGTTTACTTGTTGCTAGGGCTTGCGAGACAGCTTGATCTGGCTCGAGCCTATTAACAAGCCATGACGTCCAGGGCGCGAAAACAGTATTAGATCCATCTCATTTAGTTGGACCACACTTACACTATTAACTCTCTTACGTTTTTGTCCTCGCTTTCACGAAAAAGTTCGAACCGGAAATCAGACTCCCATCCTTATAAGCTGGTGCTGCTCTAGCTGAACTAGCGATCCGAGCCAAGCTGAGTTTTCCTTCCACCAAACTTCCACGAGAACTGATATTCAATTTGGAAGAATGCATTATGCATTAGTATTGAGAATTGATGGATGTCTGACATAAGCTTAGCAAGCTTCGATATTTGTGGATGTATTGATGTACATGTTATGGTACGTGGTTAATGTTCATTTACTATTTCAAGTTGCAATGTGAATTGTATTATGTTTATATATATTTTTTGTCCTTAAGTCAATTTTTCTGACGGTGTGAACATTTTTTCCCTGTCGGTTAGCACGTCAGAAATTTATCTCACAAACTTGATGACCGTGGATTTTTCTATGTTGCATCCACAGGAAAAAGCCGTCGGAGATGATTTTTCTGTAGGAAAACCCATAGGAAAATTGATTTTTCCGTGGACCGTTTTATCTGTTGGCGATTCCTGTCGTCCATCCACAAAAAATAATTTCTGATGTTAAAACGAATTTTCCTGTGGGTTTCGCGCCCACAGGATAGCTGCCAAGTCTGCTAGTGATCGCATTATCTATCAAAATCATCTGCTATAATTTTCAACCTTGGCCTCGATCTTGAGTTAGTTTCACTGTTTCTTCTTCCTGATTATATTCGTTTATTCCACTGTCGATTTCTAACAACAATACGTGATGACGCATCGACGAGTGCCGTCTTGGAACCCAATCATCTATAGTTCGATTGCGCAGCGGAAGAAAATTCAATGTGACGTGGCCTCAAAACTCGCATCTCCTAGTACGTGCTACCTGCCACAGCCCCCTCTTGGCCTCTTTAGAATTTTTCTGATGCATTAAAAAAATTTCTTTTGCAGCGCAGTCAGTGTGGGCCTATCAGATTTTGACGACTTTAACTAGTCTTTAAAAAAGGGCGAGGAAGGGGACAGCAGTGTTCCATACTTATGTATGAAGAAGGATAGAGAGTATGAAGAAGGGAAAGCGTTTTCATGCCTAAAGAAAGTATCTACTCATTTCTGGTATATTACTTGAATAGTTATAAAAAAATGATATTATAGATTAATATGACATATCATTATGCAAACATGTAATTTAAAATTCAACTTCTACAAATTATAACAAAAATAACAAATATAACCGTGAATTTACGTTAACTTGTTTTAGTTTTATTTATTGTTTTTGCTACAACATATGCAAGTCGAATTTGATCTTACATGTTTATGAAATGATATATATTATATTAATCTATCTTATTTTTTCTTATAAAAATTATTATTATTTAGCTGACATAAAAAAACAATGGGAATGTCCTTCCGTGGGATGAAAAACCATCTCCATGAAGAAAACTAATGCAAGGTTGTATGGCTATGTAGAAAGCTATTAGTACTACCACCCATCACCTAGCATAGTTACTTCTTCTGGGTTGATAATACTTTTTATCTTAGATAAGAGTGATATCATTTATCAAACTTTAAAATCTTTAACTATGGATAATTTCTAAAATATTTAGGTTAGAAATATGAAGACCATGTGCATAGATTATACTTGAATAAAATCATATATTTGTTAATATTTTTATATAAATTATGATAGAAAATAGTGGTCAAATTTATTTTTTTAAGACCGTATCCTTGTCCTAAACTATAAGTATTACCGTATTAACGGGAAGATGAAAGCTATAATGAAGGCACTAGCTTTATTGAGGAGAAATGAAGCCATTTGCAGGAATATCAGTCTCCTCGCTCGCTCCGTTGCTGCTGCTGCTCGTACTGCACCAACCCCACCAGCTTGAAGCGGAGAACCGCAACCTGACGGCCGGAAATTCTCTTAGGCCTCCGGAGTACATCACCAGCCCGTCCGGCGACTTCGCCTTTGGCTTCCGCGCCTTGGACTCCGGCGGCCCGGACAGCTTGTTGTTCCTCCTCGCCGTATGGTTCAACGACAACACGGCTGCGGCCGACCCCGTGCAGCAGAAGGCGGCGGTGGTATGGCACGCGACGGATCCGGACGGATCTGGATCGGCGGTGACAGCCACGACACAATCCGTGTTCAGCGTCAACTTCGGCCAACTCTCCCTCGCCAACAACGGCAGCAGAAACATATGGACGAACGTGAACCCGGCCCAGCCGAACGGATTTGTGCTCGTGCTGCTGGACTCGGGCAACCTCCAGTTCCTCACCGGCGGCGACAACTCCGTGGTGTGGGAGAGCTTCCGGCACCCGACCGACACGCTCCTTCCTGGTCAATCCATGGGAGCTGGAGAAAACCTTCGGTCCAAGCGCACGGATGCGGATTTCTCCGCTGGCCGCTTCGGCCTCTTTGTGCAGGCCGACGGCAACATCGTCCTGTACATCGGCGGCCATGCCGACTCGAGCAGAGCGTACTGGGCAACCCGGACCCAACAGCCCAGCAACACCCAAGACGGCAACACGACTCTTTTTTTCGCTTCCACGGGGAGTATCTACTACCAGATCAAGAATGGCTCGTTGTACGACCTGACACCTCCCATGGCGAGCTCCACCGCCGGCGGCAGCTACCGGCGCGCGACGCTCGACCCGGACGGCGTCGTCCGCGTGTACATCCGCCCGAGGAGCTCCGCCAACGCGTCGTGGACCGTCGCCGATCTGTTCCCAGCCGTAGGTTGTGGCATGTCAACCCGTGCCTTGGACGGCTTCTGCGGCCCCAACTCGTACTGCGTCGTGTCCGGCGCCGACAGCAGGCTCGACTGTGCGTGCCCGAGCAACTACTCCTTCATCGACAAGAATATACGCTACGAGGGCTGCCGCCCAGCGTTCGCACCGCAGAGCTGTGACGTGGTGAACAGCTCCGCCGAATTCGAGATCACCAAGCTGCCCAACACCACTTGGACGACCTCACCGTACGTGATCTACGAACGCATGGCGGAGGAGCAGTGCGCCGACATTTGCTTGCGTGACTGCTTCTGCGTGGCGGCGCTGTTCGAGCCCGGCGCAACCCGCTGCACCAAGATGGCGTTGCTGGCGGGCTCCGGACGGCAAGAGAGAAGCGTCACGCAGAAAGCGTTGATCAAGGTTCGGACGAGCCGCAGTCCTCCGGCGCCGCCATCACGGGGAAGGGTACCGTTGCTGCCGTACATAATCCTCGGTTGCTTGGCGTTTCTGATCATATTGGCCGCCGCGACCAGTCTTCTGCTGCACTGGCACATGAGAAGAATTAACAACAACGACCATGACATTGTGAGACACTTCACCAAGAAGGAGCTCCACCGAGCCACCAATGGCTTTCAAAGGTTGCTAGGAAGAGGAGGCTTCGGGGAGGTCTACCATGGGGTGGCCAAGTCGCTACACCCACCTGACATCGCGGTGAAGAAGCTCGTCACCTCCAACGAGTACAGCGAGAGGGAGTTCGCGAACGAGGTGCAGTCCATCGGGCGGATTCACCACCGGAACCTGGTCCGCATGTTGGGATACTGTAAGGAGAGGGAGCAGCGGATGCTGGTATTCGAGTTCATGCCGGGCGGCTCCCTTCGGAGCTTCCTCTTCCAGACCCCACGGCCGCCGTGGAGCTGGCGTGCCGAGGCCGCACTCGGTATCGCCAAGGGGATCGAGTACCTACACGAAGGGTGCACCTTACCGATCATCCACTGCGATATCAAGCCCGACAACATATTGTTGGATGATAGGAACAATCCAAAGATTACCGACTTTGGGATCGCCAGGCTCCTCGGTGACCAGCAGATGTACACGACGGTGACCAATGTGAGAGGAACCAGAGGGTACATTGCCCCTGAGTGGTTCCACAGCGAGAGGCGCATCGACACCAAGGTGGACGTGTATAGCTTCGGCGTCGTGCTGCTGGAGATGATATGCTGCAGGAGGTGCCAAGACCCAGTAACCAGCCGTGGCGAGGGCGGTGACGATCATGACAACTCCGTGGTCACACTGTTTGGATGGGCAAGCCAGTTGGTCAACCATGGCAGAGTCGAGGTTATCCTGCATAGCGATGACGACGCTGTGGAGGATCTGGAGAGAGTGGAGCGGTTCGTTCGTGTGGCTTTCTTGTGTATCGAGACGAATCCGTCGCTTCGGCCGATGATGCATCAGGTGGTGCAGATGCTGGAGGGTGTGGTTGAGGTCCACGCGATGCCTCATCTTCCGAGCTCTATAGATACATTACCGTCCATCTCTAAGGATTCACGTACTCCCAGGTTCTTCTTCTCCAGTTGAACTCGATTTGATTTCTCACAAGAACGTACTGCAGCCTTCATCTCATGGCTTCACTTATTTCTGATACCATACCGTGACTAGTCTCAGCCTATGTGAACATAGAAGGCAAGCAAAAGCATACACTGTGTGAAATCTTACTACTTTGATATGCGCTTCATATTCTGTGTATTTAAGTTTGTTTTTTTTTTTGAGCATTTACGGTTTTATGGTGTGGTAAACAAGACACGTCGTTGTAATAAATAACAGCCGCATACATCAAACTAGATGATACCCATGCGTTGCTGTGGGAATTTGTGCATATAATTTGTATATGACTTTTTAAGATATATTAGTAAGGGCAATGAAAATATTGAACAAAATGTCAAGTAATGTTGATTGTAATACGGTAAATTATAGCATGTACTATTCGTATGATTTAAGTAAATGCATGCAGTAACAGAAAAACATGTAATTGTGTAATATTGTAAAGTATAAGACAGTAGTTGAAATGTAGGAGGGATACTAATTCCTATCTTTTTCTTTATAAAAAAATATGTTTGTTTGTGATGCTGCAAACCTGACTAAATTGTACGAAGATTGTTACTGTTTTTTTATCGGCCATTCATTGTTGATAGTTATACAACACAAATTGGACTTTCGGTTCTTTAATTGCATCCATGTATCTTCTTTGGATCTTCTCATGGAACTAGCATAGTAATCAACATCATCTAGTGTTTTGCCTGGAATCCTGAAGGAAATAGTTGTGGATATATATTGACATGTTGTGAAGTACAGAAGAAATAGGATACATTGCTGCAAATAAGGAAAATGTAACAGTAGTAAGTGCTGGCCATTATATTCCTAGGATTAAGACTGAGCATACTCAGTAGCTTTTCACCTTGCCTGGCCAAATTGATCGACCTTTTTCTATCAACTTGTGCCATGATAAGATTGCTTTTACTGCCACTTGCTAGAGAAACGGACGCAGAGTGAGGAGAATCGACGGAAGGGGGAAAAGGGAGGGGGGAGCGGGACGACGGCGCTTGGCTCCTGCCCTGCTATGCGCGTCAAACGTGGAAACGACCGGGGGAGCAGGAAGTGATATGTATCGTTTGGAAGTTGGGCTCACTTTGGCTTGGCCCGTTAGACGAAGACATCAGGCTTTCAGGTGTTAGCTGGACGGAAAAAGTACACCGAAGGTCCCTCAACATCGAGTTACAAAATCATCCTTCAACCACAAAACCAGATATATGACATTCTTCAACTTACAAAACCGTTCACTTTAGGTCCTCCGACGTGGCGGCTGAGTCAATGTAGGACCCGCGTGGACCCCATATGTCAGACTGTCCACGTCAGCCACTTCTTACCCTCCCCCCTCAACTCACTTCGTCTCTCCTCCCCTCTCCACGGACGGTGGCCGGTGGAGAGCAGCCAGGGCACGGCAGGATGGTGCGGCAGGCATGGTCGCCAGTGCAGAGGAGCACGTTGCGGTCGGGCGCCGCCATGGCCTGCCTTGTCTCCGCCGCGCCTTCGTCCCCGCTATGGCCTCCCTTGTCTCCTCGCCCCAAGGGTCGGCAGCGAGCACGACGTCCGCGACGCGGTGTGCCCCATCAAAGGCCTCCCGGCCGACGAGATCGGCGGATGCAAGCGGGGAGGGGCGTTAGTGGCGGGACCATAGGGGCAGAGCGAAGGGGAGTTGGAGGTGAGCAGCGGTGGCGAGGCAGAGGAGGAGGACGCCACTCTGATTAAACTCCCATCTAGGGTGAGGAAGGAGCAGAAGACGAAGACGGCGGCAGCGGGAGGGAGGTGGGGATGGAGGCGGCGAGGAGGGAATTGGCCGGCCGACACGCTGTCGCCACCGCCGTCGTTGTCCTTCCTGCCCTTGCTCATCCGTGAGGCTGTCCCCAACGAGCCGCCGCTCCAGCCGTCCTCCCCCATCCCCGTACCAGGCCTAATTAAGCCGTCATTAGCACATGTGGGTTACTGTAGCACTTAAGGCTAATCATGGACTAATTAGGCTCAAACGATTCGTCTCGCGACTTACATGCAAACTGTGTAATTAGTTTTTGTTTTTATCTATATTTAATGCTCCATACATATGTTAAAAGATTTGATGTGATGTTTTTGGAAAAAAAAAATTTTGGAAACTAAACTGGGTCTCAGACCGTTGGGATTGGGACAAGACCGGTCAGATCGCCATTGCGCCGCCGGTCATATACTGGTAGTTAAGTTGTGGTCCGACCGGTCGTGGCCCAGTCAGACCTTCACATGACTAGTAGTCTGACAGGCCTTGGTGTAAGGCTCTGAATATTTCCAAATTTAACTCAAAATCGTTCTATATTGAGACTGATGCTAAATTTGGTTGCCGACAAATGCCGAGCGGTTAGGAGGTAGTGGGGAGACAACGAAGGTGAGGCAGGACAGGGGAGTCTCGTCGCCATGGGAGAACGACAAGACAGAGAAGAAGGTCAGCAAGGTTGCTCGAGAAAGAAGATGATCTGATGGTGGAGATAAAAGTGACTGACAATCCCACATTCCCACTGGGTGAAGGCGGTCTTGCAGCCCTCTGAAGTTACGGGAGAATTGTTCAGTTATCTCCGTTTGGTCCAATGCGTTGTTCATTGGGTTGCCATGAGTCAAACAACTGAACAAGGTGAAAGCGTATTTAACTGTAGAATCTGATAGCAAAGATGTGTACATATAATTTGAAGAGGTAGAAACTCAAAAGGGAAAAGCAAAAAAAAAAAAGGAAAACTAATAAAATGTATGATCACGATCAATGAAAAAAAGACACAGGGCAGTACTTAGGACTTGTAGCACAAACCGAGGAACAACTACTAAGATTGGAGAAAATATATAAATAATAAACCAAATTGTGCCCAGTGATCAGCCTGGTATGTTCTTCAACTGCCTGAGTTGTACATAGGTTGGTTCTATTTAAAAGATGAGTTCTGCCCACTGTGATCTCCATGAAGCTCTCCAATCATGCAAGGAGTATAAACAAATGACTCATATATACCATTTGTATAGTTTCGGTAGTAACACTTTGGGCGTGAGTAGCCCAGATATTGGACCTTCGAGCTATCCAAATGATAGGCTACTGTTCTGAATGTTTCATCCAAGAAAATAGCTTCCTTATAAGGATGAAATCCAAGAATATCTAAGTGTGCATAATCATGTACTGATTACTTGGTACTTGTCATTTGACAGTGAAAACCTGAAAAAGAAAAGATGAGTCAATTTACAACATATAAGTAATTCATATGATATCTTACAAGTTATTAAAATATTCAGCGTATAGAATAACGTGAGCATAAACAAGGATAATAAACACATCCAACTTGTATGTGCAGTAGTAGCAGTACTGAAGCTAAATTTGCTAATCATTAAGCTTCCATAGCATAGCATTTGTGTCCTTTACTGAAAATTATGAACACTACCTGATTTTGGTTGCAACTGAAATAACTTCTGTAAGAGTGCTAGCAGGTTTCAAATTTCGAAAGAAGGGTTTCTGCCGGAGGGGAGCGAAATAACCGAAATTTCGGATTTTTTTCTCGTACCAAAATATATACTCTCACCGTCCCAAAATATAACATGCTAGAGCTTAGATGGGATCCTACGAATCTAGACAGGCTCTGATACATCTAATCCGGTCCTAAGTTGCTGAAGATGGATTAGAATCTCTCTAGTGGACATCCTAAGTTGCTATATATTTTAGGATCAGTAAATGAACCAAATGTGAAATAAGAAACGAGGGCCCAAGGCGTGATCTGCTGGCGATGAACTTACCTGGTAACAGAAGTACCACGAGAATGCACATACAGTGCTCCCTGCCAGGACACGCTGTACCGGTGTACCCTTGGCGAGGGCCTTCAAGAGGACACTCCCATGGTTCCATGTCATCCACCGTCGTCGTCGCCGCCGCCGTCTCACCGCCTTCCCTGACGAAGGCCCTCTCCTCCCACCGCCCGCTCCTCGACGAGAACACGTACACCTTGTACGGCGACGGCGGCCATTCCATCAAACGGTACAGGTCAGCATCACCCATGGAGGACGCCGGTGGAGATGGTGGCGGCGGCGGCTCCACCTCCTCCATAGTCCAGCAGGCGCCGTCCAGCGATGCGAGCAGCGAATCCAGGCAGAACGGCGGCGCGGTGATTGCTTTCGCCTTCTGCTTTGGTGGTGGCGGCGGGGGCTTCTCCGGCAAGCCGGGGATCAAGAACACCTCGTAGTGCGGCGGCGACGCGGCCGCCGGATCGAACGCGAGGTACGCGCCGCCGGTGCCGTAGCGGATCGGCTTCGGCGACTCCGGGCATCGGGGCAGCGTCGCCCACCGCCGCGTCGCCGGGTTGCAGACGCAGAGACGATTCCCCCACTCGACGGCGCAGAGGAGGAGGCCGTCGCAGTGGTCCATGACGTGCCACCAGTCCATGTCGCCCTTGGGCGGCACCGAGGAGAGGTTGCCGTCGATATCCCCCCCGCCGCTCGACGCCGCCGGCGAGGAGGAGGACCGGGATCGGGACCGGGATCGGCGGCGGGAGAAGAGGTGGGGGCGGTCGTGGTCGATGTAGTTGATGAGGACGCCGTGCACCGAGTGGGGCAGGAGGCGCGGGAGGAGCAGCGCGCGGCCGTCGACGAGGTCGCGCCACGGCTTGCAGACGCAACGCGCCGCGGCGAGGCTGCGTGGCGGCAGGCGGCGGAGGATGTCGGCGAGGGCGTCGTCCGGCACCGGCAGCGCCATGGGGGATCGATCGATCGATCGATGGGTACGAGCTGCCGCAGTTGATCGATCGATGGGTACTTTTTTTTTTATCGTTCTTGTTAAGCAGCATGATCAGATCACTCAGACTCAGCATAGTTAATGGGCCCAGGCCCACAATATAAAAAAAAAAGAGGAAAATGTCTCTCGGCTTCTTCGGTCCAATGTAATTGATGTGTCCACTGGCTCATGAAATGTCGCTGATAGGTGACCATGCTGCAATTTTTTACTTAAGGTGAAAACTTGAAAACCGATGGTCACCGGCGAGCCCTTCGCCACCGGCATATGGCGTCGTTGACGAGGCCGAGCCCGGCTTCGTCCGCGCGGATCTTGCTCTCGTCCGCCGGCTCGACGCTCTGCACGCCGCCGGCCGGGCAGCTCACCCTGACGCCGTTCTGCGGGCAGGCGCCGCACCCGTTGGCCACGGTCACCTCGTACTCCGGCAGCCCCTCCACCACCTTCCCTGTCCTCGCCGCCGTGACGGTGATGCCCGACAGCTTGCCGTCGCCGGCGGCGGTGGCGGCGTTGCCCGAGCGTGCTGCGTGACAGCTAATGACGATGGCAGCGGCGGCGAGGAAGAACTAAGAAGAAGACGGTGGCATTTGCCATGCATGCCATTTCTGTTTTGCTTCTGATTTGATTTTCGTTTGATTTGGAGTGGAAGAAGAGGATTATATGTGGGTGAGAGGATTGATCATTGATGTGTCTGAGGAGAAGAAGATAGAGGAGATTGGAAAGATACACAAAACGAGACGAGCCATTAGCGTATGATTAATTGAGTACTGCCGTCCCATAATATAAAGGATTTTAATTTTTTATTGTTTTGTTTGATCATTCGTCTTATTCAAAAAAATTTGGAATAATTATTTATTTTATCTGTGACTTACTGTATTATCTAAAGTACTTTAAACACAACTTTTCGTTTTTTATATTTGCATAAATTTTGTGAATAAGACAAGTGGTCAAACAGTACCAGCAAAAAGTCAAAAACCCTTATATTATAGGACGGAGGAAGTATTAACTATTTTAAACTTCAAAAATAGATTAATATGATTTTTTAAATTAACTTTCTATAGAAAATTTTTACAAAAAACACATATTTTAGTAGTTCGGGAAACGTGCACGCAAAAAACGAAACAAACTCACTCAAAATCACCCAGGAAAAACACAGCCAGTCAAATTTGGTGTGTGATGATTCGGAGGAGAAATGTGTCAGAATGCACTGATTTTCTGTCGATCGCTACCGCTGCTAGTTTTCTCGAATTATTGCCTTCCTAAAGTGTAAAAGTTCCTGTATTAGTTAAATTTGAAACCAGATTCATCCGTCTTAATTTTAGAGAAAAGCTGAATACCGGCCGACTAAAAAAATGGCTACGCCAGGCTGCAATACGACGATGTGGCATAGTTTTGCAGCTCGCTGGGTTACAATAGTAGACTACTAGAAAATAAGCGCGACAGTTGGCGCGCTCGATTTATAGCCTATGTATGTTATTTTTGTGTTATTAATTAACGCATTTTTCATAAAAAAAAGTTACAGAAATCAGTTTAGTTTCCTTGAAACTCATGTAAAAATCATAGTTGAACGGAATTTTTAGAGTTCCTATTTAACATAATCAATCATATTGTAGAGAAATTTGTCAAACTTTCTCTCTTTTTTCCAACCATACTATTAATTCTTCTTTTGTTTATCTAAAATTATAATTAAATTGCTATTAATTCTTCTTTTATTTGTCTAAATTTATAATTAAATTGTTTGCTAATGATAAAATAGGTGTCGGTATTTCTTTTATTTTAAAAAAACAAAGTGTTCTAGAATTTCGTTTTGTTAGGAGTCACAATGTTTTGTATTGATGGCTAATTAGTGGTAGGTGATATATAGGTTGACCATGAGTTATATATGGTGATTTAATCTATTCAAAGAGAAAGTCTATTTTACCCTCTGAACTATTTCGCCAGAGCACTTAACCTCCTAAACTTTTTTTTACTCATTTTACATCCTGAATTATTGAAAACAGTTCACTTTACTTCCCTAATGGTATTTCTCTCTCTTTTTTAATTTCTCTATACTAGTAGCATGCCCGTGCTAACGCTACGGCGATATTTTATTAATTAACCAAAAGATAATGTATCTTTTGCCAATCAAATATAAAATGAGATAAGTTTTAAGAACTAAGAAATGTCAACTAAAGATCTGTATAGCATTAGTGTCAATCCAAATTGTCAAATCAGCCATACTTTGTAATTGCTATATACAGAATGAAAATTGTTCATCTCCTTGATACAATCCATTTATTTTTGTTGCGTGACACCCCATATTTAACAATCACAAAGAGGATCACCTTAGGCAATCCGATCGAAACAATGTCGTTTGTCACTACAAGCATCACATGAAAGAGCAGTATCTTGATATAGAACTGTTGGAATAATGTTGCATGCCCTCTCTGAGGGCACCAGCACAAGCTACAACATCATCTGAAGCTACGCAATTCTTGCTGAAGATGTGGTAGATATTGATGTCCAAGGGAAAGGGGGCGGAGATCGCATGTTTCTCCGCATGGGTAACGTTACGGTGATATTTGATATTGTAATTCAAACATCCAAAGTATAATATAGGTTTTGGCAATCAAAACTACGATGCTCCAGATAGTTTATAGATTGGAAAAGAAAAAGAACAAGTGAGATAATTATATTGCTCAACCATTTATCAACCTACAGTGTGCATAAACAGGTCCAAATATACGTATTCTATAAAATACAAAAATATTTGCAACTAATGAACCGACCCCATACCCAGAAAATATTCTATATAAAAAATATTTGAATCCAAATGGGGCATATAAAGTTAAAAAAAAGAAAGGAAAATAAAATTTGTGTGACACCCAAAAAAAAAGAATCTGGTTGGGGGTGGGGGTGGAGGCGACCGACCATTACTTTCTCGCAATTATATATTAAAATCTTGCTATATGTAGATAATCTGAGCTTTGAACTGCTATATTCATTTATCAGATCATCTCATAGAGTTGTAAGCATTCAAATTTGTACAGGACTGTTTATCAAATTTTATCGAGCAACCTATCAAAGTTCATCCATCAGTTTGCTATAATTTTGATTTGTTAACAAATTACTTAGGCTGCATTAAGTTGAACACATTAATTAGTAACCCCACAACACCTGAACACTGAATGAGGATTTATCGGATTAGGGCCAACTGATAAATCCAGAAAATGCATGCTATTTTATCTAAAACAGGGAAAGCTGCAAAAAAATACTTCCAAAACAGTAGCAGAGGCAACATATCGTGCCCATCTTGCCATCCATATCAAGGAAACATATGTTTTCAAATCTGCTTTAGAAGAACATGTGAGTAATAAATTAGTGGACTACTTACCTCCAAATCTGAAGAGTAATCTGCGATTGGATTCAAAACAAACAGAAAGCTCTATGCATAGGGGATAAATATCACAACAATGAACTGCTAAAAGCTATATTAAACTGTTTGGTCCACTCGTCAAGTAACTATAAAGGGCATGATATAAGAAAATATTGGACACGAAATAATTTCACAAGATTTTGCCGGATCAAAGGGAAATCATTAGATAGTATAGCAGAAAATCATTGGATTTAATAGTAATAGATTGCAGCATTATTTGCATACCAAGAACTCGTGGTCCTTGGTAGCCATTGGAGATTTTCCATCAGGATTGCGTAAAATTTCAGGTCAACACACTGCTCCTCATCCGCCAAACAAAAGCATAAAAAGGTTGATGTATAATGTAAGCACTAAAACAGAAACAAAGCTAGAAAACAATATGTAACATGAGTAGGTGTAGAAAAAGGAGCAATCTAGTTAGATTTGCTATCTGAATTTTGTTCAGTTTATGCTTGTTGCAAACAATTTAGGGGATAGGTAAGGCAAGCTTTACTTCATGGGATATCTCGGAGCTGATAGTTTGTCATCTGGCTGATTGCAAAGTCATTATTCTGATTAAAGAGGTCTCCATCCTCACTGCGACAAAACATTCAGCAACACCAGTGGGCAGCATCACCGCCTAGCAGGTCAGGTGTCACCGTAGATTCAATTTTCTCCAATGGAAAATCACATCAATTTTGTTAAGTATTTACATACAGCCAAATCTAAATCTAGGATAAATCAGCACTGAATGCCTCAGACACTGAATGACGCTTGAATATTGTACAGAGGTAAACAGATCGACAACTACATCTATATTTTTTTTAAAGAAAAACTCTTCATGTACTCAAGAGTGATATGAAATAATACCTTGGAGCTACTATTACCATGTGCAAGCTAGTTGCCACCCAGAAAAAAACCCAGAACTATATGTATATTTTTTTCCCAACTTGGACACAATACACCGTGATGCCATGGATTACGGTACCATTTGTGTCCTCCATCAAGATATGAGAGGACCGAGGAGAGAAAGTTTGTTGTTTCAGATACTGAATCACACTATACACCAAATAAATCTGAGCTGTTGAAAACACCATGAACTCCGTATATACAGGAGATTAATTAAACCATTGAATCATATTATCGAGCAGTAGGGAAGCATATACACAAAGCAATGTACCTGGTGGCAAACTGGATGATCCAGTGGGCTCAGTGAGCAGTAGAGATGCCATGGAGGACAGCCAGCAATCCAATCTCCATTACCAGAAATTAAAATTTTTATTTATGAAGAATGAAAAAGTAATGAGTTAATATAACGGATGGTCCAATTAGTAGGTCCAAAATCAGTTTTTGACTTCAGCTTTGAAGAAAGGAACAGAAGATATGATGAAGAAATGCATGGCCCGGGTAGCCTCAGTTACCGTAGGCACCTGCTGGCTGCTGCACTGTTGACAGATCGAAGCATTGCTGCTGGCTGGCGACGACGACGGGTCTTGGAGAAGACCTTGTGCCGGCGGTGGTACTCGTGGCCGCACAGATTGGTGGAATGGTGGGTGCAGGACTGCAGGGAGGCAGAGCGGCTGGCGGCGTTCTTCCTTTTTCACGGATCGGGGGCGGAGCGGTGGAGGGAGAGGCGGCGATGGGGAGCGGAGGAGGCGGCGACAGGAGAGGGCGGGCGGGTGCGATTGATAAGCGCGTGGAGCGGTTGTGGGAAAGAGGCGGCGAGGAAGGCGGAGAAAATCGCGTGGCGTGTGGGAGGGAAGCGAGATCTGTGAGGGAGGCGGAGAAACGTGCGTGGGTGGGAGCGATCTGCGAGGGGACGTCCAAGCAATCTCGGTCGTTCGATCGAATACAGATAATACCGTCCGTTAGATTCGGACAATGATGAATGAGTAGATCAGTTGGTGAAGTTAGTGAATTATAGGGTAGATAAGTCATATTTTGCATGCATTTACAAACATACATCTCAACATTTTTTTTTATTTTTTTTCTCATTGTTTATGTAGGTTGAAAGCACTTAAGACTAATTTAAACATCACAATTTAAAGTTCAAGCAAACATCCATAACATTTTTTTTAAAAAAATGAACTTTAATAATGATCCCATGTATGGTTCAGTTTAAAAGACAATTAATACAAAGAGTAATAAAATTGAGACGTGCTATTATGGAGTAAAGTGAACCGAGCCAAAAATTAGATTTTTTTAATAGTGTCTATTGAATTAGTACGAAGAAATAAAATATGTTTTTTATTTTAAGATATGCAGTTCAATATTTCAAAAATACTCATAGAGATATGTATGAATATGAGTAGTTGTATATATATGCATTCAACATTTTTTTTTTGTAAATGTACTATAGAATAGTAATGACTATTGAACGTGTATATGTAGGGCAAGTGGGCTGACATAGGCATTTGCTCCTTCCCCTAATTTTCCATAGGAATAAGTTCATCCGAGGTCCCTTAATTTTACATCGAATCCAATTTCATCTTTGAACCCTAAAACCAGATACAGCCGGTTCTTGAACTGTCAAAACCAGTATAAACAAAGTCCCTTGGTGGTTTGGAAGGCGGTTTTGACGGACGTGGTGCCCACGTGGCTAGTTTGACTAGGTCTCCATCTGTTAACAACCAAAATTGGTAAATCATGCATCGGCCGAGGCGGATTCGGAAGGATTTTTTCAGATGGAGTCAGCCTCAGTCCTGCCTTCCCTCTCCCTTCTCTCTTCTTCGTCCTCACTTCTCTCTTCTTCCCCCCCCCCCCTCTCTCTCTCTCTCTCTTCGTCTTCCCGGGCGGCGGACGGCGCGGGTGGGCGGCGGAGCAGGCGAGCGAGGCGGGTGGGCGAGCTCCGGCGGCGGCGGGGTGGCCTTGGCCGGGTGCCTTGGTGGATTTGGTGGGTGGCGCGGTGGCCGGACCTGGGGTGGTGGGCGCCGCGGTGGGGGCCAGGGTGGCGGGGTGGAGGAGACCGACAGCGTGGTGGTTGGCGCCGCCGCGGGGGTGGGCGGAGATGGCGGATTTGGGCGGGAGGCCGCTGGCCCGACTCACTCCCCGCCCTTCACGACGCGCTCGCCACCGCCCACAAGGAGCGCCGCAAGCTCAGACCCATGTTCAACGTCGTGCCGGGGCTCGACGGGAAGCCCGGCTCCGTCTCGCTCGAGCTCGGGAGCAAGCCTGGGTGCTTCTTGATCGCCGGCACCAGCGCGAAGGTGCAGGTTGGTTGCAGGAGCCGCGGCGGCGACGGGTTAATTAATTCTTTGATCCTTTCGATGCTCAATTTAGTAATTAGCATGGCAATTAGCAGTTGAATGGGAAAATGAGTTGGATTTACATATGTACACTCTGCCTCTCAGTGTTTACTGGAGTAGCAGTGTTGTTACTCTGCAATGTCAGCTCTTTATCTTGCCATTCTTTTCTTAGAAAGAGTATATACCTCTTGATGCAGTTGAGTATACTCGAAAAGTTCTGCAAATGAAAGAGTAATTAAGGATCAAGGATATTCTTGACCTGATTCCTAAAGCGCATTTTCTGATGCCTCATTCCAAATGCATTATATTAGAGCAAGTACAGTAGCAGGCTATAAGTCAGCTGTAGCACGCACTCTAAGACGCAGTGTGTGTATGGCAAGTGGGAACATGTATTAATAGTGTGATATGACCAGGTATTAATAGTGTGATATGTAACTATTGTATGAATTAGCTATTAGACTGGCTATAAATGAATTGGAGCTAGTAGTTGGCTATACTATTAAACTTGCTTTTACCATCTTGGTGTATAAAACATTATCTGGAGGCCATGATTACAACATACTCCTCTCTTTCTTAGATAACTATGGATCATATTGCACTAATCTGATTGGTGCAAATTGCTGCAAGTCTGCAACTTGTCGACGCGCTCCGGGAGCATGGCCTCACGCTGCAGAACTTCGCGTCCATTCGGGAGCAGCAGGTCGGCGGATTTGGGCGGGAGGTCGTCGGCGACGGCGAGGTCAATGGAGGAGGCGGTGGCATGGGCACCGACGCCCAGCTCCTCTCCGCCGGGTGCCGCAGCCAGGGCCACAGCCGCCGGAGCCGTGCCACCGTCGCTAGAGAGGAGAGGGGAGAGAGAGTTGAAGAGAGGGAGAAGGGGAGAGAGAGAGAGGAGGAAGGAGAGGGGGCTGAGAATGACATGTGGGGTCCACGTGGGCCGTACCATTTTTTATTAATTTCTATGTGAAACTGATATGTGGGTCTCATAAGGTTTATTATTTTTTCGAGATTGAATTGTCACGTAAGCGCCATGTCAATACCACATCAGATGAAGACTAAGTCAAATTAGCCACGTAGGCGTCACGTCAGCTAAAACCACTTTTAAAACCGCCGAGGGATCTCATCTGCACTGGCTTTGATAGTTGAGGGACCTATTGTATCTGGTTTTTCGGTAGAAGAACGAAAATCGGATTCGTTAACAAGTTAAGGGACCCCATATAAACTTATTCCTTTTCCATACCGCAGGGCGGCTAGATAATGGGCTTCTTATGCAGGAGGTGCTTTAGGCCCAGATGCACGCGTACGTACGCGATGGATAGAGAAGAACAGCAGCCGCGCTGGAGAATCATCTATACGTTGTTGGTTCACGCCACGTGTCTGAAAATACAAGCCGTCATCTCCACCAATCAGCTAGCGGGAAGACCCGCCAGCTCTAGATAGATAGATAGATAAGTCAACTACAAACATATTTTAAAGGCAACATATCCTATACACATAGGCCCTCACGTGTACACACGTACACACCAACTAAAAAATATCACTAAAAAATTTAGAAAAAATCATACACATACTTTCAATTGTATTACACCTAGGGTTAAAATTTTAACGTCAAATTCACTGTATTTTAGCCGTAACAAAAAAAACAAAAAATCTGACAGTTTTAAGATTGCAATTTTGTCATAATTTTATCTTTTTTGTTATTCTCTATGTAGAATGAATTTGAAGATGCGACTTTGCACGTAGATGTAATACTATTGAAAGTACATATATGAATTTTCCTAGAATTTTTTGTGATAATTTTTAGTTGGTGTACACGGTGTGTACACGCGAGGGCCTGTGTGCATAGGATACACTGCCTATTTTAAAAAGATAAAAGAAAAAAGATAAGAGCAGCGGGCTACAAATTTATAGCCGGATGCAGCACGGACTTCAAAACACATGTGTGTATGATAGGTGGGACCAGATATTGATTGTGTAGTACTATATGTTTATATGTAACTATTGTATGAATTAGCTATTAAGTTAACTATAGATGATTTGGAGCCAGTAGTTGGCTATAGTATTAAACTTGCTTGCTTGAAAACTTGCTACAGACCCTTGAACTCCTTGAACTCTTTTTGGGTGTCATGCTTTGCTAGATTTTATTAAAAAACATCATAGAAAGGCTGTGTTTAGTTCACACCAAAATTAAAAGTTTGGTTGAAATTGGAACGATGTGACGGAAAAGTTGGAAGTTTATGTGTGTAGGAAACTAAACACGAGGTGTGTTTAGTTCATGCTAAAATTAGAAGTTTGATTGAAATTGGAACGATGTGATGGAAAAGTTGGAAGTTTGTGTGTGTAGGAAAGTTTTGATTTGATGGAAAATTTGGAAGTTTGAAGAAAAAGTTTGTAACTAAACTCGGCCACGGTGAAACTTTAAACATCATATGTTGGACACGAAAACTTATGACTGCACTTATAATTATAAGAGCAGGTACAATAGCTGACTATAAGCCAGCTATAACCACATATTGACGTGAAGAGAGAAGAGAGAGAAGAAAGCATGCTACATATTTGTAGCCGGCCGCAAGACGGACTCCAGACATTATGTGTGTATAAGATGTGAGACCAGATATTAATATGTATTATAGTTTTATAGTTAATTATTGTATGAATGGGTTATTAGATTAGTTTATAGATCATTTGAAGCCCGTAGTTGATTATATTATTAAACTTGCTCTAATGGGAGTATGGGACAGAGGGAGTAGTACACTACTGATCGACCTACCTTAAAAATTTGCTACCTTTGACGAGTCAAATTTCACCGATTGAAGATAGAGACATTTAGTGCAGCTGTACACGTTATACGAGAAATCTAATTTGTGCAGCTTCGCTACGTGCCAACATTTTGAGCCCAACAGGCTCATGGCATATCTGTCTATTGATATGGTCATACGGAGTAGAGCGGATGCGGTGTCCGTGTAGCCGCGCCTGATCCTTCGCTCTCATTTTATTTTTCCAATGAAAAAATGTGAATTGAAACTTGAAAAAGTGAGTTAACATTCAGTTTAAATTTCAAAAACTTCCAACCAAGTTTTAAAACTTTCAACTGAATATTTAAAACTTTATACTGAAAATTTCTGAACAATTATTTTTAAAATTTCAACAAAATTTTAGAACTTTCACCTCAAAATTCAAAATGTTAACCAAAATTTAAACTTTCAACTCAATTTTTTATAAAAACCTTTCAACTGGAATTTTAAAGTTTGAACTCAATTTCAAACGTTTAACTGAATTTTTAAAATTTTCTTCTGAAAATTCAAAATTTTTGAAACTTTCAACTTTGTATTAATATGTGTTTAGATAATAAAACTTCCGATTCAACTTTATATTATTATTTTATTGCTGAAAGAAATTAAAGAGGTCTAATTGGAGATAGAAATAGGGGGGTTAACGGGGTGATAGCGTGCAGCCGGTGTACTAAGAGCAAGGTCAATAATATAGACCGCTGTTGACTCCAAAAAAAATAGCCATATCATCTATATAAAACAGTGTAGCTAATGTCTACAATAGAAATATTGTAACACGCATATTTTATTGATTCGTGGGACCCACCATCTTCTCCTACCTCACATCCTCTTTCTCCCTCCTATCCCCTCACAGTTCGTCTTCTTCTCCTATCCCCTCGATAACCTATCACTGACGATGAAATACGGCGGCGGCCGTGCGGCAGACGTCGGAGATAGCGGCAGCCGGGCCGCGGCGGAGGCGAAAGACGACGACGGCCATGTGGCGAGTGACGGGGGCAGCGGCAGCCAGGCCACACGGCGGAGGCGAAGTCGGCAGCGACTGTGCGGCGGGTGACAGGGGTAGCGACGGCCGGGTCGCTCGGCTGAGGCAGAAGACGGCGGCGACCGTGCGGCATACGTCGGAAGACGGCGATGGCCAGGCCACGCGGCGGAAGCGAAAGACGGTGACGGCCGTGCAGTGGACGACGGGGACAGTGGCGGCCAGCCCGCTCAGCTGAGGTGGAAGACGGCGGCGGCCGTGTCGGGCGGCGAAGGCAGCAGTGGCCGGGCCGCTCAGCTAAGGCGGAAGACGGCGGTGGGCCGCGCAGCAGAGGCGGAAGACGGCGGCGACCGTGCAAGCGGGGGCGACGGAGGCCATGCGCCGGATGTGGGAGACAGCAGAGGTCGTGCGTCGGCGCCGGCGAGGCTGTGGGCGGCGGTCCGGTGGCCGTGGGAGTTGGTGACGGAGGCATGCAGCTCAAGGCATGGCCGATGCTTCTCCATGCCTTGCACTTTGCTGTGAGAAGAGGCAGCACAAGGTGGGCCCCACAATCTCGAGCGGCGCGTGCAGCCCGGCGATAAATTAGTCGCCGGCTCACACTCTCTCTCTCTTCCCCTCTCTCCTCCAAATCATCCCAAAATCCTAGGTGGAACTACCACCGCCCATTACTGTACCTGCTCTAAGCGAACTAACGCAATTGCGCCACTGCGCGTATTAGGAGTCCTCCCCATCAACGTTATTTAATAATGTGATGAATCCAATATGCATGTTAGTATGGCCTCGTTTAGATCTATTGGCAAAATTTTATACCCTATCGCATCAAAATAACTAATTACACAGATTGCACGTAAAATTGCGAGACAAATATTTTAAGCATAATTACTCTATGATTTGACAATGTGGTGCTACAGTAAACATTTGCTAATGACGGATTAATTAGACTTAATAAATTTGTCTCGCAGTTTACAAGTGGATTTTGTAATTAATTTTGTTATTAGTCTACATTTAATACTTTAAATGTGTGTCTATATATTCGATGTGACACGCCAAAACTTTAGACTATGGATCTAACACAGCCTATGTTACGAAATTTATAGTCTGAGAAGATATTCGAGAGTTACCACATTTTCCTCCCAGTACTAGCTTAGTTTACGCCCTCAAATCAAATCGAGTTCGACTGGACAAGAAGAGCCTCTTGGCCTGAGAGCAGGTGAATCCGTATGGATGAACGAGGACGACGATGAATCCGTATAGCTCGGAAGATGAGGCGGCGCGTGGACCTCGACCACACCCTCCAGCATCTGCACCACTTGATGGATCGTCGGCCGGAGCGACGGATTGTGCACGATACACCAGAAAGCCACACGAGCGAACCGCTCCACTCTCTCCAGATCCTCCGCCGCATCATCGTCGCTGCGCAGGAGGACCTCCACCCTACCATGGCTGACCAGCCCGGCTGCCCACCCGAACAGAGTGACGGTGTCATCATCGCAATCGCCATTGTCATCCTGATGAAGCTGGCTGGTGATCGGGTCCTGGCATCTCCTGCAGCAAATCATCTCCAGCAGCACGACGCCGAAGCTGTACACGTCCACCTTGGTGTCGATGCGCCTGTCGCCGTGCAGCCACTCGGGCGCGATGTACCCTCTGGTTCCCCTCACGTTGGTCACCGTGGTGTGCAGCTGCTCATCGCCGAGGAGCCTGGAGATCCCGAAGTCGGCTATCTTTGGGTTGTTCTTGTCATCCAGCAGTATGTTGTCCGGCTTGATGTCGCAGTGGATGATCGGCGAAGCGCACCCTTCGTGCAGGTACTCGATGCCCTTAGCTATGGCGAGCGCCGCCTCGGCGCGCCAGGTCCATGGCGGCGGCGGCGGCCGTCGTCGAGGCTGCTGGTGGAAGAGGAAGCTCCGGAGCGAGCCCCCCGGCATGAACTCGAAGACGAGCATCCGCTGCTCCCGCTCCTTGCAGTAGCCGATCATGCGGACAAGGCTCCGGTGGTGGATCCTCCCGATGGACTGCACCTCGTTCGCGAACTCCCTCTCGGTGTACTCGTTGGAGACGATGAGCTTCTTCACCGCGATGTCAGTGTCAGGTGAGTGCAGCAGATGCAGCGAATTCGCCACGCCATGGTAGACCTCGCCGAAGCCACCTCTTCCTAGCAACCTCTGGAAACCATTGGTGGCATCGTAAAGCTCCTTCCTGGTGAAGAGTCTCATCACCATGTCATGGTCGCTGGAGCTTCTTCTTCTAATGCGGCGGTGCAGGAGCACGAGGCTGGTCGTAGAGGCGAGCAGGAGAAACGCCGAGAAACCGAGGAGGAGTATGTACGGCAGCGGTGGCGCCCTCCTCCGCGCCACCGCCGCCGCCGGAGGGGTACTGCGCGTCCGAACCTTGATCAGCGCCTTCCCCGTGACGTTACTCCCCTGCCGTCCGGCGCCCGTGAGGGACGCCATCTTGGTGCAGCGGGTTCCGTCGAACAGCGCCGCCACGCAGAAGCAGTCGTTCAGGCACAAGCCGCCGCACTGCTCCTCCGCCGTGTAGGAGTATACCTTGTACGGCGAGGCCGTCCAGGTGGTGTTGGGCAGCTTGGCGATCACGAATTCGCCGGAGCGGTTGGCGACATCGTCCCCGACGAAGTCGCACCTCGGCGGCGCGAACGCCGGCGAGCAGCCGCGGTACCGTAGCTGCGCGTCGACGAAGGAGTATCCGCTCGGGCACGCACAGTCGAGCCGGCCGTCGTCGGACACGACGCAGTACGAGTTGGGGCCGCAGAAACCGTCCAGGCCACGGGTCCCCATGCTACAGCCGTCGCCGGGGAACATGCCGGCGACGGCCCACGACGCGTTGGCGGTGGTGGTGGAAGTGGAGCTCGTCGGGCTCCTTCGCCGGACGTACACGCGGACGACGCCGTCCGGGTCGAGCGTCGCGCGCTGGTAGTAGTTCGCCTTCGCCATGGGAGTTGTCAGGTCGTGCACCGTCCCGTCCTTGACCTGGTAATAGACGCGCCCCGGCGAGGCGAAGAAGAGAGTGGTGTTGCCGTCCTGGGTGTTGCCGGGCTGGTTGGTGCCGGTCGCCCAGTACGCGTTGTACGGGTCGACGTTGCCGGCGGCGAGGTTGAGGTACAGGACGACGTTGCCGTCGGCCTGCACGTACAGGCTGAAGCGGCCAGCCGAGAAGTCGGCATCGGAGCGCTTGGACACAAGCGTAGCTCCGGCTCCGGTGGCCATGGACTGGCCAGGGAGGAGCGTGTCGGCCGGGTCCCTGAAGCTCTCCCACACCACGGCGCGGCCACCGGCGGCGAGGAACTGGAGGTTGCCAGAGTCGAGCAGCACGAGCACGGAGCCGTACTGCTGGCCCGGGTTCGCGTTCGTCCAGACGTTGCTGCCGGCGGTGTCGGCGAGCGACAGCTGGCCGGCGAGGGTGACGCTGAACACAGACTGCGCCGTGGCCGTCACCGCCGACCCGGAGCCCGGGTCCCTCGCGTACCATACCACCGCCTTCTCCTGTACGGCGTCGTTGAACCAAACGGCGAGGAGAAACCAGCCATCCGGGCGGCCGGAGCCGAGGGCGCGGAAGCCGAAGGCGAAGTCGCCGGACGGGCTGGTGATGTAGTGAGGAGGCCTCAGAGTCGATCCTGCCGTCAGGTTTTCTGCTTCAACTTGAAGCAGACAGGATGATTGATGCAGCAGCAGTGCGATCAGAAGCAGCGGGACGAACGAGAATGACTTCATTTCTGCTCAATAAGCTGCTATTGCAGCTGGTCACACCAATTTTGTGATTGTGATTATAGTGGTGCCAGTGCCAGCTTTCTTCATAGTCATGTAGTAGTAACTTGCATTGATTGGCCGAATTTTACATCTCCGGACGTCCTGTTTCATCGTACTTAAAAAAAATGTTTCTCCCTTCGTCCACAAAAGTTACACGTATTACTTTTGACACCAAGACCAGAGAGAAATTAAATCACCTTAGATGTTACAAAATTAAAGAATGAATGCAAGCATGCAACCAATGAGTATTTAGATGACTCCTTCAGTTCTAATAAAATATTTAATTTATCTCTTCATTTAAGTCTTGAATGTATAAAGACTAAAAAAAGAAACGACTTATTTAGAAAAACTTTAATGTGAAATAGGTGTAACTTTGTGGATGGATAGAGTAGTACGTACTCTCTATCTTAAAATATAAAGAATTTTAAATGGAAGTGACATATTCTAAGATTATTAATCTAAATAGTTTTATTATAAAATAATGTTTTCAATAAAATCGGATGCGCGTGATAGTTCATTTGTTCAATATACACGTTAGCTGATAAAAAAAATTTGCATCGGACGGCGGTTTCGTCGTTTGTATACGTGGTCTCATGTGGTTGTCAAGGTCAAGCATCACAATTCACACCCTTGGACTCCCTCTGTTTCTTTTTTAATAATTGCTTTTTAATTTGATCGCACGTTTAACTATTCGTCATATTCAAAAATTTTATACAAATACATCAAATATAAATCATGCCTAAATTATATTTAGTACGAAAACAACTCACAATAAAATAAAAGATAATTACATAATTTTTTTATAAGATAAATGATCAAATATGTGTCCAGAAGTTAACAGTGTCACCTATTAAAAATAGAGGTGGTATAAAGGCCCTCTTTGTTTAGGCTTATAAGCCAACTTATAAGTCGAAAAATCTAAGTCTAAACAAACAAGTGACTTTTTTGTTTGGCTATTTTGAAGCTATAAACCACTCTAACACTATTAAGCCAAAAGCTAGGTTAGAGAAGCTTTTTTGACTTATGTGAGATATATGCATGACTCCACCATTAAACTTACGACATTAAATCCACCGGCTTATAAATCATATAAGCCAACAAGTAACTTAAAATGCTAAGCCAATAAGTCTAAGCGTAAATAAAGAGAGCCAAAGTATAGACATAAATATAGGCTTAATTGGTTATTGCTATTTCCTCTGTTTTCTAATACAGGATGTCGTTCATTTTTTAACATATGTTTAGCTATTCGTCTCATTTAAAGTAAATTATGTAATTATCATTTATTTTGTTGTAACTTGATTTATCACTAAATACTATTTACACAATGATTAAATGTATGTTAAAAAGTTAATGACATCATATATTAAAAAATAGAGATGATGGTATAATGCAAACTTGCAATGCAATTTTACTGTGCACTCCTCGACTCCCTTTATAGGAAACTATTTTGATTACTCTGATTACTCGAGAGGATGTTCCCTCGTTGTTTACATCATGTCACTCAAGTGGTTATGAAAAAAATTGAAAAAAATGAGAAGATGTATTAACACGGGGTCAACGCTATAACAACGCTTCCAAGGAGAGGAACGACGCCGAAAGGCGCCGCCGTCGTCAAGCCGGCCAACGGCCCGGCAAAGCTTTCGCCAGTGATTCCCCATTCAAATCCACACAACCCGCACAAGAAGGAACGTCGCAAGCCACATCAACTCTTCATCAATCAGCCCTAGGCCACCGCCACAGATCCGCCCGACCGGCCGACCCTGCCGCCAACTCAAGCAAGGGGGGCAGGACGGAGGGGGCGGACGGCACGGCGGCCAGGACAGCGTCGCCCCATCCACCGTTGCACTGTAGAGTCGCCGACGCCCCCCGCCAACGACAGCACGGCTCCATGTCGGGCGACGCCTTGCGCGCCGCTTGCGTGCACCGGTGCACGCATCGACCTCGCGAGCCGTCTCCGCCGCCATCCATGCCGCCTCCAATCGCGCTGCGCCACAGCGCCGGCCGCTTCGGCCAGATCCGGCTTGGACCAGGCCAGATACGGCGACGGCAGCTGTGGATCCGTCGCCGTTTTGCTCAGAGAGCTCGCCGCCACCACTCCCCGCCGCCGGTGTTCACCGCCTCCCCCGCGCCAAGAGGAGATGCTACCGCAGGAGAAGGCCCCGCCGCCACCCTCCTAGCTCACCGGCAGGCTTTCCGGCGGCGGCTGGTGGGGGAAGGGGGGCGGCACTAGGTTTCGCCCCCCGTGTCACCTGCGAGTGGGCGACGCGGGGGTCACGGGAGTTCTAATATGTGGGCTACTGGTAATCGTATGTAGTAGGTAGTACTTTTAATTTCGCTGGAGCATATAGTAAAAGTAGTCCCTCAGTCCCAAAAATAAGCGCATCTATGAGTTTCCGTGTCCAACTTTGATCGTCTATTTTATTTGAATTTTTTTTATGATTAGTATTTTTATTGTTATTAGATTACAAAACATGAATAGTACTTTATGCGTGACTAATGTCTTTTTAGTTTTTCAAAATAATTTTAAATAAGACGGACAATTAAAGTTGGATGTGGAAACTCTTGGTTGCGTTTATTTTGGGATGGAGGGAGTATAATAGTAGCCTTATCAGGATGGTTTAAGATATTGTTGATGCTCCAACTAACTCTGAACCTGGAAAGGGACGCCTGGCTTCCATTGTTATACTTGCGTAGGCTAAAGAAAACTTCTGGGTCATTAGACACAAACACAACGTAATTAATGCTAACTAGGACAGTTGTCTTATATATAAACATACACAGGCATCTAAACAGAATGGAACATGGAAGTAATAATTGTAGCAATGGAAACTTCCTAACAGTTGACACAAAGAACCCTATAAGGTCTGTTCTCCACATCTTATAAGGAACATAAACATAGTAGCAAACTAGCAAACAAGAAATACAACAGACTATAGTAAACTTCAGACTCATTCACTCACTCGATCTGGAGACCAAGACCCGTGGTGTTGTTGTGAACTTGTGATAGGTTCCGCTACCGCCGTGGAGGTGGAGTAATGCCGAAAAGTCAGGAGGCCTAGATAAGGCTGGCAGAGGGGCAACATCCATGAGCATGTGCACCACCTCGCGTATTGTTGGCCTCATAGATGGGTCCACCTGTATGCACCATATACGCCACACGTGCGTACCTCTCGGCGCTATCAGCCATGCTCGAGCCTAACACCATGGGTGCCCCGGCCCTCTCTCTTCTTCCCCCACGAGTTGAGACTTCAGACATTCTCCCGTCCTCGATAAGGCTCTCAACCCAGTTTAGCAGCGGCACCATTGTGCCGATCCTATGATTATCGGGAGGAAGCCTCCCGCAGCATATTATCTCCACGAACCACTCAGGCGCTGCGTAGCCCTTGGTGCCCATGATCTTGGTGATGGTGTAGTGCACCTGCTGGTTGTTAAGGAGCTTGGCGATTCCCAAAGTCAGTGATCTTCGGATTCTCCATGTGATCCATGAGTATGTTGTCGGGCTTGATGTCACAGTGGATGATCGGGAAGGTGCACCCATAGTGTAGGTACTCTAGCCCCTTGGCAATTCCTATTGCTGTCTCCGCTCGCCACCTCCATGGAGGCATCTCCGGCTGGTCGAATATGAAGCTGCCAAGGGAGCCTCCTGGGATGAACTCAAACACCAATATTCTATGATTTCCCTCCTTGCAGTACCCAATCATTCGAACTAGGTTTCGGTGGTGGATTGGACCGATGGATTGTAGTTCGTTTATGAACTCCTCTTCCTTAAACTCACCAGGGTGGTCACTGGTCGAGTACCTTCACTGCAATTTCAGGAGGTCCCAGTGAATGCACAATCCCTTTGAACACTTTGCCAAAACCACCATGCCCCAGCAGCTCTGTAAACCCGTTTGTTGCTTTGGAGAGTTCCTTGTGAGTGAAGACTCTCACGCCAAGCAAGGTTATTTTGGGTTTCATAGAAAAGTGGCAGCACAGGATGATGCTGATAGAGTTTATGTTGAATATGTAAACGTAGTCGGTTATAGTTTAGGACTTGGAGTTGTACTAGGTATAGGATTAGAGTAAGAGTCAGACTCTATCCTAGGATCTCTCATAAATAGAGGGGTGTACCTGTTGTAACCGTATTGCGACTTAGCATAGCGAGAGGGAGCGGCTGCCAGCGGCGACCGGCCGTGAGTCATTGTAACTCTGATACGCTGTAATATGCTGGATCGGGGAGGAGCGCCCGTAATCAGTCCCCCGGAGATGTAGGCCTCGGCTGAACTCCATTATCAAATATCATGCCTCGGTGTCGTCACCGTGTTTGGATCTCCTATGACGTTTTCTTCCGAGTTTGGTTTCCAATGTGATTTCAAGACTAGTTTTTTAACAAGTGGTATCAGAGCTTGCGGGAGATCCATGGTAGAGGTGCGAGGGAGGTGCTCCACGCCACGAAAACTACACAGGATGTCCAGGGACGGACAAGGACGCAAGGTAGAGCACGACAGCGGTCAACGGAATTTGATCGGTGGAATCGGACACTTCAGGCAGCGGTTTGAACCGTTCGATTGCTGCTTTCAACAGAGAGATGACCAGACGTGGTGCTCGGGTTGATGGCGGCGGAAGCGATTGGCGATTCAATCGGTAGGTCGGACACTTCAGGCGGGTGTCTTGAACTTTCCGGTGAGCCACTTTCAACAAGGAGACATGAGGCCTCACGCTCGGGATTGATTGAAGCTGGAGGCGATCGGTGTTCTCGGTCGATGGATTCGAACACTCTAGGCAGGGTGGCCTGGGCCTTTCGATGAGCTGCGTTCGATGGGGAGATGGCTAGACGTGACGCTCGGGTCGTTCGGTGGCTGGGAAGATGGCATGCGACTTGTCGGCTTCGGCTCTCGACTAGATTGATGGCGTTCAATCGGAAGTCGGAGCGGGCGGATCCTTGGTACTGATGGAGATGTGTTGACGACAAGGTGGTGCACGATGGATGGCTACAACAACGGCGTACAATCTACAAGTTCTATATTGTTATAGGCACGAGTCAGATCGATGTCGTTCGTTGTCGATGGAATTGACTGGAGCTGCTGGACAATATATTTTAATTTACAAACTTCTAATCCCTATATGTTATTTGGGAAAGATCAAATTTTTTGAAGTGATGTTCAATTTTTGTCCTTAATGATTACAACATTATAAATAATGATTACTCTTGGAATTGAATGAATTTTGTGTGTATATGTGATGTATAGGTGTTATTCTTACATAAATGGTGTATAAGCGATAATTATTCAATGTATTAAGTGAATTTTGTGTTTTAGGAGTTGAGTGCATATTGTTATGCTCAAATATAGTACTTATGAGTGATGTACATATGCATAATGTGATGAATATATATCTAATTCCTATATGTTTTCTTGGGAAAGATCTTTTTTTTGAAGTGATGTTTTGTGCCGCCGCCGATATGGTTGCCCATGGCCATGGGCTAGGGCAAGCGTACTGAAAGCCACTGCGGAGCTTCATCCTCGCCATCACACGGAGGAGAGCGAGCGAAGGATGGAAAGCAGAGGAGACGCGAGAGGAGGGATGGAGGCGAGACGGCACGCGATGGAGGCGAGGCAGAGCAGATGAGTCGTGGGCTCGCATCCGGTGGTGGTGGGGGGGGGGGTAAAACTGAAATTTCACACCCTCCTGGCCATTTGGGCAACGTGGGCTGTGCCATGCCCACTGTTGGCCGAGTAGCCTCCATCTGTGTCTTCAGACTTTGCAGGTGCGAATTTAAGTCCCATGTATTGTGGTTCAAGTGTCTTTTGGTGTTCCTTAGTCCAGTTGGTAGTCCAGGTGTAGCAATTTTCAGGACGCATTGTGAGTGCCCTAAGAAGCAGGTACAATAACTTGACTCGGCGAGCTGCAAAACTATTCCACATCATCATATTGCAGCCTGGCGATAGCGATTTTTGTAAGTCGGTATCGCTCGTTTGCAGCTGCTCCCGGTTTACTGCTGAATTAAGTTCGATTTATATTTTGGAATAGGTTCAGCTCTCCTCTAAAATTAAGACGAATGAATCAGCTGGTTTCAAGTTTTCAACTAATACAGGAACTTTTTCACTTTAGGAAGGCAATAATTCGAGAAAACTAGCAGCAGTAGCGATCGGCAGAAAATCAGTGCATTCTGATACATTTCTCCTCCGGATCATCACACACCAAATTTGACTCTTTACCACATCAATGATCAATCCGCTGTACATATAATCCCCTTCTTCCACTCCAAATCAAACGAAAATCAAATCAGAATATAATCACAGCACAGAATCAGCAAAACAGAAATGGCATGCATGGCCAACGCCACCGTCGTCTTCTTCTTCCTCGCCGCCGCCGCCGTCATTAGCTGTCACGCAGCACGCGCGGGCAACTCCACCGCCACCGCCGCCGCCGCCGGCGACTGCAAGCTGTCGGACATCACCGTCACGGCGGCGAGGACGGGGAAGGTGGTGGAGGGGCAGCCGGAGTACGAGGTGGCCGTGTCCAACGGGTGCGCGTGCCCGCAGAACGGCGTCAGGGTGAGCTGCCCCGGCGGCGGCGGCGGCGGCGTGCCGAGCGTCGAGCCGGTGGACGAGAGCAAGATCCGCGCCGACGAAGCCGGGCTCTGCCTCGTCAACGACGGGATGCCGGTGGCGAAGGGCTCGCCGGTGACGTTCGTCTACGCGTGGAAGCAGCCGCTGGAGTTCGCCGCCGCGCAGGCGACGCCGCGGTGCTCGTGATTGGCTGCCCCGTCGTCGCCGGCGATCGAGGAGGATAGGTCCACGGGTGGGGAATATGAGTGGTGGCGGGAAATAACAGGGTTTGATTGTTATTCAGAGTTTCAGACCACCATACATCAAGTGATTGTTTTTGTTTAATTTCTTTTGTATCAATCACATTTTTCAATCCATATATCATCGTGCATTTTCAGTTTTTGTTCTTAATGTGAGACAAATATGTTTCAACTCAAATACATGTCTAGAAATATTTAAAACCTCCACCAATATGAATAGAGATACAGCCTGGAGAAGCATAAAACCCCATTTGGACGAACCCATGAAAGCATAAACAAAAGCGAACAAAAAGTTAGATTTGCTAATTATAGATTATGTATTGACTTGTAAGTAGGAAAATTTCAGACGGAGTTTGTAAGGAATTACACAACACTCTCTTGGTCCTATGTACTCCCATATCCCCAGTCCACTGAAGAATCACATTTCAGAAGCAATTGAAGTGCACGACAAGGAACATTATCATCTGATTTTATACAGACATGTCTCAGGTCGTAAGACAGCTTGAAGGCGATCGCGGTGACTAAGTAACAAAAATGAGATACAGAAGGCAAAATAGCGATGATGTACGATAAGAACATTCGTGTATCCATTGGTCTTCAGTTAATGCCGGACAGACAAGGGCGAAGGACAGACATTTGGTATGCAACTTCTTGTCCAGCAATTTACCACTTCCACAAGAATATGAACGACATATATGCCTAAATCTCAAACCTATTCCAGTAATACCGAATAAATCGAGTTATGTAGTTCTAAAATAAGGCTGAAATATCACCCGCTGATGTTGCCTAGCCAGAAGAGCATGGGAAATTGCACAACCGCGAGGAAAAGAAGAAAGTAGTGATTCCGGCTGGGGTGTCTCTCATAGCTCCTTGGTGCGCCCAGAAGAACCCTCTTCATCGTCTTGACAAGGAAAACTCCGGTGCAGATTGAGAACCATGGCAGTACAAAATAATATGACGGGCTCCAGAAGACGCGGACAAGCATTGCAAGTGATGTACCAGCAAATCCATACCCAGCATAGGCCACAATGTCCAGCAATGGCGCTTCACCACTTCCCAGCGTGTACAGTAGAACTCTGATCAGGATTACTTGCAGAAACCAGCCAAGTAATCCTTTTGTGAACTGTAGAGTGAGTGCCTCTGGGGTAAACCTGCAATCAGCAAAAATGTGTTTCATGCATGCATCACTGAATCAAGAATATCATGAGTAAATGAATATTATTTAACACTTGGGCACTTGGTTGAACTAGAAATATGTTTCAAGAATTCATCATTCAAGAAAAACAGTGCACCACAGAAGTTAATTTCTAGATACTCCCACGCTTTAGCATTTGTCCATTCTCCACACATCCTTCTCTTCTCAAATTCTCAACATAACTACTGTTCTTACCGTCACTCAACACACTATGCATAGCGTTCTTTCTTTACTACTAAAGAAGAAGCAAGTCAGCACTACAAAGTTGAATGAGACTAAATATGTCGTTACCTCCCAAGAACACCCAAAGCATATCCAGCAATTACAACATACGTCCCAAAAGCCATCAGAGGAATGTAAAGATCTGGAGCATTGATATCTTGAATTGGAGGTTTGTATGACAACCTTCCTCCCACCGGTTCAGTTATCCTTGTCCAGTGCCCCTGAAGGAAGTAAATTGGTAAATGGCTTGTAAGAAATTTCACAATAAGCATATAATACCTACAAAAAGGTGGATAAATCTTACCCGGTGCAGGAAAGGGAACAAGATCACCTTCAACTTGTTTCTCACATACTGACTGTTGACTTGAAAGTAGTACTGAGGATTGGACAGATACTGAGTGATCTGTCCATGTGATGAAGCAAAGTTAAGATTCAATGTCTCCGGGGAAAACACGTGTGTTGATGACAACGTGGTACACAAAATATAGAAAGCATACATTTGCCTTGATGAAATTTTACCAATGACTTACATTGCTTTGCATAAACTCAGAGCTTGAACCTAAAAACTTCTCGCCGTATGCTCCTAACCCACTTCGGATGAGTCCAGGTCCAGCTCCATATAAAGCACTTTCAAAAGGATTAGCTTGTGAAGTAGCAGGTCTGCCTCCCAGTCCTCCCAGATCATTGTTCATCGCTGCCATGCTAACTGCATAAACAAAAACGAACTAAAAAAAGACTCAAAAAATAATGTATCAATGTTCAGGTCAGCTCAAACGTCTTATGTCTACAACCTTAACAAATATCCCCTACGGTGGCTCTCAGAAACAAACGGAAAATAACATGCTGAGGAACCAATTACTAATGTCCTATCCATTAGATAGACATATTCAAGCTACCAACTGAGCATGATATGCTGAGGAGAAGATGTATCATAAACATATACTTGAATAAGGGGAAATTAGCATAGTACCATAACCTTCACCAAGTGCCATTGCCATAAAATAAAACAAAACTAGCAAATGCTTTTGGAGAACCAACGTGGATTTGCATATCCATAGTCTACTGAAATAATGGCAAATCCAGTGTCAATTGAAACAACAGCAGGTCAAAAATGTTTCTGCACTACCACCAAAGCAAAATTTTTATCACGCTGACCAAATCTTCAACCAAAATATGGCATCTAGCCCTAGGTACGGATAAACGGCAAGTGAAATACCTCCTTCAATGTAACACTGAGAACACGATTATTGATACCACTGGACACAGTTGATTAAAAAAAAAGGCTTAGACACATGATGATCAACAGGTAGCCTAGAATTGTACTCAAAATAGTAACACGTCTAACATTTAACATTTTCAATAGACAACTGGAGTGGTGAGATGTACCTTCTGAATGAATGTCATTCAGGACAGTAGCTACTAATGCACTAGACTTTCTTGGATTAGGATTCAAAAATAGCACAATAATGCTTGCCTCTTGGGGTTGGGAATGTAATGGGAAAAATCCAAAAAAACAAAAGCAGGAAGAACTATTCCCGTTGCAATTCGCTCCCTCTCCAAATGATCCTTCCATTTGAGCTGTAAGATCAATCACTGCATCCCCAACCATTCTGAGACCTTCCTGCGCTTTCCTCACGGCCCAAGATTCCGACCAAAACATCTGGAACTCGCTCACCGACCAGATCTGGGACCGCATCCCCTCCCCCCCCCCCCTCCCCTCCCCCGAATCTCGGATGGCACCGGCGATCTTGGCCGGCCTCCCTCGAGAAGACCGCGACCTTGCGCACACGCAGCAAAGCTCGCATCGGCCACGAAACCCTCACGCCGTCGCGGCAGTTTACTGCTCGCTCGGCCCTCACGCGCACTAGGGGATGATCCCCGCATTTGGGACCAATACCTACGGGGAGGGCAAACTAGGTGGACGAAGAGAAGAAACCCTCACCTGCGGCGGCGCACCGGCGGCGTCGCGGCGCCGCTGGGATTCGTCGGCGGCAGCAGTAGAGGGAGGCAGCGCGTCGCAGCGAAGAGGAGCAAATCCCACGTCGAGTCGAGCGAACCGACGAAGACGACGCTACTCGGGCCGGATGGATATTTCTCGTGATGGGCCTAACTATAATGGGCCTGAAATGTTAGCGGCCCAAACATTATGATGGGTCTAAAGGATCGCAACCATTGAATACGATCCAAAATTACTGTGGGCCTTTTTGGATCTCTTTCTTGGATGAGAACTCGAGCAGTTCCAACGTTGGGCTCAGCCCTCGTCGGCCCGCCGCGCCCGCGCCACGGCCCACGACGCGTGCGCGCTCTAGCCCATGGTGTTCGTCAGGTGAGAGTGAGCGGCGACCTACTCCATGATCCTCTCAGGAGGAGGAAGCTGCCGGGCGCGCGAGTCCACGCGACTTTTATCCCTTGACCAACCTCATTTTCCAAGAATTTTAGTGAGTAGAAAGTCTCACCTGCTTGGCTGATTCGCCTCCAGGAATCATTTCTTTTTACCGCAAAACCGCGTGTTAATCCGGCATAAAAAGCTCGAAGGCAGAGCACGCCATGGCGACGACCACCAGCACAGCAGCCAAGAAGAAGAAGAGAACTAGAGAAGAGAAGCATCTCCGGCGATGAGCGGCGGGAGGAAGCGGGAGTGGATACGGAGGAAGGTGGCGGCGGCGGCGGCGGGGAGCGGGTCGCCGCGGTGGTCGCGGCGTGTCCGGGCGGTGTCCACGGCAGTGCTGCACCGGAGGCGGCGGCTTGGGCTCGGGCTCGGGCTTGGGCTTGGGCTTGGGCTTGGGGTCCGAGTGTACGAGAATGTGGTGTTCTACGTGCTGTGGGTGGTGGAGTCGGTCGTCGTCCTCGCCAACCTCTGCTTCTTCTTCCTGCGCTTCGGTTTTCGCTTGTGATCACACCAAGGGTCCAAGATGTGTAGTTGGTGATACCACAGAGGAACATCTGCTAAATCTTCTCAATTTTTTTCTCTCTCCCCCCTTTGAAGAAATGTAAATCATATGTCCTCAGCTTCTAACAGACTGTTATGCCCAGTTGCTGACTTGTCAGCAATGGAGATTGACAGACGCAAAAGCTTGAATCTATCGTACAAAAGCTTTTCAATTAGGATACAATTTTGACAGAAAATTATGATACAAGAAAGGCCTGTTCACTTTGATAAAAAAAAAACCTTTTGGCATAGTTACCAAAATTTTAGTAGGATTTCTTATATAGCTACCAAAATTTGGCAGTAAACTAAATATAGCCATTTTTTTGGTAATTGTACTAAAATTTGGTAAGGTTGAAAATGACATCAAAGTGAACAGTCCCGAACTCTTAGGCTGGGTTCATCTCCACTTCTCCACACATAAAACGGTGTTGTTCATTAACATGTGATTAATTAAGTATTAGCTAAAAAACTTTAAAAATAGATTAATATAATTTTTAAAGCAACTTTCCTATAGAAAAACTTTTAAAAAACGCACCATTTAGTAGTTTGAAAAACGTGCATGTGGAAAAAGAGAAAGGTGAGTCAGGAAATAATGGGGAAGAACACATCCAAAGGTCATACCAGCAACTACCACGAAAGCTTAAGTAACACTGAGCATGGAGCATCCAATTTTTGTCTTCTTCCAACATCACAATCAAATTGTCCTTCAAGAAGAAAAGAAACATCCCGCACCACTATCGGGATGCTTACAACTGTATGGAGCATCCCTTTTTTTTTTCCCAGACGAGTTGCAATGAAAATATGTCTTCGATCGTTTTACAATTTACAGCACACTGACAAAGCTGACATCGCTGGGACTAGGGTGCACAACCTCGACCTGATGGGCTGCGCTATGCGCGCTCGCTGGGTCTGGTCAGCCCGCACAGCGGCTGAGAAACCGTGGCAAGGTCTGTCCATGGCGGTCTCTCAACGTGAAAAGGAATAAGTTCACTTTGGGTCTCTTTATTTGTCGTCCAGTCCGATTTTCGTCCCTTGACCATAAAACCGGGTACGACCCATCCCCCAACTTTCGAAAACCGGGCAAACGAGATCCTTCGGCGGTTTTGAAGGTGGTTTTGGCTGACGTGGCGTCTACGTGGCTTGTTTGACTAGTTATCCGTCCCACGTGGCATTGATGTGGCGCTGACGTGGCAATTATATATTGGAAAAACATTAAAAATCGTGGGCCCACATGTCAGCCACAGAAAAAAAATAATTTAAAAATGGTGGGTCCCACATGTCAGCTAAAAAAATAAATATGGTGGGGCCCACGTGGGCCTCACATGCCATTCTCAAATGACCAAATCCAATCCTCTTCTTCCTCCTCTCTCCGGCTCTCCCCATCTCTCCTCCCTCCTCTCGCCAGGCGGCGTCCAGCACGGCAGGCGACGGCGGACCACGGCAGCGGCGGGCGGCGCGGAGATGGACAGCGCATGGCCAGCGGCGGGCGACGGCGCGCGAGGCGTGTGGGGTGGCGGCGGCCATCTCTCTCTTGCGCGCCACTCGCCTAGCCGTCCGCCGCCCTTCTCCCCGGTGGTGAGGCCTACGCCGTTCGCCGCGCTCTCAGCCTCCACGTGCCCGATGGCGATGGCCTGCTTCGCCGCCTCCACCGCCGTGTCCCCGCCCTCGCCGTTTGGAGATGAAAAGGCCCATGATCTTGATACCGACCTACTACTACATCCACGGCAGCAAGCTACTCCAGCCAGCAACACTAGCAGGCTGCAACAGCCATTGACTTCGAGTTGCTACGGACAAACGAGCGAGCCAGACATCACCTCGGCACCAAACTGTTAGCGTGATATATGTACATGTGTAGTTTCCGGCTTCCTTCCTATCCTCCCGATTCTGTTGCTATAAGTCGGTTGAGTAGATATGGTTGGTTATACCTATATATGTACCCACTCCGTGATTAATTCAATCTATTGCGTTGAGTCATTTCTTCTCACATGGTATCAGATTCCATCTAGCTTCCGCACACTTCCTCTCTCCCGGCGTTTCTCATGGCGCCGCCCACCCTCCTCCCTGACTCCGCTCGCGCGGCCCTCGACGACGCCGTCCAAGCCGTCGCCGACGCCGTCCGCACGTCCTTTACTCCCCGTGAAGGCAGCGCCGTCGACCCTGCCACCGGGTCCTCCGTTGCCAACCTCGCTGCAAACCGGGCCTCCAAGGCAGCGCATGCCGCTCTCTCCGACGCCCTCACCGCGTTTGTCCTCTCCACCAACATCGATGGATCGCCGATATCTGCTTCCTCCTCGGCGTCTACCTCCGATACGGTGCTCTCTTCCTTGACTTCATCCTCGACCTCGACGTCGGCTCCGGTTTCTTCCTCGACTCCGCCCGCCCCGGCAGTTCCTCCTCCAACTTCATCATCACCGGATCCTGCGGTGTTGCTCCTGCCGGCCCTGGAAGCCATCCTCGACCCGGTGCGGTTTCCTGGCACTCCTCAACAGCCTTCACGGTGCCCACCTGCTGCGCCGGCGCTCGGCCCCGACGCCCTCGCGGCCCTCCATGCGCAGGCCGTCTCAGTCCTCAACATCAAGGCCCTAGTTCCCATCACCCTCGACGTCGCTACCGCCAACTTCACGCGCTGGCGCGGCCTCTTCCTCATCGCCCTCGGCAAGTATGCGTTGACGGCACACGTTCTTTCCGACGAGCGCCGCCCCGACCTCGCTGAATGGATCCAGATGGACTGCGTGGTGCTAGGTTGGCTCTATGGCACCATCTCCTCCGATCTGCTTCAAGAGGTCATGTCGCACGACGCCACCGCCCGCTCGGTATGGCGCGCCCTTGAGCTACAGTTTCTCGGCTACTGTGAGCAGCGCGCCCTCAACCTCACCACGGAGTTCCGGACCTTCCACCAAGGCGACCTTTCCGTCAACGACTACTGCCGGCGCATGAAGACGATGGCGGACTCACTTGGTGACCTTGGCGATCCTCTCACCGACCGTGCTCTGGTTCTTGCTACTCTCAATGGTTTGAATGAAAAGTTTGATACCTTGCGTAGCCTCGTAACCATGCAGCGTCCTTTCCCGTCCTTCGCCGACGTTCGCTCGCAACTCTTGTTAGAAGAACTCACCAAGGCCAGTCGCCCCTCCGGGCAGTCCACCGTCCTCCTCGCCGGCGCTTCTAGAGGCAAGCCGCCATCGACGCCCAACCCTGCCCACGTCACCGGCTACGGCGCGGGCGCGTCCGGCGGCTCCGGCAACAGCTCCAACAACAAGAATCGCCGTCGTCGCGGCGGCGGCAGTGGCAACAGCGGCGGCGGGACGAACACCGGCGGCGGCGGCGGCGGCGGCAACACACCATGCGGCCCCAAGACTCCAGCGCAAGGCTGTCACGCCCAGAAATTTACCCCAAATTTCCAGACCATTTTGCGTATTAAATCCCTGTCCAGGACCAGCCAGGGTACACAAAACGACAAGTAATATACAGTTCCAAACGTAAATAAAGCGTAAAATACTTACAGAAGAGGCACTTAGTCCTCACACAGAAACAAAAGCAGCAACAGCGGAAAAAGGCGATCCTAGCGGGGCTTCAGCTCCACTCCACAGGCAAAACTCAACTGGGGTCTGAGCCTTGGTCCTCTAACTTCGTCTTCAGCTCAGAAGCACTACACTTCTGAAAAGGGGGGATAATAGCAAGGCTGAGTACAACCACCGTACTTAGCAAGCCACACCAACGATGCAGACGTGCAAGGGGATACAAGGAGGGGTTTGTGGCTATTTGCATAAAGGCGGTTGTAAAATATTTTGTTGAGCAAAACAGTAACACTGTTGAATAATTAAGGTAAATTAGATCTCCACTGATCAACGCTACACCACGTTGAACAGGCCCAACCAACCCACCTATACTACAGTGCATTGGGTCGATTTATTAAGTGTGAGACTAATCACGGTGAATCTGGTCAATCGCCCATAACCGCGGGCACGGCTATTCGAATAGTTTTACTCTGGCCAGAGGTGCACAACTGTACCCACAAGACACAACCCACCGACATGTCACCGCGTCATCATGTGCCCATGATGCACACGTCACCATGTCGAGTGATTGTGACGAGACCCTTCGCATAACCCTCCCCTAACCATCCACACCACGCTAAGGTTTCACCCCCACCCCTCAAAAGGCAGTGGGCGGTCCCCTCTTGCGCCGCGGTGAATCCGGCAGCTGGACAACCGGACACCCCGGCCGACCCAACTCCATCACGCCCACCCTCGCCACCGGTGCCTAGGAAAGGGTCGAGCTATACTTCAGATCAAGCAGTTTACCCACTCCCGCTTGTGGCAAGCGCTGTAAGTCTTCCAGGGTTTCCCGTGAACCGGTCCTTAATTGCCATGGGTGCGACTCACAAAACCATGCACCCACAGCCCACCATTTAGTCGCATTTTAGTTGGATAATTACGACCATAAAACATGGCTAGATGTCTCGAGCACGCGGCTCAACAAGATACTAGAATGTCTAATACTGCAATTATCCCATCGACTGAGCTAGTGGTAATTAAGCATGGCTAAGCATATAGTTCTAGCTAGGTCATCAAAGTAACACAAGCTAGGCGATTTATTACCCACGGTTGACAAAGGACAGATATCAAGTAAACATGGCACAAGCGAGCAGATAGGTAAACCCTGATCCCATGTAATTAGCAAAACATGCATATTTATTTGCAAACGGTAAAACATTTATAAATTGGGAACAACATGCTCAAGGGGAATGTGTGACTTGCCTTGCTTCTTCACTTGGATTTTCTGAACTCTTTTCCTCGCGACCGCGATCTTCTGAAAGGACGGATTCTACACGCTGGCACGCAAAACGAGGAAAAACTCTAATAAAAACCAAGGAAACAGTACATAAAAAGTAAACAAACATGTAGAGCTCAATTTTAGATGAATTTTGCAAGTTGAATGGCTCAATTCGGAGTTCGAATGAATTAGATATGAATTTTAGAAGGTTTTGAGCCATTAAATTAATATCTATAATTATTACCGAATTATTGCGCAATTATTAAATATTTTCACAAAGGAAAAGGACTGCCGCTGACGTCAGCAAGAGAGGGGGCCGGCGCCGACAAGCGGGTCCCACCGGTCAGCGACACAAGGGCGCCGGTCCACCATGGACCGGGACCACCGAGGCGGTCCACCGCCGGTCCACGGGAACCGACGGTCCGGATCGGCCCAAGCCGATCGGGCGGCCAGGGGCGGCGCGACTGGGCACAGCACGGCACAAAGCCAGCTGGCCAAACGACGGCGCGCGGCGGCGCGGCCACCCGCGGCGACGGCCGGCAACAGCTCCCGTGGGCGAAAGCGGCGCACGCGAGAGAGCAGCGGCGCGGCGCGGCAAGGGGGAGGCGACACCACCGGCAACGGCGCGGGCACGGAGCGCCGGAGCGCGGCGGCAGCGACCCGGTCGGACGGCCACCGGCGGCGGCAGCGCGTCGCGAGGACGCCCGGGAGGCGGCCGACGAAGGGGAGGAAAAGGGAGAGGGAGGGGAGTGCTCACCGAGATGCACGACGGCGAAGGAGCGGCCGACGGCAAGGAACGGTGGCGACGGGGCTCCTCAGGAAGACGACGCGACGGAGCTCCGGCGACGGGCGTCGCTCGGGATGGGGCGGACGGGCTCGGCCTCGATCTGAGGTAGATAAAGGAGGGGTTAGAGAGGGGAGGACTGGTGCGTGGTGACCGGTAACGACTGCCGACCGCGACAATATGAGAAGGATCTCACCGGCGACCGAGGAAGGAGGAGCTCCGGCGGATTTCCGGCGAAGAGGGGCGGCGGCCGAGGTCCTCCTCGTCCTTGCGGAGCTGAGGGAGGCAACGGCGCGGGTCGGCGTCGACCGAGGCGGCGGCGCGACGCGGCTGGAGTCGGCGGCGGCGGCGGAGAGAGGTGGTTCGCGTGGCTACGGCGCTACGGAGGTGGAGGGGGGAAATGGAGCGGTGGCCGAGCTTGCCCGGGCGGTGGCAAAGCTGGCGGTGGCGGCGGAGCAGTGTGGCGGCGACCCTAGCGACGGGAAACGGCGGCCGGAGTTCGCCGAAGTGTGGCGGCGCGCGGGAGCGGCGTGGGGAGAGCGAGGGAGAGAGTGCCGGGCTCGGGAAACAAGGGGAAATGGACGAGGGGAGCACGGGGGTGCTTGTTATGGGCTCGGGAAGGCGGGATCGAGGCTGGACGTGGCGGAATCGGCCGGCGAAGTGGGGCGCCGACGTGGGGTGGTGGAGGGGTTAACCGGCGCCGATTTTCGCGGGGAGAGTGGGGGGAAAGGTGGAGGAGGTGGAGGGGATCGATTTCACGCGCTCGTGGGGCGGGGTGGGGCGCGGGAGCCGCGGCGTCGTGGGGCGAATCCGGCGGCCATGGCGGCGGTTGGGGCGACGGGAGGTTGGGGAAGAAGATGACAGGTGGGGCCTCGGGTCCCACCTGTCGGGGAGAGAGAGAGGGGAAAACGGGCGAGGGAGGTAAAGCAGACTTGAGGGAGAGAGAGAGCCGAGCGGGCCGAGGGAGAAGGCCGGCCCGAGAGGGAGAGAAAAGGGGCGCGCGGGCCGCGGGAGAGAAGGAAGACTTGGGCCGAAAATGGCCCAAAGAGAGGAAGGGGGATTTTATTTGTTTTCTTTTTATTTTAATTGATGCAATGATCTTTGTGCTATTAAAACTATTTCTCGAGCTCCGAAAATTCACGGAAAATTCCGGAGAGTACATTAGGGCACAAAGAATATTACAAAATATTCCCGGCCAATGATTTTTAAAGGGAAAATTTTAATTCTCCCAATAATTCACTTGGATAAATTGCTTAACTTTTTATTTAATTTCTAGGAAATGCATTATTAAATGATTTTTAATTCCGAACGAAAATCGGGGCGTTACAAAGGCGCACCGGGCCAGGCCGGCTGGCCCACTCCCGCGAACCCCTGGGCCGGCACTATCCACATGTGGCCGGGTCCAGCGGGGCGCGGACTGCTCGGCCCACGACCACAAGGCGCTCCTTTTGCTGGCGCGGCGTTCAATGGGCCGCCGAACGGCCCAATCGGCGTGACGCCGGTTGCCTACCAAGCCACCTTCCCGCAGGCCCAGCTCCAAGTCGGCCTGTCTTCCTCAAGCCAGCCGAGCACACCTCACGGGCCGGCGCAGCCCATGGGTTGGTTTCCTGGTGCACCAACACAATGGGACCAATTCCTATCCTCCCGATTCTGTTGCTATAAGTCGGTTGAGTAGATATGGTTGGTTATGCCTATATATGTACGCACTCCGTGATTAATTCAATCTATTGCGTTGAGTCATATCTTCTCACACAAACAATAATGCACCCCGATGGATAGCAACGGATACAATTCGATGACGCGCAATAATGGCGGCAACGACGTCCCGCCGTGTCGTCAGGTCGCCGCAGGCGACCAGACGATGTCCTTGAGCGCCGGCCGGAGCTCTTCGCTGCAAAACGACTGGTACTCCATGGCGTCGCCGCCATCCCTCTTGACGTCCACCAGGACCACCACGAGCAACGACGGCGCCATGCTGAAGACGTCGATCGGCCGCCACGGCGAGCCGCACCCCGCGCGCGCCGCTCCTCGTCACGCGCGTGGGCGTGGCGCCGCCCGTTGTGAGCGCATCCAGCCGCGCGACCACGCCGCTTGCCGCCTCCCGTGTCGCGAACCGCGTGCCGCCCGCGCGCGCCGTGGCTCGCCCTGGCAACGCGGCGGGGTCATGCTCGAACAGCGGCGACAGGTCGAAGCCCTCGGACAGGGAGATCAGGTGGAACCGCGTGCAGACCTCGGGTGGCATTGCCATGTGTGTACCGGCGTCGGCACGAGGTCGGCGATGATGGGGCGTAGGACGGGCGCCGTCTTCCAGAACCACGGCGTCTCGAAGAGGCCAGGGATGGTGATGCGGGTGCCCGGGTTGGGATCGAGCAGCATCTTGATGAGCTTTTGCCGTAGCGCTGGCTGCCGGACCTCCCCAGATCTGCCTTCACGCGGACCAGTGGCGCTCCGGTCAGGGGGCAGCGTCGACCATGCCCTCCGCCACCGCCGGAGCTCGCCTGCTCCGCCGCCCACCTGCACCGTCCGCTGCCCGGGAAGGGGAGAGAGAGAGGGGAAAGGGAAGAAGAAAAAGAGGGAGAGGGAAGAAGAGAGGAGTGTGGCTGACATGTGGGGCCACATGGGCCCCACTATTTTAAAATTATTTTTTTACAGCTGACATGTGGGGCCACGCTTTTTATTATTTTTCCGAGATATAATTGCCACGTAAGCGCCACGTCAATGCCACGTGAGATGAAGACCTAGTCAAACAAGCCACGTAGATGCCACGTCAGCCAAAACCGCCTTCAAAACCGCCGAGGAACCACGTTTAACAGATTTTCGTAAGTTGGGGGATGGGTCATACCCGGTTTTGCGGTCAAGGGACAAAAATCGGACTGGACGACAAATAGAGGGACCTAAAGTGAACTTATTCCACGTGAAAAAGATCTGGTTGCAGCCTCAACCCCTTTTCTGGGAAGATCACTGGTTGGGAGGAACAAGCATCAGATCGATCGCGCCGTCGATTTACGACATGGTTCCCAAGAGGATTCGCCGTCAAATATCGGTGGCTGATGCTTTGCGACACAGAAGTTGGGTTCGCTACGGATTGAGGGGGCAGATTCTTGGAATACCTGCACTTATGGTCTGCCGTCTCAACCACGACCCTGATCGTCAATCAGCCAGATAAGTTAATTTGGACTTGGACAACCACAGGATGTTACACGGCTCGATCGGCGTATCTGGCAATGTTCATTCATTGGAAGAGAAAAATTCCCAGTGAACTTGGTCTGGAGGAACAAAACGCCGCACCGCTGCCGATACTTCATGTGGCTTGTGGCTCATCGTCGTTGCTGGACAGCGGATCGACTGAGGCCGCGAGGCTTGCCTTCCTCACCCGGCGAGGTGTGTGCTTTGCGACCAGCACGACGAAACGATTGACCACATCCTGATCTTCTGCCCGGAATCCGCACAATTCTGTTGGATTGTGATGAATGCCATTGGGCGCCCGGATCTCTTCCCCGCTTCTTGTCCCAGTCTGGACCTTCTTTCCGCTGAAACTGCTCCTCCAGCGCTTGATGGCATCCAAACAAGATGAATGTCTCAAGTGATACAAGAAGACCACTCCAGGGCAGTGACCTCAACTGACGGCACTGATCGATCTTCAGAAAACGAAGCGAGCAAAAGTCATCCATATCATGAAGCTGCAACAGATCAGAGCAATCAATAACATACAGCTTTGTAAGGGAAACAAGATCACACAACCCTTCCATAGATGATAGGCCAATGCAAGATCATAGGTTCAGTTCCTTCAACGTTGTCTGGTGGCCAGATGTTGCATCACCTGAGGGCAGTGGTACAAATCTAATTTCTGAAGTCATGGCATGCCACCTAGATCTGGTATGAAGCAGCTTCCAATTTCCGTTCGAGTGCATCTTCTCCCCGTCGACTCTAGATAAACTCTCCCATTTTGCATATGGAATCATTCATGAAAACAGAATTGCTGAACCCGACAAATGTTTTCACGAGCACCAGAACCTCTTTCTGAAAATTGACAAGAGAACAAAAAATAATTAAAGCAGAGACATGGAATCATGGAGAGGAAGATGCTAAACACTTAAACTGAGCACATAGCATGACCTTACACAGGATGACAGGAATCATAAGATTAACCTGTGCATTGTATTTTGCAGCTGGGAGCCTGCACTTTTTTGCAGATCACTAGATCAAAAGCAACATGGCAAAAAATGTACAGGGATATTACACAACAGTAATGAGCCAAATATAATTTCTGTGAATGGCAGACAATAGGCATGTTGAGAATTAGCCATCCCTCTAGCAATCCAGCACATATTGTACATTAGTTCGTACAGACAGTATGGTTAAAAAGGCCATCTCATGTTTGAATCTCTGGTGTATTTAACTAGTCAGAAAAATACATATGATGTAATGCATACCCGATTATCCATCTGATTTCAAACAAAAAATACATACTCAGTTCTTTCCAAAAAAAAATAAAAGAAACTCCACCAGAACCATGGTCCTGATGTTCAAAGGTGCACATACATTGCATCCTGTGGAAGAGTACAAACTGTAAGCAATGACTGATGAATGTTCTGCAGCTCATAAAGAGTAGTTTAGGAGCGAAAATGCACAAACCTCATAATAAATTGGCCTGGTTAAAATGGAACGCATAAATGAATTTTATGACAGCTTATCTGCACAGTTAATGCCCAGCCATGGGCAAGCACAAGCTGACTAACAGCACCGGTGCGCAGTGTGCCCAGTGGCCAAGTTGCAATCAATGCCACAAGTGCTAGATTCCCAGATAACTCACTGAAGAAAACTGGAAGAGCTTGCTGCAGAATCAGTTGGATGCAGTAGACTGGTCTGGATTGACCACTCGATCATATCATTCTCGCGAAGTACTTCCTCAGCTATATCTGCAAAAGGTTGGCACTAACACGAATCAGTCGGTTACTTGGTTGTGGTAATATTTAGCAACAAACAAATTTCTAGATTTATCCTCATCAAAATTGTAGTGGTGATGGATTACCTTCAGTATCTTCCATCGATTTATCAGCATAGAAACATGACGGCAACATGGCATACTTCTCCCACTCAATGCCATGTTGCCATTCAAACTGCTCCTCTAGCAATGGATGACATCCGCTCAAATACAAAAAGTTAAGGGTCAGAGGAAGACCGTCTTCAGGTAAAGAAACAAGTTCAGGGCAATTGTGTATGATCATGACTCTAAGGGAGAAGAAGTCAACCATCTCAGGCAGAACCACTAACTTCAGGCAATTTCTGATCTCCAGTTTGGTGAGGAAAGAAAGGTTTTTCAGGCTCCTCAGTGATACCAGTTTGTTGCAGTGCTCTATAAGCACCTGTGTCAAGGTTGTTAGGTTTCCATCCTCAGGTAGTTCCTTCAATTCGGGGCAATTATTTATGATCAAGTTCTGGAGAGCAGGAAAACAACCAAAGTCCGGTAACAATGTTAAGTTGGGGCAGCTTATAAATTCCATTCCAGTTATCCTCAGAAATGTGCTAGGAGAATCAGAGAATCCAGGGATATACGGTCCCTTTGGGAGGTTGTGCCTTCGATCTCTAAGCCCATCGTTTGATATGCCTGCTCCATCAAAGCTGATGTCTGCAGATTCCATAGATTCCAGATAATGAAGACGTAAATCCAAAAGGCCGGTTAAGCTAATCTCTCGAGTAACACATGTGTCCAAGCGATGATCAGTATGCCACATGCAAATGATGGATTCGAGCACTTTCAATTTTACAGGTGGAGGGAAGACTGGTGGCAGCTCTTTCAGCTTTGGGCACCTCCTGATGAATACAACCTGAAGAACAGGAAAAGCATAATCGACTGAACACCAATCTGCCAGTTCTGGCAATTGTGTTAATTGTAGTGTTTCCAGGGAGGGAAAACCAACATCCCCATAGAAAGATGTGTCTATACACTCCAATGCGTTCATTGTATCAATATGAAGCTCCTTGAGACATGGTAGCTGACCTAAAGGTGGAAGCAACTTCCAACATGTGCAATCATGGATGTTAATGTGTTCCAATCTAGATAGCCAGTTGAACTCTAGCCAAGACGGAGATTTATAACCTGGGTATCCATCAACAGTCAGTTCCTTAAGGCCAGGGTGAGGTCTTAAAGCATTGAACACATCATACTCTTTATCTGACTTGCTATCTGCATTAGAAGAATCCCATTGCAGCTTCAATCTAGATATTTGACTCTTGTTGGCTAACTGAGCATTAGCTGCCTCATCCTTGTTATTCACATTCTCAAGAGACGAAATTACAAGAAATTCCTGGAGTTCATTCATGTCCTTTAGAATCTCTAATCCCTGCACTTTCGCTTTTTCAACACAAAATTCTCCGACTGCCCGAAGAAATGGTATATTCCCCGCAGAAGCCAAATCAACAAGAAGGTCCGTATGAATATCAATATAAAATATGCTGCTGAGGTTATCCAGATTTTTTGGGAAGATGACAGGTCCTGTATCCATAAAACATGAATGTGGGTGTACGGATAACATTTGCAAATGATAAAGACTGCAGAGTGATTCAGGTAGAGGATGGTTAGTGTATGGGAGAATTAAGCACCTAAGGTGTATCATATGATTTAAGTCAGGTGAATGTCTTAAGCAGCAACCTGTCAAATCCAATAATCTCAAGCTCTTGAACTCTTTGAAAAAATTTGCTTCCACACAAACTCGTGGGCAAAAACACCTGTCTTTATTCCAGATTATTAGTGTGCGCAGCCTTTGCAACTTACAGGTGCAAAGTAGGTCAATTCTTTCAGCCAGTATGGACAGATGCCGAACTGCTGGCGGGATCTCTTCAGGTTCATCAACATCTAATCTGTAGCACTCACCATTGGATGTGTGGAAAGCAAGATCGTTCATGAGGTCATGCATAACATAATGTACTGTACCTCCGTACTGAAGTGCCTGGAAAAATGATCTAGAAAACAACTCATCAAAATAACTTCTCCCGGTGCTTCTCAAACTTCCATAGGTGTGTCCATGATCCTGAATAAATTCATGAGCTATCCACATATTCACCAATATGCCAGGCTCAAAATAATAGCCTTTTGGGAACAAACCACAGAATGAAAAACATTGCTGAAGGTGCTCTGGCAAGCATTCATAGCTTAGACGTAAAATTGTCATAATATCTTTCTCATTTGATAAACCATTTTTTAGAACTCGATTCCATTCATCATAGTTGAAGTTTAAACTAAGATGCCCAGCAACGGCCTTTATTGCTAATGCTGAGCCATTCAACTTTTGCACAATGCATTCACCTATAGACTTCATTTCTTGATGTTCATTTGGATCTCTAGTGCTGAATGCACATCTTCTGAAAAGTTCCCAGCTATCTTCACTCTCTAGACCACTCAAAGAGAACGGAGTGGTACAGCCTAATGTATTTGCAACAATATCCATTCGAGTTGTAACTAAAATCTTGACTCCTTTCACCCCATGCCGTAAAGGAGCAAATAATTCTCTCCATCTATCAGCATTTATAGGCCCTCCAACCTTTTCATCATACCAAACGTCATCCAACACAAGTAAAAACTTCTTCATTTTTACTTTGTTCTTGAGTTCTTCTTGGAGCATGCTAAAATTGAAATTTGTTAGGTCAATGGTCTTATCAATAGATGTTAGAATTTCTTTGGTGATTCTGACCTTATCAAAGACATGTGAGACACATATCCATGCCCTCATATCATAATTATTCTCTATTCGTTTATCATTGTAAATAAGTTGAGTTAAAGTAGTTTTTCCAATTCCACCAGTACCGACTATGGTTATTACCTCTGGTGATACTGATATTGCTCCTTCAGTTCTTGACTTAGGTATGTCTGCTTGTTCCAACAATCGGTTCACTAGTTCATCTCGCTCCTTCTGACGACCGACCACAAACTCATCAATTGAAAATGAGCTGGTAATACGCCATTGGAGTGGTTCTGGCAACATGTGTGAACTAGAGTTTTCTGGTCCAATCACTCTGACAAGCATTTCAGCACATTCCTTTACCCTAATCAAGCTTTTAAGCATCTTTCTTAACTTGGACCTAAACTTGTCATGGCCAACCAAACGCTTAGCAATGGAAATAGAACTGGAGCCTAAGCTTCTAAGGTTTCGCTTTTCAGCATTTTCTTTCAGAAGCATGTAGTCAAATTCATCCAAGATGTCCTCAGCATCATAGACAGCATCTTTCAGTTGGTGGAGTAAAGTTTGCTGATTGCAATCAAGTGTTCTCCGCCTTTCTGCAGTGCCCACCACCAATAAAATTTCAGTTAAAATAGTCTCGAGCTTTTTAAGGTCATCCTCCAAATTGGACTGCCACTTGTACTGGGTTGATATATATGACTGGACCTTCTCAACCATAAGCTTGATGACAGGAGAAACTACCCATCCAACTCCTGTGGCTAGTGATAAAGTGGCCATGCTGCTCAATATACTGTCTTGGCTCTTCAATTTCTCCTTACAGCTTTCAACTGATGTACCTAATATGCATTGGTAAGATAATTATTTAAAGGTAACAACATAAGGAGAACATGTAGAAGTGAGGCATATTGGTGCCCATTAGTATAATTAATACTCGAAAGCATGTAAGATCATTGTCATAGACAACTATAGAAATTCCCCATTATTCCTTGATTTGTTGAACCAGTACACATAAAAAAATTCACTTAACCAGGCCGGCCTAAGACAGTTATCTTTGATGAAGTAACTTCAGTCCCAAAACTATCCCAAAAAGGAAGCCTTTTGACAATTTGTCATACATGTATTCAAATTATTGGACCTACAAACCGATATCTCCCGTCCTAATAATTAATTAGATAATATATGCCTTCCATGGATACGGATCAAACTGTGGATTATGCCTCGATGCTGCTCCAAATAATCAGTCTCGGAAACTTCGTTGATCCAAGCACAAAAATATCCTTAATTCCTCACAGAAAAGAAAAACACAAAGCGTACAAAAAAGACCCAATCCCTGCAGCAAGATCGAGTTCTTAGGCGCGATTTCGCCGCACAGCGACGAGTTCTAGGATAAACTAGTGAAGATAGGTCGTCGTACGCACAGTCGCACACAGGCATGAGGTGAAGGAGCATGTCTGCCTGATTGGTATTATGAGAGCACACAGCTAGGAAGCTATCAACCTAGGTCGCAGGTAAACAAACGTTTAGGGTAACTAGTAAAAAGTATAAAACGACGGTAGTGAATGAACACCTACCTTATTGGTAGGATCAGTACTCCAATCTCCTCCAAGAAGAAGACGCTCCCAAAATATCTTCTTGTTTATCAAGCTGCCTTTGTCGTGAGACCAGAGCCCGGAGGAGAAACCGGAAACAGAGCTGGATCAAAGGGGACGAACAGAACACGGAAGGTTCTGGCTTTCGACTCTTCCAAATCTTGAAGAACCGGAGACATATAGTGCTGGTTTGTGGTATGATATTGCCTACCAAAATTTGACAGGGTCAAGTTGACATGTGTGATTTGATAAAAAAAAACAAATTTGATGTACTCCTACAAGATATATAAATATATGGGTAATACTAAAAGAATTTATGAAATGGTATTGTTTTTTTTGTTGTTTATGGTGTGTTTAGTTGGCCACAAACTACTTAAAAGAATTTTAACTTTTTTTTACACTGTTTGACAACTCGTCTTATTTAAAAAATTTGTACAAAAAACAAAAGTTATCCTTAAAGTACTTTGGATAATAAAGTAAGTCACAGATAAAATAAATAATAATTGTTTGAATAAAACAAATGATCAAACAGTGTAAGAAAAAGTTAAAATCCCTTATATTATGGGATGGTATATTATGGGATGGAGGGAGTAGAATTTTGGTAAGGTCGGACGGACGGAGGGAGTAGAATTTTGGTAAGGTCAGACCAAGCTAGCCCGTATAAAACAGAAGAGCGGAAGCCAGTGAGATCAGCAAATTTTTTTCACTAATATTAGAAAAAAAAGGAAAATTTGCCATTGTGAAGCCCTCGAGTAATTGGAACGAAGTACTAAAACTTACCTTGTTGAACTAGACTACGGCGGAGGGACGACGACAAACAGGCCATCGCCGTCGCCGGGGAGGATAACATGCCGCCGTATGCAGCGGATAAGGCCGCTCGCTTCACCGCCGGCCAGGTGCCAGGTGGGGTGAACTGGAGCGCCCCGATTCTACTTCCCGCGCGCTTCCGGGACTCCCGGCCGGCGAGTGTCACCAGCGACAGCGAGCATCCAGCGCCGCCGCCTCCCCCATTCTGGCTTGGAAAAAGTACACCGAAGGTCCCTCAACTTGTCCTCGAGTTACAAAATCGTCCCCTTACCGCAAAACAGGATATAACGCATCCACCGAAGATCCCTCAGCGGTTTTGACCCCGGTTTGTCTGACGTGGCGGCTGAGTCAGCGTAGGACCCACGTGGGCCCCATACGTCAGGATGCCACGTCAGCGACCAGCCTCTCCCTTCCTCTCCTTTCCTCCCTTCTCTCTCTCCCACTCTTCTCTCTGGATTGGGCAGGCCGGCCGGCGGTGGGGAGGTCGTTGCCGGGGCGAGGAGGTCCGACGGCCGGCCGCGACGTGGCGGCGGCGGCCGGGACGAGGACGTTCTTCTTCACGGGCATCCCCCTAAAGCTCCCGACCCAGCGCAAGGCCCCCGATTTGCGCGCACGCCGAGAACGCCGCAGCGGCGGCGACGGTGTCGATGCACACGCCGCTATCATCCGCCATGACCGTACAAGAAACGACGTCCCGGCCAGCCGGCGGGGAATCCGTCGAAGAGCGCCCACGCGGAGGCGAGCTCGACGCGCGCGAGGTAGAGCTCGACGAGCCCATCGCGGACGGCGAGGCGGTGGTCGAGGCCGAGCTTGGCCGCGTGTGCGTGCACGGCCGACGCAGCCTCGTCGTGGTCGGCGACCAAGCCCTTGATAAGGGCCCTGAGGCAAAGCGGCGGCAGTGGCGCTCCGGCGAGCTCCTCGCCGGTGCCCTTATGCGAGCTGCGGTAGCTGTACTAGATTAACTTCTTGCTTTTTTTTTTGCCTAATTGTGATTTGCCAGTAGAATGACACTGATTTTCTATGGCCTCTTAGTTGGATGAGATAAGAAGAGATGAGTATGATGAGATGGCATTTGTAGCACGAGATTAATTTCTTGCCTGTTTCTGCTGGATGCCAAAATTGCAAGCTTTGATTCCCGATTTAATGGCTGCGATGGCCGTAGATAAATCCCAGCTGGTGGATCCCTTGATGTGTCTCGATCGAGTTCCGGGAGGCAGCAGCAGCAATGTCCGGCGCCGCCAACGCGACCTCGTTGGCCGCCGGCGCTGGCACGCCGCGGTCGCGGCTGCCGCGGTGGACGCGGCACAAGACGCTGGTGTTGCTTGCCGGCCGCCAGCGCTGGCACGCCGTTGTGGACGCGGCACAAGACGCTGGTGTTGCTCCTCCGTGCTCCCGCCGCCGCCGCCCTTCCCTTCTGGGTCGCCGCCGCCTCATTGCCGGCCGGCCGTCGGACCTCCATGCCCCGGCGACCTCGTCCCCACCGCCGGCCGTCCAAAGCCCCACAGAGGAGTGAGAGAGAGAGAGAGGAGGAAGGGAGAGAATAGGGGAAATAGAGAAGAGGCTGACGTGGCATGCTGACATATGGGTCCACGTGGGTCCCATGCCGATTCAGCCGCCACGTAGGGTCAAACCGGGATCAAAACCGAATTTATTGTGACTGATTTTGATTAGTTAAGAGACGTCGGATATCTTATTTGCAGGACGTTTTTGTAACTCGATGACAAGTTCAGGGACCTTCGGTGTACTTTTTCCTTCTGGCTTCCCCGCCGGCCAGACGAACTGCTTCGCCGTGGAAGTGTGCCTAGCCCAGTCACGGCCCAAGTAGAGCCCAAACCAACTGTTCTCTCTCTCTCTCTCTCTCTCTCTCACAACAATTTCGCTGACGTAAATCATCAGATATTTCCATTTCATTGACAAAGCATCTTTTGGAGTAGTTAATTTCAAAGGATATGGTCATAAAATCTCTACATTTTTTTCTGTAAAATAAAATTCACTTGTTCCAAATTGATTCCTAAATTGTCCGGTCTAAAATCAACTCTCTATAGATAAGGGAAGACCAAATCGTATCAAATCATAACGATATTAATATATCTCGGATACAATTTCATACTATATCCGAACATGAAAATAATGTTCTCAGTTTCTTTTTATTTTCTTTTTTTTTTCAAGGAAGAGAGAGCTTCATTGATAGGTAACAAAGTTATTACAATCGTTGAGAACAAAGCCTTGTACGCAAGTAGGAACATGTTCCCGCCAAACTGCACAATACTTCGTTTTGCTAGCCAGTGGTGCTAACTCATGAGCTACCCTGTTGCCTCATCTTACCTCATCTTACAACATGACAAATCTTCACCTCTGAAAGCAACTCCTTTGTACATTGCACATCAATGATAATATGACATCATTTAGATCGATTCTCTTTATGAGAATTTAGTGCATAACTACGGATAAACAATCTGTTTCTAGCACTACTGGCATATGAACCCATTCAGTGGCCAGAGCTAAACCTCCACGACAAGCCAATAGTTTCAATTCTTCTGCTGATGCTCCATGTCGAATGTACTTCCAGGATGATAACAAGACTGAGCCGAAGTTATCACGAATAATTATGCCAATACCTGCACTGCCTGAGCCTGCACAAAATACAAAATGTTCTCAATTTCTTATACATGAAAGAATTATATTTAAAAAAATCAGCCATCAGCTGGGAATCAAAAGCAAGGGTGAGCAGATCACTCCCCAAAACATGAGAGCACTGCAACATATTACTACCTCCTTTTCATTATTTATCATATTATAAGTAGTTTTGTTTTTTTTCCTAGTCAAACTTTTTAAATTTAATCAAGTTTACAGAAAAATATAATAATATTTTCAACACAAAACAAACTTACTACCAAAACATATTAAATAATATATAAAATGTTAGTTTTAATGAAACATTGTTGCTAAATTTTTTTATAAGCTTCATCAAAATGACTTATAATTAATATATAACGGAGAGAGTACGCATTATACTATTTCAGATCTTTTTAACTAGTAGCATAGACTTCAACTCAGAAATCAGAATACATACAAGAGAATTCAACTGGGAAGCAGCTTCCAATTTTCCGTTCAAGGGTATCTTCTCGTCGTCAACTCTAGCTGAACTCTCCCAATATGGAAACATTCAGCAAACAGAATTGCTGAATTGGCCCATGTTTTCACGAGCACAAAATTTCCTTCTTTTTGTCCCTGAAATTGCGCAGAGAATAAAAAAATTAAGCAAAGACATTGAGAAGAAGATGCTAAACACAGAAACTGAGCACATAGCACGACCTTACACAGGAATCATGGGATCAACCTGTCCATTGTATTTGTAGAACCCCAGATACAAAGCTAATAACATCCCAAAGAATGTACAGTCTACAAAATTACATCTAATGAGCCTAACGTATCTTCTGTAAATGACAAACAGTAGGCAGTCGAGAACTAGCCATCACTCTAGCAATCTAGTAGCATACACTAATATTGTACACGTACAGACAGTATGGTTAAAAAGGCCATGTCCTGTTTATGGGTATTTACCCGATTATCGATCTGATTTCTAGAAAAAATACATACCCGATTGTTTCAGAAAAAAAAAAACTCCACAAGAACCATGCTCCTGATGTTCAAAGGAGCACATGGCTACATTGCATCCTACGGCAAGGGTACAAACTGTAAGCAATGACCGGTGAATGTTCTGTAGTGCTCTAAGAGTAGGTTTAGATGCGAAAATGCACAGACCTCATGATAAGTTGGCCCGATTAAAATGGAATATGCAAATGAATTTCATGCCAGGGTGGCTGAGCTGCACAGGCATGAATGGCCAGCCGTGGCCAGCTGGCCAACAGCGTCGGTGCGCGGTGTGCCCAATGGCCATGCCGAAGTCTTGATCAATGCAGATAATTCACTGAAGAAAACTGGAAGAGCTTGCTGCAGAATCAGTTGGATGCAGTAGACTGGTCTGGGTTGACCACTCAATCATATCATTTTCAAGAAGTATTTCGTCAGCTATATCTGCAAAAGGACATGAGTTAGTATGTTGCGGTAATATTATTGCAACAAATCAATTTCTAAACTTATCCTCATCAAAATTCAAGTCGTGATGGGTTACCTTCAGTATCTTCCATCGATTTACCAGCATAGAAGCATGACGGCAGCACGGCATACTTCTCCCACTCAACACCATGTTGCCATTCAAACTGCTCCTCTAGCAATGGATGGCATCCGCTCAAATACAAAAAGTTAAGGGTCATAGGAAGACCGTCTTCTGGTAAACAAACAAGTTCAGGGCAATCTTGTATGATCATGACTCTGAGGGAGAAGAAGTTAACCATTTCTGGCAAAGCCACTAACTTCAGGCAATGTTTTATCTCCAGTTTGGAGAGGAAAGAAAGGTTTCTCAGGCTCCTCAGTGATACTAGTCCGTAGCAGGACTCTATAAGCACCTTTGTTAATGTTGTCAGGTTGCCATTATCAGGTAGTTCCTTCAATTTGGGGCAATCCCTTATGATCAAATTCTGGAGGGCAGGAAAACACCCAAAGTCCACCAATGATGTTACATTGGGGCAATCTACAATTTCCATTTCATTTAACCTCACAAATGCATGGTGAAAATCAGAACACCAGCCAATAAATGGTCCTTCAAGGGATGGAAGATTGGGGCTTGAATCTCTAAGCCCATTGTTCAACATGTTTGCTCTGTCAAAGCTGGTGTCTGCGATTTCCTCAGAATCCAAGTGCCAAAGATGGAAAATACCCACAAGGCTAGTTAAACTAACCTTTTGAATAATGCATGTGTCCAAGCGATGATCAGTATGCTGTGTGCAAACAATGTTGGATGAAAGCACTTTCATTTCTACAGGTGGAGGAAAGACTAGTGGAAGTTCTTTCAGCTTTGGGCAACTGATGAATACATCACGAAGAACAGGAAAAGCATAATCGACAGAAGACCAATATACTAGTTCTGGCAACTGTGTCAATTCTAGTGTTTCCAGGGAGGGAAAACCAGCAATCCCATAGAAAGATGTGTCTATACATTCTAATGCATCCATTCTATCAATATGAAGTTTCTTGAGAGATGGTATCTGGCCTAAAGGAGGAAGGAACTTCCAACATGTGCAGTTGTGAATGCTGATGTGTCGCAATCTAGATAGCCACTCGGACTCCAGCCAAGACGGAGATGAACAACCTGGGTATCCATCAACAGTCAATTCCTCAAGGCCAGGGTGAGGTATTAAAGAATTAAGCACATTCTGTTCATCTGACTTGCTATCTGCATTACAAGAGCCCCATTGCAGCTTCAACCTAGATATTTGACTCTTGTTGACTAGCTGAGCATTAGTTGCTTCATCCTTGTTTTTCACATTCTCGAGAGATGTAATTGTAAGGAACCCCTGGAGTTCATTCATGTCCTTTAGCACCTCTAGTCCCTGCATTTTTGTGTTTCCAACACAGAATTTTCCAGCTGCCCAAAGATATGGCATATTCCCCACAGAAGCTAAATCAACAAAAAGGTCCTTATGAACATCAATATGAAAAATACAGCTGAGGTTATCCAGATTTTTTGGGAAGATAATAGGTCTTGTATCCATAAAGCATGAATGTGGGTGTACAGATAACATTCGTAAATGATGAAGACTACAGAGTGAATCAGATAGTGGATGGTTAGTATTTGGGAGAGTTAAGCATCGAAGGTGTATCATGTGATTTAAGTCAGGTGAATGTCTTAAGCAGCAACCAGTCAAATCCAATAGTCTCAAGCCCTTCAACTCCTTGAAAAGATCTGCATCCACACAAACTCGTGGGCAAAAACACCTGACTTTATTCCAGATTATTAGTGTGCGGAGCCTTTGCAACTTACAGACGCAAAGTAGGTCAACTCTTTCAGCCAGTATGGACAGATGTCGAACTGCTGGCGGGATCTCTTCAGGTTCATCAACATCTAATCTGTAGCACTCACCATTGGATGTGTGGACAGCAAGATCGTTCATGAGGTCATGCATAACGTAATGTACTGTACCTCCATACTGAAGCGCCTGGAAAAATGATCTAGATAACAACTCATCAAAATAACTTCTTCCAGTGCTTTTAAGACTTCCATAGGTGTGCCTACCATCCTGAATAAATTCATGAGCTATCCACATGTTCACCAATACATCAGGCTCGAAATAATAACCTTTTGGGAACAAACCACAGAAAGAAAAACATTGTTGAAGGTGCTCTGGCAAGCATTCATAGCTTAGGCGTAAAATTGTCATGATATCTTTCTCATTTGATAGACCCTTATTTAGAACTCGATTCCATTCTTGATTGTTGAAGTTTGAACTAAGATGACCACCAACTGCTTTTATAGCTAATGCTGAGCCATTCAACCTTTGCACAATGTGTTCACCTATAGACTTTAATTCCAGATGTTCTTTTGGATCTCTAGTGTTAAATGCACATCTTCTGAAAAGTTCCCAGCTATCTTCACTCTCTAGACCACTCAAAGGGAACGGAGTGGTACAGCCTAATGTATTTGCAACAATATCCATTCGAGTTGTAACTAAAATCTTGACTCCTTTCACCCCATGCCATAAAGGAGCAAATAATTCTCTCCATCTATCAGCATTTATAGACCCTCCAACCTTTTCATCATACCAAACGTCATCCAACACAAGTAAAAACTTCTTCATTTTTACTTTGTTCTTGAGTTCTTCTTGGAGCATGCTAAAATTGAAATTTGTTAGGTCAATGGTCTTATCAATAGATGTTAGAATTTCTTTGGTGATTCTGACCTTATCAAAGACATGTGAGACACATATCCATGCCCTCAAATCATAATTATCCTCTATTCTTTTATCATTGTAAATAAGTTGAGCTAAAGTAGTTTTTCCAATTCCACCAGTACCGACTATGGTTATTACCTCTGATGATGTTGGTCTTGCTCCTTCGCTTCTTGACTTAGGTATGCCTACCTGTTCTAACAATTGGTTCACTAGTTCATCTCGCTCCTTCTGACGACCGACCACAAACTCACCAAGTGAAAATGAGCTGGTAATACGCCATTGGAGCGGCTCAGGCAACATGTGTGAGCTACAGTTTTCTGGTCCAATCACTCTGACAAGCATGTCAGCACATTCTTTTACTCTACTCAAGCTTTTAAGCATCTTTCTTAACTTGGATCTAAACTTATCATGGCCAACCAAACGCTTAGCAATGGAAATAGAACTGGAGCCTAAGCTTCTAAGATTTCGCTTTTCAGCATTTTCTTTCAGAAGCATGTAGTCAAATTCATCCAAGATGTCCTCAGCATCATAGACAGCATCTTTCAGCTGGTGGAGCAAAGCTTGCTGATTGAAATCAAGTGTTCTCCGCCTTTCTGCAGTGCCCACCACCAATAAAGTTTCAGTTAAAATAGTCTCGAGCTTTTTAAGGCCATCATCCAAGTTGGACTGCCATCTGTACTGGGTTGATATATATGATTGGACCTTCTCAAACATAAGCTTGATGACAGGAGAAACCACCCATCCAACTCCAGTGGCTAGTGGTATAGTGGCCATGTTGCTCAATATAGTGTTTAAGGCTCTTCAGTTTCTCCGTGTAGCTTTCAACTGATCTACCTATCATGTATTGGTCAGATCAATTATCCAAAGAGAAAAACATAACGTGAACATGTAGAAGTGGAACATATTGGTGCTGGTTCATATAGTTGATAGCACAATTCAGAAATAACCTTCGCATTACTCAAATGCATGTAAGATTACTGCCAGAGATACTAGAACTATAAGTACATAAATTTCCCATTATGCTCTGATTCTGCTGCTTTGTTTTATCAGATCATTAGGCCCCTAGGCAAAATAAGGGTAGGAGTACAAATGATGTAACTATCTCGTTTTTTTCCCGGTTAAAGAGGCTAAAAGACAAATATCCAAACAGAGAAGAAACTTAAGTTCTTTGGGTGGGGGGGGTGGGGGGGGGTTGATAATTTGTCATACACGCATCCAAAATTATTTGCCTCCAAACTGGTAGGAGTTCCATTCCTAATTAGAGCAGATCCCTCTCCGAAATCCAAATAAGCATCAACTGGAGTATCTCTCCATGGCCCATGCTGCCCCAGATAAACTAAGTTCTCAAAAACTTCGTTGCTTCATGTATGAAGTACTATCCCGAAAACCCGAAGTATCTGTATTTCCTCCGAAAAATTTAAAAAAAAATAGAGGATATTATAAGGACTGAATCCTGCGCCACTGGAGTACCTAAGCACGATTTCGCGGCGGCGCGACGAGTCCTAGGATAACTTAATGAAGCTAGGTTACAGGGGAAACAAACGCCATACCTGATTGGCAGGATCAGAACTCCAATCTCCTTGTCGATCAATCCGCGTTTGACGCGAGACCGGAGTCCCGGAGGCTGGATGGGAAAGAGAGCAGAGGATCAAGGAAGGGGACGACACGACAGACGACACTGACTGAAGGACAGTTCCTAAGGAGGTATTGGGAGTTTACAGAGATACTCCATTCATATTCGTAAAGAAAGTCGTTTAGGACAATGTTTAAGTCAAACCTTAAAAATATAAATCATAAATAACTTTCAAGTTGTTAAGTTTGAAAATGTAAAAATTATATGAATATATTTGTCTTGAAAAAATACTTTCATAAAAATATATATATATATATATATATATATATATATATATATCACTTTTCAATAAATATTTTTATAGAAACAAGAAGTCAAAATTGTGTTTTGGAGATCGTGTCCATGTCCAAAACGACTTCCTTTACGAGTACGGAGGGAGTATTTAACTATTGGCTTACCACTTTCATAAGTGGCCATTAAGAAATTGCCACTGAACTTATATGTTACAGACACATGAGGGCCCACATGTCATATACTGTGAGTGGCATATTCTTAACTACCACATCTTAAAAGTGGTAAAAAGCTAAATGCCTTAGAATTGAGAGGAAATTTCTCATTTACTTTGCCTGTCAAGAGTACGATCGTCGCATAGACAGCTGCTATCAATATTTATTGATAGAGTATACTCCCTCCGTACTCGTAAAGAAAGTCGTTTTGGACAGCGACACGGTCTCCAAAACACAACTTTGACTTCTTGTTTCTATAAAAATATTTATTGAAAGGTAATATATGTATACTTTTTTCAAGACAAATATATTCACATAATTTTTATATTTTCAAACTCAACAACTTAAGAGTTATTCATGATTTATATTCCCAAGGTTTGACTTAAACATTGTCCTAAACAACTTCCTTTACGAGTACGGAGGGAGTATCCATTTGTGGATATAGAGTTCGGATTTCTACCCATTATTTCTAAATATCAACATTTGTTAGTTGCATACCCCTAGAATAATCATTATAGCCATTGAATTGAAATCCAGTAATTCCACTTTAGCAACAACTGAGCTTTTCTACATTTTAAACAGGAACAATATAGAGCGAAGAGAACAACGTGGGCATTGGATTTTGCCGATTGAATCATGAGCACATTTGCATAATCAGAAACCGAACGGTGCACCATTTCAGTAACATTGGCACATGGAAAACCCAAATTGCAGCATGCAATTGGAATTTGCACAGGAACAGCAGCACAACGCAGGGGACGCATGCCATTTGCCACCCTGACACCCAAATTTATCTGGGTAACTAGATCGCTCCTCAAGCCAGTGCAACCCATCATAATCCTCATGAAAACATGCAACTTAACAAGTGCTGACCACTCTGGTGATCTTCAAATTCTCCGATCCCCATAAACAGTCAATGTAAACGCTAAGAAGCGATCTGCATACAAAAATATATAAAATGTAAGCGCTAACTTGCGTTTCAAAATGGTCATGTAATTGGTGCGTGTAGGTGTGTCGGTATGTGTAATACGGAGTATCACTTCTTACGAACTCGGAACTATTATACTCACAGTAGTTTAGCTTGGTTGCCAGATCAGAACTTGTCCACAACAGTTTCGCTTGGTTGCCAGTTCAGAATTTCGACCAGTACTCCCAAACTTTCCCTACAAGGAACGGGTCATGGCACTAGAATTAGATCTATGTACTATGTATCAACGAGAAATTTGACATTCCAGAATAAATAAATGACATATTCAATTTCCAAATTCCAATACTAAATTCAGAACAGTGAATAAAAAGTAATATTACTCTGATTTGTATGACGCATGCATCCAGAAAGGGCAGCAACCTTGTTGTAGTCAGGACCATTTTTCAGCTCAAACTGCTTGCCTAATAATGGATGGCCTTCTATCAAGAAGAAAGCTTTAAGTGATACAGGGAGACCATTCCTCGGCAGTGCCCTAAGTTGAGTGCATCGACCAATTACAAGAATCTTTAGTGAATAAAAGGTGCTCATATCAGGCAGCGATATGAGAGCAGAGCATTCTATAACCTTCATCTTTCTAAGGGAAACAAGTTCATTCAAATCTTCTAGTGATGCTAGCCCATCACAGGATTCAATTCTCAATTCCTCCAAAGCTGTGTGGCAACCAGATTGATATAGTCGTGTCACTTGGGGGCAACTTCGTAAAAGTAAAATTTGGAGGGATGGCATGTTATCCATGTCTGGTACAGATTCCAAATTATCACAATTTTCCAATCTCAACTCTTTGAGGGAGACAAGGGATTGTGATCCCTCGAGTGACATCAGCCAATAACATTTGTATATGTTTAATTGTCTGAGCATCCTCAACTGGTGCATGCTTAATGATAATTGAGATGGCATTCCAACTGTATCACAAGGTCCAAGGTCTAGTGTGTCGAGGCATACGAGGTTGTTCAGCAACTTGGATAAAGAACTTGCTCGCAACTGACACTTTATTAGTTCAAGACGTTGAAGTGATGTAGGAAGCACAGTAACCCCATCCTCATCCCACAATGTGCTAATTATGGGGTATGTATTCTCCCAAGATGATCCTAAACCAAATATTGTGAGCTCTTTGAGTTGCTTCATATTATTGAAGGCTACCTTAGGAATGTCTCTCAAATGATCTACGTAGATCTTCAGCTTTTCAACAAACTCTAGGTGATGAACACGCAAGACATAGAAGAAGCTTGACAACAGGCAGCAAAATGATCTTGTGAGTTCAAAGTTGTCCATAAAAACCTTGAAGTGGATTTGTTCCTTATCAAGTATAGCAATATGTCTGAGGGTACGCACATAGGTCGGGTATTCTCTTAACCTTGGGCATCCAGAAAATGAGAGATCTCTGAGAGCAGGAAACAACTGGTCGTTCTCTACAATACTCCATTCTAGTTTGGGCAAGCGTTCCAGCAGCAGTCTCTCCAATGAGGGGAATCCTTTACGGCCCAAGAACTCCTGATCTAGTATTTTTAATTCATCCATTCTCCGAACTTCAAGAGCTTTAAGCAATGGTAGATCCCCTAAAGGTGGAAGTACCTCCCATTTTTTACAATCACGTAAGCAAATCAATTGCAAACTGCTCAGCCAACCAGAATTCAACCAGGTGGGAGAAGTAGCACCTGGATATCCACTTATAGTTAGCTCGACAAGATTAGGGTGCGGCTTTAGCACATTAAGCACATCACAACCATTGCTAGTGTGACCATCATGGTCACCCGATCCCCATTCTAGCTCCAGCTTTCTTATGTGCTTCTTTAGCTCAAGATTGGCCTTAGCAGCTTCCTCTTTTGTTTTCACATTCTCCAGCAATCTAATTGCAAGCTCTCCACGAAGTTCATTCAGATCCTTCAGCCCAACAATACTTTGCCCCTTCTTGCCAACATGAAATTCTCCTGAACCTTCAACACATGGAAGTTGATGCATGCCTGTTAGCATGAGAGCATATGACTTCTCTATATCAACATGCACCAAGTTACTGAGTCTGTTAATGCTTTCAGGAAGACTGAAACAACCTCCAGCTATGTTCACTTGCCCCCATGAAAGATTCAAAAGTTTGTGAGAGGAACAATGTGAGCTAAATTTTCCAGAGGAATAACATGAATGATACTGTACAAACAAGGCCCTTAGATGATGAAGTCTAGAAATTGTTTTAGGTAGTGTGTAACATGTCCGCTGTATAGCTAGGAAACGGAGGTGAATGAGATTGTACACAGCATCAGGCAAGCGTTTCATGCAACAGCCACTTACATCCAGCACCCGCACCCCCTTCAGCTTGGCAAGTATACCATGAGTGAGGCTGAGTTTTGAGCAAAACCAAGACTTGTTAAAAACTAGTAGTGAACGCAATCTTCCCAAACTACCAAAACTCACAAAATTTTCCAGGAGTTCAGCAGAAACAGACAAATGCCTAATATGATGGGGTAACTCACTCGGACTGCCATGTTCAATCCTATGGCATTCGCCCCCAGAAACATGAAGTGCCAGATCATTCAATACATCATGCATAATATAGTAAATTTGGTCTCCACATCGGAACACTTGGAAAAATGAGCGCTGTAGCAAATCATTGAAATAGCCTCTGCCAATATCCTCCAGACTAGTATTGATATTTCTGTCTGAATGAACAAAACCCTGAGCTGCCCACATATGGATCAGCCTGTTTGGATCAATGCGGTAACCTTTAGGGAATAAACTGCAGTACGTAAAACACTGCTGAAGATAATTTGGTAAGCTTTCATAACTTGAGCGTAAGATTGTCATAATGTCATTAGGGTTGAGTACACTTTTCTGAAGAATTTTGTTCCATTCCAGAGCGTTGTATTTGCCACTTAAATGGCCTCCAGTCACCTTAATGGCTAGAGCTGAGCCTTTTAGGTTTTCAACAATTTGGTCCTCAATTATCTTCAACTCTGGGTAATCTTCTGGATTCCTGTTTCCAAATGCACATTTCCGGAAGAGCATTCTGCTGTCATCTTTTCCAAGGCCCTGCAAGAAAAATAAGCTTCTCGAATCTAGCATTTTTGCTACCAATTCTGCCCGGGTTGTCACTAGTATTTTGCTTCCTGTTCTCTTTCTCTCTAAAGCCTCAGAACTTATATATATATTTCTTATGGGAGCTATCAACTCCTTCCACGTTTCTCTGTTCATGTGCTCTCCAACTCTTTCATCATACCACACATCATCCAGCACTAGAAGAAACCTTTTGCACATCAGTCTATCTCGAAGCTTTTCTTGGAGCATACTGAAATTGAAACTGGCCAATTCAATATGTTCTGTGCCAGCTGTGCATGCTATGATCTCCTTAGTTAGTCTAGTTTTGTCAAAATTATGGGAGACACAAACCCATATCTTCAGATCAAAAATCTCAGTAATCCGCTCATCATTGTAAATAGCTTGTGCTAGTGTAGTCTTGCCGATGCCCCCAACACCAACAATAGAATGCACCACTGTATTAAATAACTGACAATCATAAGACAAATGTTCATCACAATCCTTCACCAATATACTTACTAGTTCATCAATCTCATTCTTCCGTCCAAAAATTGTATCTTCACGCAAAAGAGATCCTGTGGCTCTTGCTGGAGCATACTCAGGAGACTGACTGAAGCTAGAGACCTCCCCTGCCATAACTTGAGCAAACATCTCTGCGGAAGCTCTAACTCTGCCCAGTGTTTTTATAACTTCTTGTAATTTTGATCTGAGCTTATCAATGCTAACTAAACGCTTGCCAATAGAGAGAACAGATGAGAACATGCCTAGGTCTTCAATCTTTTCTTTGATCAGATAGTCAAACTCATCCAAGACATCATCAGCTTCACAGACTGCATCTTTCATTTGGTGCAATGACATCACTTGACTACTGTCTTTTCTACTTCGTCTTTCCGCTGCGCCAACCACCAACAAAATCTGTACCAAAGTGGACTCCAAATTCTTGAGATCAGACATCATCTCAGACTTCCAGGTGAACTGGCTTGATATATAGGACTGCACCACAGAAACCATTTTACGAATGATAGGTGAAACAATCCATCCTACAGAACTCATTGCTGAAAACTCAGCCATGTAATCAGAAATTCCCTGCATGATATCATAAATAATGAATTGTTATAACTATGGGGACCAAAATAGCCGAAAACACAGTATGCAAAGAATTTTCAGAAGCTTAATTTCTAGAGAGGATGAAACAACCTAGGAGCCCAATGTGTAAAATATAAAAGCTTGTGTAAGCCTGATTTAGGTGTTTCAGAACAAAGATACTAAACTATGATTGGGACCAACAAATTCAATTGTCAGCAACTGTTACTGAGACATAAATAATCCTCTCCCCGTGAAACAGTCCAGACAGAAGGGCAATCATATTGATTATGCAAAACCACACAGGTTCACAAGTTCCTTATAGTTCACAAAATCTATTTGAGTAATCAAAAGACAGAATTAGGTTCAACATATATACTTCGACCAAGTAAAGCATAGATAAATCATACTTATTTTAGATAACAGGTAATTTTAATTACCCGGTTTTTTGGAGAAAGCCAAAAGGAACAAATAGAGAGTCTTATACAGCCCAAACAAAACAAAAGCATGGGCACAACATGAACTGCTGGGGATACCAACTTCAATCCAGCACACTCATAGATAATTCATATGTCCTGAAAAATCCTTCGAAAATTTCGATTTTGTGAGTTTTATTATGCTGAGAAATCCTTCGAAATTTTACAGGCAACAAAAGGATGAGAGGATTGCATAGAAGTAAAAATGTTAACTTCCTGGCAATCTTCTACTTGTGGATAAAATTGCAAAATATAAGTTCTAATGACCATCCAAACTCCATAACCTGGAAATGGACATCATTCTGCCATTCTGGAATCCACAGTGCTAGATCAGATTATAGAGTACAATTTGTTGCGCTGTTCAGCAAACATGCCTAGCTAGTATCTGGAGGTTGGAAACATAACAAAACCTTATGTTCTTCATGTGGCTACTATTGCAGGAGAAAATATTAACAGCTCACAAACTACAAGCAAGATGATTTCTGAATGATGATATTTTTCAATTATGTGATCAAGTACAGGAAAAAGCAAAACACTTGCTTCATCAATGGCCATTCTCCAAACAACTTTGGCCCAAGATCTCTGTTTGGCTGGACATTAATCTCTATCCAACAAATTATGGTTATACTCTGGCATCATGGGAATGCACTGACGGTAGGAAAAATAAAGCAGGAGAAGGAGGATAATAACAATAGGAACATACACAGTTTGGAATAATGGAAGGAGACAAATAGGAAAATTGTTGAACATCAACTGAAGATGGTAGATGAGCGCTTCATGATCAAGGAAGAAATTGAAACCTTCTAGGAAGCAATAGCGTAGCAATGTTGAACTTCAATTCTAAGTACATGTCTTAGTTGATTTGTTTTTCCTTGTAAATAAACTTCCGTCAAGCTAATGAATAGCACTGCTCCTGCTTCAAAAAACAAATCCTTCGAAATTTAGAAGCCTTTAAACTCTGAAGAATACCTGATCAATATTATGGCATAAACTCCTGCTATCAAGCGAAAGAGACCAAGAATAATACCTGATCAGTATTATGGCATAAATTCTTTTTTCCCTTCCAGAACAAGAAACCATAAAGAAGCTGTAGCGATACTGCAAGCAATGGGGATTGACAAAGTGGTGGGCATTGGCCAAAGCAAGATGGGGTTAAATGGTGAGCCATACAGTTGTCATTTTCTTCCCCCAGCACATGATTAGTTTGTCATGTGAACACTAATTCAATAAATAAATTATACCAGATTATGATCGATTCTAATTTGATGGGATTTGGTCTTTACTTATCTTTAGAGAATTGGATTGGTCACTAAATCACCAAGCCACAATTGTCCCATTAATCTCAATCTTCCTCTCACATATATTTTTCTACATAACAAATGCACGGAATCCCTGGGCGGTTTGGTCGGAAGCGCGCCAGCAGCCAGCCACACGGGAAGACGCCGATCTAGTCTTCAAAGGCAGCTGTATGATTTTGCTTAGCTGGGCCCTGAAAAAGCCTATGCACATTATGCAATTCATTAAAATACGGGTGGTGTCTCGAAATCCATATAGAAAATGGGGGAAAGGATGCAGCAATTGATTGCATTCGAAACCCTACCACGGCGATCGGCGGAGCGGCGCCAAACAAGCCATGCTTCCGCCACAAAGCGTGTAGATCGATACGGCCGCCCGCCCCGCCGCCAGCGGCCGCCCGGCCAAGCCGGTGAACCGGAGCACCCGCACCACGTAGGCGGTGCAGCGCCCCCCGGATCCCGGCTCACGAGGGCAGGCCATGGACCTCCAGTGACCTCGCCGGAGTATTCGCCCGGTCTGCGCCGGCCGCGGCGGAGGCGTACGCCCGCCGCCGGTGGCCACGTCGGCCACGTTCTCGTGGGCCAAAAAATACACCCATGAGTTCACTCTCTTCTGTATATGGGCCGTTTTGTTTTTTTAACACGTGGGCCAAATTTGTTGAGGAGAAAGAGATGGGCTGAATCCAGTAGGCCTGATTCGTTACTGGAAACTGATGGGCCAAATAGATTAGTAGGCTGGATTTATGGACGAGAATTAAGTGGGGGCAAATTCAGTAATGGGCCAAATTCAATCATGGTTATTAGGTGGTCCAAATTATCTCGCAGGCTGAATTTGTTAACGGGAATTATCAGTGGTGGGCTGAATCCTTTGATGGCTATTAGGTGGGCCAAGTTCATTTGTGGGCCGAATATATTGAGAGGAATATTTGGTACCGTAAGATATTTTTACTGGTTCAGAGCAAATCTCCCCTATGTAAACATAGAAGACCATACCGTAGTTACGACTAAAGAGGTGGCAGAAATAGGTCAGTTGGCAAAATGGCAAAGTATTCGCTTCGTCAAATATAGTTCGAAAAGGTTGCTGCTTGGTTGATTTGCTCAGCTGTTTCTTAAATTTTCTTCTGCCTTACCTATTTCTTGAATCATATACTCGTATATGTTAACGGATGGAGGATTGGGTTGCCTGTTGACTGATCCTGCCATTATAACGGGTTTAACGAGCAAAAGCTATATATCTAGCTATATATCACGCCGTGCAATAAAAACCATCAGAATTGGCAAGTGTTTTAACGAGCCGAGAGGTATTTTCCCTGAAAATTGAGCAGACAACCAAAAAAAAAAAGCCGGGCAGACAACAAAATTGACCTTACCCAGGATTCAGGAGATCAACCTGATCAGTGATCACTGTATTTTGCAAGGGGGGACCATCATCTTTTTGCTGATCCTCATACTGAAAGCTACTAATAACATGGCAGCAAAATAAACAGGCTACAACTACACGGACAAGCCTAGTATAACTTCTGTAAATGATATAAATGACTTCTGTGAATGACAAACAGTAAGAATGTTGCGAACTAGCTACGACTTCTATAAATGCAGCTTGGATCCCTCATGATCACATACTAGCAGTATATCATATATAATACATTAGTAGCATAGAAAGTATGGTTAGAAAGACCATGATGCAGGCAAAAAAGGCTGCCGAGTTTTCTCAACTTAATGTGATATGCTCAAATCTCAAAATGTCATTTCAATCTCCGGTATTTATCTCAAAAGCCAGCATACATATTGTGTGATACATATCTGATTATTCCAAAGAAAAGGGAAAAAATAACTCCACAAGAAAGATACTCCTGGTGAGCAGATGGCAACATTGCATCTTGTAGAAAAAGTATAAAACGCAAGCAATGAATGGTGAATGTTCTGTAATGCATAAATAATAGGTTTAGATGTGAAAATGCACAAGCCTCATAATAAGTTGGCTTGATTAAAATAGAACCCACAGGTGGAATTTTTTTTTTTTTGGCCAGGTCAGCACAGCCACACAGGTAGATGTGATGAAGCTGTAGGTGATCACCGGCAGGCCTACAGCTTCGGAGGACAGCCCAGATAGTTTACTGAAGAAAACTGGAAGAACTTGCTGAAGAATCAGTTGGATGCAGTAGACTGGATTGAATTGACCGCTGGATTATATCATTCTCGCGAAGTATTTCCTCAGCTATATCTGCAATAGGTTGGCACTAACACAAATCAGTGGATTGTGGTAATATTTTTGCAACAAATAATTGCTAGACCTATCCTTTTCAAAATTCAAGCTGCTGTGAATTACCTTGACCATATCCTATCGATTCACCAGCAAACAAACATGACGGCAACATGGCATACTTCTCCCACTCAACACCATGTTGCCATTCAAACTGCTCCTCTAGCAATGGATGGCATCCATTCAAATACAAAAATTTAAGGGTCAGAGGAAGACCATCTTCCGGTAAAGAAACAATTTCAGGGCATTTGTGTATGATCATGACTCTGAGGGAGAAGAAGTCAAACATCTCAGGCAAAGCCACTAACTTCAGGCAATTTCTGATCTCCAGTTTGGAAAGGAAAGAAAGGTTTCTCAAGCTCCTCAGTGATACCAGTTTGTTGCAGTGCTCTATAAGAACCTCTGTCAAGGTTGTTAGGTGTCCATCCTCTTGTAGTTCATTCAATTCGGGGCAATCTTGTATGATCAAGTTCTTGAGGACAGGAAAATATCTGAAGTCCAACAACGATGTTATGTTGGGGCAACCAACAATTTTCATTTCTGTTAAACTCGCAAACGCACGGTGTAAATCAGCATACCAGCAGATAAATGGTCCTTGGTGGGATGGAAGATTGGGGCCTAGATCTCTAAGCCCATCATTCACCATGTCTGCTCCGTCAAAGCTAATTTCTGCAATTTCCACAGATTCCTGGTGACATACGTGAAAAATACCCGAAAGGCTAGTTAAGCTAACCTCCTTTTGAGTAATACATGTGTCCAGGCGATGATCAGTATGCTGTGTGTAAACGATGGTGGATGGGAGCACTTCCATTTTTACAGGTGGAGGAAAGACTGGTGGCAGTTCTTTCAGCTTTGGACACCTACTGATGAGTACATCGTGAAGAACAGGAAAAGCATAATCGATTGAAGACCAATCTGCCAATTCTGGCAATTCTGTCAATTCTAGTGTTTTCAGGGAGGGAAAGCCAGCATCTCCATAGAAAGATGTGCCGATGCACTCTAATGATTTCATTCCATCAATATGAAGTTCCCTGAGAGATGGTAACTGACCTAAAGGTGGAAGCAACTTCCAACATGTGCAATCATGAATGCTGATGTGTTGCAATCTAGATAGCCACTTGGACTCCAGCCAACATGGAGATGTACAGCCTGAGTATCCTTCAACATTCAATTCCTCAAGGCAAGGATGAGGTGTTAAAGCATTGAGCACATCATATTCTTTGTCAGATTGGCTATCTGCATTAGAAAAACTCCATTGTAGGTCCAACCTAGATATTTGACTCTTGTTGACTAACTGAGCATCAATTGCTTCATCCTTGTTTTTCACATTCTCGAGAGATGTAAATATAAGAAACCCTCGGAGTTCATTCATGTCATGCAGGAGAAATGCCCAGGGGTCTTCCGGCTAGCTCCACAAGGTGGTGGGCTAGACGACCTGGGTTCAAAGCCTCACCCCTCCTAATTATTTGATATTAGGTCCTTCCCTAATATTCTAGTTTTTTTTTTCATTCATGTCATGCAGCACCTCTAGCCCCTGCGCTTTCCTCTTCTCAACACAGAATTCCCCTGCAGCCCGGAGGTATGGCATATGCCCCACAGAAGCCAAATCAACAGTAAGATCCCTATGAACATCAATAGTCAAAATATTGCTCAGGTTATCCAGGTTTTTGGGGAAGATGACATGTTTTGCACATATAAAACATGAATGCCGGTGTAGAAACAACATTTGTAAATGGTAAAGACTGCAGAGTGAATCAGGTAGAGGACGGTTAGTATTTGGGAGAATTAAGCACCTAAGGTGTATCATGTGATTTAAGTCCGGCAAATATCTTAAGCAGCAACCAGTCAAATCCAATAATCTCAAGCTCTTGAACTCTTTGAAAAAATCTACTCCCACACAAACTCGTTAGCAATAACATCTTTCTTTATTCCAAATTATTAGGGTGCGCAGCCTTTGCAACTTACAGGCACGAAGAAGGTCAACTCTTTCAGCCAGTATAGACAGATGTTGAACTTCTGGAAAAATCTCTTGAGGTTCATTGGCTTCTACTCTGTAACACTTACCATTGGACACGTGGACAGCAAGATCATTCATGAGGTCATGCATAACATAATGCACTGTACCTCCATATCGAAGTGCCTGGAAAAATGATCTTGATAACAACTCATCAAAATAACTTTTCCCAGTGCTTGTCAAGCTTCCATAGGTGCGTCCACGATCCTGAATAAATTCATGAGCTATCCACATGTTAACCAACATGTCAGGCTCGAAATAATAACCTTTTGGGAACAAACCACAGAACGAAAAGCATTGCTGAAGGTGCTCTGGCAAGCATTCATAGCTTAGGCGTAAAATTGTCATAATATCTTTCTCATTCGATAGACCACTTTTTAGAACTCGATTCCATTCTTCATAGTTGAAGTTTGAACTAAGATGCCCACCAACAGCCTTTATAGCTAATGCCGATCCATTCAATTTTTGCACAATGTGTTCACCTATAGACTTCAATTCGAGATGTTCATTTGGATCTCTAGTGCTAAATGCACATCTTCTGAAAAGTTCCCAGCTATCTTTACTCTCTAGACCACTCAAACAGAATGGAGTGGCACATCCTAATGTATTTGCAACAATACCCATTCGAGTTGTAACTAAAATCTTGATTACTTTCGCCCCATGCCATAAAGGAGCAAACAATTCTCTCCATCTATCAGCATTTATGGGTACCCCAACCTTTTCATCATACCAAACATCATCCAATACAAGTAGAAACTTCTTCATGGTTATTTTGTTCTTGAGTTCTTCTTGCAGCATGCTAAAATTAAAATTCGTTAGGTCAATGCTTTTATCAATAGTTGTTAGGATTTCTTTGGTGATTCTGACCTTATCAAAGACATGTGATACACATACCCATGCCCTCATATCAAAATTATCCTCGATTCTTTTATCATTGTAAATAAGTTGAGCTAAAGTAGTTTTTCCAATTCCGCCATTGCCGACTATAGTAATTACCTCTAATGATGTTGACCTTGCTCCTTTGCTTCTAGATTCAGGTTTGTCAGATTGTTCCAGCAATTGGTGCACTAGTTCTTCCCGTTCCTTCTGACGACCAACTACAAACTCACCAATTGAAATCGAGCTGGAGATACGCCATTGAAGGGGCTCAGGTAACATGTGTGAACTAAAGTTTTCTACTCCCATCACCCTGACGAGCATATGGGCACATTCCTTTACTGTACTCAAGCTTTTGAGCATCTTTCCCAATTTGGACCGAAACTTGTCATGGCCAACCAAACGCTTGGCAATAGAGATAGAACTGGAGCCTAAGCTTCTTAGCTTTCTCTTTTGAGCATTCGCTTTCAGAAACATGTAATCAAATTCATCCATGATGTCCTCGGCATCGTAGACAGCATCTTTCAGCTGGCGGAGTAAAGCTTGCTGATTGCAATCAAGTGTTCTCCGCCTTTCTGCAGTGCCTACTACCAAGAGAATTTCAGTTAAAATAGTCTCCAGCTTTTTAAGGTCATCCACCAAATTGGACTGCCACTTGTACTGAGTTGATATATATGATTGGACCTTCTCAAACATAAGCTTGATGACAGGAGATACTACCCATCCAACTCCAGTGGCTAGTGGTAAAGTGGCCATGTTGCTCAATATACTGTCTCTTGGCTCTTCAGTTTCTCCTTACAGCTTTCAACTGATGTACCTAGCATTGATAAGATAATTAATTAAATATAAGAACATAAAGAAAACATGTCGAAGTGAGGCATACTGGTGTCCATTAGTCAGTACATTTAATAGAACAATTCAGAAATAAAATCCGCATTATTCAAATGCATGTAAGATTACTATCAGAGATGGAACTATATAAAATTTCCCATTATTCCTTGATTCCATTAATTAGTTAAACCAGTAGACCCCTAGACACCAAAAAAATTAGTACTAATGTTGCAGCTATCTCGGACTCTCTGTGTCTCAGCTGCAGTTGTCTTTTGTTAAGTAGACTTCAGTTCCTAAAATTTCCTAGGAGGGAAATTATGAAATATTTAATTTTGTTAAAATACTTTTAAGAATAATCTATATCATGTTCTAGCTTCTTCAAACTAAATATTTTAAAAGTTATAGATAGCCCTCAATTTTGTCCAAACGTCAAGAATTATGGAACTCCATATGCTAAATACTCCCTATGTCCCATATAAGCGATTTTGGAGGGATGTGACACATCCTAGTTCTAGTTCTAGAATCTGGATAGAGAGGCTGTCCGGATTCGTGGTAATACTATGTTCTAGATTTGTAATACTATGATGCGTCACATCCCTCCAAAAATCCATTATATTTTAGAATGGAGGGAGTACGTGGTTTTGCAATACAGCGGCATAAATCTATAGTTTTGACAAAAATATCTATGGTTTTGCAAAATTAACTCCATATGTATTTCAGCAAAAGGGAAACATAGATAACTCATATGCCTGGGAAGCAAAGAGGAGCTACATACGGATCAAGATCCACCAAGTAAATTCAATATAATCGTTTTACTATGGTGAGAAATCCTTAAAAATTTGACAGCCTACAAATGCTGAACTCATGCTATCAAGTGAAAGAAACCAAGAATAATACCTTATCAATATATAAAATCCCTTTTTCCTCTCAGAACAAAAACAAAAAAAACCATGGAGAAGCTGGAGCAAACAAAAAGAAAACCATGGAGAAGCTGAAGGCTGAAGCAGGCCAAAGAGCAGCAGCCAGCAGGAGAAAGGCAGAGCGTGTTCTGGTTCTAGCTAGTAGCAATAGCACTAAGCAACTCGGAACCAGACCAAGTTGAGGTTAGGTGGAGAATCCTCACAATGGCGCATGATTAGTTTGCAGTGTGGAGTGTGAACAATTTAATAAGTGAGAATAGACTCGAATTGAATAGTGCAGAGATGGGGGCATACTCCCTATCCCAAAAAAAAAAACCAACCTCATACAATAAATCTAGATATACTCTACGTCTAAATTCGTTGTACTAGGCAGGGGCGAAGTTATATTGGCTGTACAGTGCTTGATATCCTGTTTTTGCCACATGTGCACCCCCCTCAGCTCCCTTACGTGCACCCCCCGACGGCTGGCCAAAGCGCGGCAGGACGACGGACGCACGGCCGCGAGGTCACTTGGCCGCACGCGTTCAGTTGGTGCCCAATTTGCTGCATCAGCGTACTGCTTTGTTCATTTGTTTTATCGTTTTATTGATCATGTGTATCTCCCGTATGTGCTTATGTTAATGACATAGAGGCAAGGGCATAGATCTTCCTCATCGTATTTCCTCAATTTATCTGAATTCTTCACTTCAAACCTTAAAGAGTTAAAGTTTAAATATAGAGTTCAATTTCAGTTATTATTTTAATGGTTCTACATACTAGTTTAGGATTTACGTTGGGATTTAGGAAAGTGGAGTAATTGTATATTGATCCTAATTAAGTACTAAAATTTCAATTTGAGAAGTTATGGCACTAGCTCCCTGACTTTTGAATTTTATCACATTCTAATATCTAGTATTCATACTCCACCAGTTTTAGAGTGCGTTGGTTTGAAGCATGGAGAAAAATCCCTTGTTTTTTGCGCACATACTTCCCCAACCGTGTGTTTTTGCAAAGATCTTCTATAGAAAAGTTACTTTAAAAATCATATTAATTCATTTTCCAAGTTTAAAATAATTAATATTTAATTAATCATACGCTTTCTTCTACTTTCCTCTCCTCACAAAAACACACCCTTATTTAATGGTTCGATGCAATACTGAGTATCTCTTTTATTATGGCTCCCTTGATTTTACATTTTTAAGTAGGAATTTTTAATCACATTTCATCGTACGTTTTATATATCATGGCTTGAAAATTCTACGTGCCACTACATGTACAGTTGAGTGGTGCACCCCCTTCAATTTGTTCTGGCTTTGCCACTGGTACTAGGATGCGTCTCATTTTACTATGAGGTTAGGTATTTTTTATGAGACAGGGAGAGCGATTGAAAATCACCGAAATTCATGGCCCGTGCGCTAGCCGCCAGGGCGAAGAACCCGATCTGGTCGTAAATGGCAGCGGGACGACGCCAATGTAGTGGTTGCTTCGCTGGGCCCTGAAAAGCTGTCTACGCAGTTGATTAGATCATTAAAATACGGGTGGAGAGATTGATTGCAGTCGAAACCCTTACCACGGCCGAGCGACACCACACAAGACATTGCTTCCGGCGTAAGCGGAGGATCGATGCGGCCGCTCCCCTCGCCGCCGGCCAGCCGGTGAACCGGAGCTCCCGTTCCATGTATCCATGTCGGGCAGCGCAGCGCTCCCGGATCCCCCGGCTTGCGAGTTGCGACGGAGGCGTTCGCCCGCCGCCGTTGGCCGGGGCGGCGCAGCGCCAGGCGATGAACCCGGGCATTTAACTATTTGAACCATTGCCACTGCAAATGTGTATATCCAGATGATAAATGTTACTCCCTCCCCTGGTTTTCTTTAACGTTGGACCATTTTAGATATAAAAATATTTATGTCATGTTTAAATAATATTTGATGATAGATCAAGTCACAATAAAATAAATTATTATTATATAAATTTTTTTAATAAGACGAATAGTCGTCAACGTCGTCATATATTAAAATGTTACAATTCATCTATTCGTAGTTGTGGCACTAAAATTTTATAAAATTAGAATGATGCCATCGTCGTCATGTTTTCCTCCTCTTCCCCATTCGTAGGTGGGACCACCTGTCAGATTCATCTTCTTCCTCCATCCCCGCCTCTTCTCTTTTTTCCCATCTCTCTCCTTCTTAGCCTCCTCTCCACCAATCTATCATCTTCCCACGGCTCGCAACAACATCACCACCCATCGGTGGGCAGCGCGCTCCGGTGCAACAGAAATCCGAAGCGAAATTGTGCACGCCTCGCGATCCTTCCATGTCGTCCCCATCGCTCCGCCTCGCTGTCGTCGACGCGGGAGCTATGCCGGGACGGTCACGCCCCCGTGGCGTTCTGAGTGCGCCCCACATGCCCCAAGAGAAGAGGGAATGATGGAGAAAGAAGATGAATCTAACAGATGGGCCCCACGTGTAGATGAGGAAGAAGATGCAAAATGTGACAGCGAAGGCATGGTTCCGACTTTGTAAAATTTGAGTGATGCGGTTACGAATAGACGAATTGTAATGATATTTATAGGAATTGGCACATTTACAATGGTACGATCAAATTAATCCAATTTATTAAAAAAAATTTTGTCGGGTCCGCAAAGAGAAACCGGCCAAAATTTATTAAGATTAAAGAGAAATTTGGTTGCTGTGAACAACAACACAGTTGATGAAAAGAAAATCTTAGTATCAAGGTGCTAAGATACTATGGAGCACAATCACAAGCCAAAAAAACATAGACCAAAGGGCGGAGCATCACTCGCGCATTGCATTCCTTCCAGATCATCCATCAAAACAGGGAAAAGGCCGCATCAAACGCCTTCTTGCCCAGCTTGTCAAGCCCTGCACGTGCATCCAGCCACCAAGGCATGGTTTAGTTCCCCAAATTTTTTCCCAAAACCATCGCATCGAATCTTTGGACACATGTATATAGCATTAAATATAGATTAAACAAAAAAACTAATTGCACAGTTTACATGAAAATCGCAAGACGAATCTTTTGAGCCTAATTAGCCAATGATTAGCTATAAGTGCTACAGTAACCCACATGTGCTAATGACGAATTAATTAGGCTCAAAAGATTCGTCTCACGATTTCCAGGCAAGCTATGAAATTAGTTTTTTCATTCGTGTCCAAAAACCTCTTCCGACATACAGTCAAACATCCGATATGGCAACCTAAAATTTTCTTTTCGCGAACTAAACAGGCCTCAAGATGCAAGATCAATGGCATCAGGTGGTTGAGAAGGTGGTATACCCTCAGTCAAACATCAGATGTGACACCCCAAAATTTTCTTTTTGCAAACTAAACAGGCCTCAAGATGCAAGATCGATGGCATCAGGTGGTTGAGAAGGTGGCATACCCTCGGTGGAAGACCCCTCAAAGGTCCAAACTTGCTTAGTAAATTTTTTTTTAACGGCTCGCGCGAGACGGTGCGAAGTTATATTGATAGAGCAGGAAAAAAAAACGAGATTACAACCCTGTAGGATCGTAACCAGGAAAAAGAAAAAAGAATACCACCACCCACACACCGACATCGCCAACACACAAGCCCAGGAGAAGGCTAGCACCGGAGCGGCCACCGCTAAGCGTGACCGACCGCCACTAGACCAACAAAGGGACACAGACGAGATCGCCCCCTAAGGAATGCCAAAACGATGTCTGCAAGAAGAGAAGCGACGGAAAAACCGCCGCCGCCGTCCGTCGGGACTCAATCAAGACTGGGCTTTCGCCCGGCTATCACCCTTGAGGGGTGAGACAGCACGACAACGCCCTCAAGAGGATCGTTGTCGGTCCAGCCAAGGCCGGACTGGGTTTTCACCCGCCGCTCACCGGCTGCAAATCTACGGCTGACGCACCGATGCTCCACCACCACATAAGCTTTGCCGACATGTGGGACCCCTACACCGGCATCCCCCGCCGGCCATCTTTCATGCGTCGAAGACCACGCCACATCCACCGGCAACTCCTCCTCACACCTAGGTCGCCTCCTCCACTGCCGGCCACGCCTCTCGCGCCAAGCCAGCCTCCATCTCCGCTGCCCGCGCCTCTCGCGCCGAGCCGGCCTCCGCTACCATCGACTGCGACTCTCTGCGCCAAGCCGGTCTCCGACCCCTCCACCGAACGATGCCGCGCCTGCCAGAAGCAGCCGTCTCCCACGCCCTCGGCTAGCCGTCCGAGACTGTCATGCCTCCGGTGACCGCAGTCGCAGTCACCACCACCACAGCCACTGTTGTCGAACGCCCAGCCACTCGCACCCGACTCCTTCCCCGCCGCCGACGTCACCACCGCCTCCACAGTCACGGCCGCCGTCGCCGCTGCCACCGGCACCAGTCATCGCCTCCGCAGACCGCTGCTGCACCGTCGCTCTCCGCCACCAAGGAGCCAGCAACGCCCCGATGCCGCCTCCATGCCCTCCGCCGTCGTCGCCAGCCGACGCCGCCGCTGCTGCTGTCGCCAGCCGACCACCAAACCCGGCCACCCCTCGACCGTCGTCGCAGCCACCGCACCTCCTTCTCCAGCGTCTCCGCGCCGTCACGCCCGTCGCCGCCGGATCCGGCCGCCTCCTCGGCAGTCGTCGTCCGGCTCCACCGCCGCCAGTTCCGGCCGCCGTGGCACCGGCACCGTCGTCGCTATCGCCCTGAGGACGCCGACCTCCTCCGCCGGCGCCGGACCCCCACCGGGGGCCGCCGGAAACCTCCCCGCCAGATCCGCGCCGGATCTGGCGGCCTCTTCCACCGCCGCCAGCGCCTCCAAAGCTCCGCCGCCATCCCCGCCAAAGGCCGCGCCCGAGCACACTGCCCCACCGCCGGCTTAACTCCCCGCGAACTCCGGCTGGCCGACGCAGATCTGGGCGGTTTCTGCCTCCCGATGCCGGCAGACCTCCCCCTGCCCTTGTGCGGCGAGACGAAGCGAAGCCCCGCCGCCGCTGTCCTTGCCGCTGCGCGGCTTTACTGGCGGCCGGTCGGGCGGCGGAGGCAGAGGAGGAGGGAGGGAGGGCGGGCGACGGCGGCCTGGGCACCTCCCGTGCCGCCCGAGAGGAGACGACGCTAGAGGAAAAGTTGTTAGCAGATTCTCGTTTTACTTGCTTAGTAAAATGACATGCCACGAACAGATGGTCTCCTGTTTCTGGGGCAAGAGTGCTCAAAGAACTATTAAGCCTTCATGGATAACTGATCCTGCCATATTGCACTGTTACACTGGGTTTAATGAGCATCATTTTAATTGTGCCTATACCTATAAGCCAAATTTTAAATCTCATGAGTTAATTTTATGATTTTTAATCATAGTTTATTTTACTACATTAACTTTTGAATTTTTAATCATGGCATATATATAAAAGTTTTACTCAGAAATTCAGTATTATTAAGTTTTTGATAAGCTATATGGATAAACATGAGCAAAAGTGCAAAACTACGTCTGCTATGGTATTTATCTCAGTATCACCGTGCAATTAAACCATAAGAATTCTGCATATCTGCAGGGGGGAAAACTTATCGCGTTGATCATAACGCCCTTGTAATTTGCAAGAGATGGATCAGACGTTCATTATGACTTTGAGTAACTACATGCACAAAAACTTAAATCAATCGTACAGAAAAAAAATGACAGCACATGACCAATTTATGGAGAAATTATGATACAACCGCTAGGAGACCAACCAATCAACCGTGACATCCTAACCCAATTAGATGCGGCGTGGCCCATAAAAGCTGTGTACGCATGTTTATTACCACCTTACTAGTTTAGCAAGGTGAAACAACTTATAAGGCCTTGTCCCTCTAACTATGCCACTTCCAGGTTAACCCTTTTACACGAAGTGAGGACGAATGTGTAAGTGGAGTGGTATGTGTAAGTAGACCAGCCTGTCGGTTGGGCTGGGCTATGCGGTTCTGGAGATAGGGCTATTACAAATGGTATCAGAGCCGACCCTCGCGGTTGCGCGGGTTAGTGTGTTATGGTGCATGGCGCATGTGGCTTCTATGTGAGACACATGGCATGACATATAGCACCAGCATTGGACGTGTGCTAAGAGGGGGCGTGTTGCTGGATATTTGCCTATATGCATGTGTGGCTACGTGGGTGAGTTTATATGCATGTGTGGCTATGTGGGTGAGTTTATATGCATGTGTGGCTATGTGGGTGAGATGTATGCATGTGTTCCTAAGAGGGGGCATGTTTCTGGACATTATGCATGTGTGGCTATGTGGTGAGTTGGTCCAGTGCTAAGAGGGGGCATGTTTCTGGACATTTGCATGTGTGGTTATGTGGGTGAGTTGGTCCAGTGCTAAGAGGGGGCATGTTTCTGGACATTTGCCTATCTTCTTGGTGGTTATGTGGGTGAGTTGGTCCAATGCTAAGAGGGAGCGTGTTCCTGTACATTTGCCTATATGCTTGTGTGGCTATGTGGTGAGTTGGACCGACAGGACATAAGTCCTTTGAGGGAGGTGTACGTGACATTCTGGTCCAATTAAGATGCGGCATGTGTGGCCCATGAGAGCTGTGTGCGTATGTTTATTAACACATTGCTAATTTAGTAAAGGTGAAACCAACTTATAAGCCTTGTCTCTTCAACCATGCCACTCTCGGGTTAACCCTTTTACACGAAGCGAGGACGAAAATGTAAGTGTGAAATGGTATGTGTAATTGGGCCCACCCGTCGGTTGGGCTAGGCTACGCGGTTCTATAGGGCTGTTACATCAACTGATACTAATAAAGCATAAGTTGCAACGTGTGTGGTGCATCCAATGTGTTCTTCCAGAATCACAATCAAGTTATCCTTCAAGAATAAAAAATAATTTCCTTGATGAGGAATAACCGTGACTAACTTTAATGAGTTGCACAATCATTATTCGGTTGAACAGTGTGTGGTGCATCCAATGTGTTAACATCCGTAAATGCACCAGCATGATAAATTGGTAATACGATGTTCGATTTCCTGTCTTTTAGGAAAAACGAGTCCGGTTTAAAATGGAACAAATATACAAGCACATGAATTTCAGCAGCTGCACAGTTGCGCAGGTAGGGCCATGATGCAAAATGATCAACATATCACAACAGCTCATATTACCCTCGGAGAGCTTACTAAGGGAAACTGGACGAGCTTGCTGCAGAATCAGTTGCATGAACTCGATTGCCCTGAATGGAAATCCTGGTAAGATCATCCGCCATAAGTACTTCTTTGGCTATCTCTGCAGTAGATTGGAATCAATAGGAGTCAGTCAATTGACGTTTTATTTTTGCAACAAAGAAATTGTAGATTCATCATCATCAAAATTCAAATATTATGTGCCTGAATTTCACAGACAGCAATCCGAGGATGGGAGATGTTTACCTTCGATATCTTCTATTGATTTATCAGCAAAGAAACAAAACGGCAACACTTCATACTTCTCCCATTCACTACCATTTTTCTGGTCAAACTGTTCCTCCAGCACTGGATGGCATCCAGCCAAATACAAACAATTAAGGGACACAGGAAGACCATCTTCTGGTAAAGAAACTACTTCAGGGCAGTTTTTTATGATCAAGACTCTGAGGGAAGAGAAACTAATCATCTGAGGCAAAGCCATTAACTTCATACAATTTCTGACCACCAGTTTTGAGAGGAAAGAAAGGTCTCGCAGGTTCCTCAGTGATATTAGCGCGTTGCAGTGTTCCACAACCAGTGCAGTTAATGTTGTTAGGTTACCATTTTCAGGTAGTTCCTTGAGCTCAGGGCAATTCTTTATGATCAAGTTCTGGAGGGCTGGAAGACACCTAAAGTCTGGCACTGACGTTAACTTGGGGCAACTTGCAATTTCTATTGTGCTTAACCTTAAGAATGTTTCTAGGCCCATGAAAGCTGTCAACCCATCACAGCTTAAAATACACAGCTTCTCAAGTACTCCAGTCACTGACTTTGGCATGGCCAACACACGTTCAGGAGTTGAATAAGTGATGTTGCAATCGTTTATCCACAATGAAAGGAAACTAATGTTCTGAAACACACTAAGAAAAATGTCCACTGTCAGGTTGCAGCCAATCATTTTGAGACATTGAATAGATGCCGAAGAAAAGACATTCCCATCCTCTTCCCGCTGTTTACTAGCTGCAAAAGCATGCTGCAGATCAGAACATCCCCTGATAACCAACTCTTCAAGGGATGGCAGATTTGTTGTTACATCTTTAAGTCCATCTTCCAGAGTGTTTGCTCCTTCAAAGATGATATTTACACATTTCACAGGTTCCAGACGACGAAGATGCAACATATCCAAGAGTGTGCTTAAGCTCACCTCCTGAGTAAAACATGTCTCCAGGCGATTATGATTTCGCAGCCTGCAAACTTCGGTAGATACATATATACTCATTCTTACAGGTGGGAGAACAACTGGTGGCAATTGTTTCAGCTTGGGGCATCCTCTGATGCACACCTCAAGAAGAGCAGGAAAAAAACAGTCCACAGAAGACCATTCTGCCAATTCTGGCAACTCTATCATTTCCAGAATCTCCAGTGAGGGAAAGCCAGCAGTCCCATAAAACTCGGGGCCTATACAAACCACTGCATTCAGTCTAGCAATACGAAGTGTCCTGAGAGATTGTATTTGGCCTAAAGATGGAAGCAACTTCCAACACTTGCAATCAGAAATGCTAATGTGTCTCAGTCTAGAGAGCCACTCTGACTCCAACCAAGATGGGGACACACACCCTGGATATCCCTGAACAATCAATTCCTCAAGGCCCGAGTGAGGTCTTAAAGCATCGAACACATCATTCGCTTTGTCAGACTTGCTAGAAGCATTAGAAGAACCCCATTGCAGTTTCAGTTTAAAGATTTGACTCTTTCTGAATAGTTGAGCATCAGTTGCCTCATCCCTGCTTTTCACATTCTCAAGAGATGTAATAGCAAGCGACCCCTGAAGTTCATTCATCTGCTTCAGCACCTCTAGTCCCTGCACTTTACTCTTATCAACACAGAATTCCCCAGCCGCTCGAAGACATGGCATATGGCTGCTGGCAGCTAAATCAACAGTGCACATACGATGAACATCAATACACAAAATGCTGCTCAAGGTGCCCAAGCACTTAGGAAAAGTAACAAGTCGCCTGTCCATGAAACATGAATGCCAGCGTATGGACAACACAAGTAAATGGTGAAGTTTACAGAGTGAATTTGGAAGCGAGTTTTGCGTATGTTGTGTTAGAATTTCAATGGTTACTCTCATTGAGAAGAGGATGGCACTCGAGATGGGGCAATTTTCTGGTTTTCTTCATTCACAAAAACACAAAAGCCATACCTACCCGAGGGAGGTTGGATACATATATATAGCCATAGCTGGCTGCTAGCCTATTGCTGCACCCTCCTAGTCTAAAATTCAAAATTTGAATGGGATGTTGTCCTAGAAGGCATCCAAACTGAATAAAGCATAAAGGAGGCATAAAGGAGATGCTAACTGCTGCTGTCCTACTAACCGCAGCTGTCCTAGCAACTGAAAAATATGCTAAAGGGTAGATGCTGTCCTGAAAAAGGTGAAACTACCCAAAAGCAAAAAGAAGAATCACGACCAAGGATCACAAAGACTTATCCAACATTCTCCCCCTAAGTCTTGTGCGTCGTCTTGTGGGGAAGTTGGGCCATCCCGATCCTGGAGCAGAGCTCGAGGAACTTGATCCTCCCAAGAGGCTTGGTGAGCAAGTCCGCAAGCTGGTCCTTGGTGTTGATGTAGCTCGCCTTGATGCTCCCTTCTTCCAAGTAGCTTCGGATGAAGTGGTACCTCACCCGGATGTGCTTGCTCCGTTCGTGAAAAACGGGGTTCTTTGTCAGGGCCAGAGCGGACTTGCTATCCACCCTGAGCTCCACCGTTCCAGTGTCTCTGCCGAGGAGATCACTAAGCAGTCGAGCAAGCCAGAGCGCCTGGGTCGAAGCGGCGGAGGCCGCCATGTACTCGGCCTCGCAGCTGGACAGGGCCACCACCTGCTGCTTGACCGACTGCCAGCTAACGAGCACTTGCCGAGGAAGAAGAGAATCCCGCTCGTGCTCTTGCTGGTGTCGATGTCGCCGGCGTGGTCGCTGTCGCTGTACCCGACGAAGTGTGCCTTGCCAGGACACCTTGGGTAGTAGAGACCGTGGTCGAGAGTCCCCGCAACGTAGCGGATGATCCTCTTCACAGCCTGCTGGTGCTCCGTCGTCGGTCGCTGCATGAACCGACTGACGTAGCCGACGGAGAAGGCCAAGTCCGGCCGTGTGTGGGTGAGGTAGCGAAGGCTCCCCACAAGACGCCGGTACTGTGTAGCATCCACCTCCTCCGCCGTGCTGTCGCGGCTCAGCTTCAGTCTCTCCTCCATCGGAGTGAGAGCTGGGTTGCAATCGGTGAGCCCAGCCAGCTCAACGACGCGCTTGGCGTAGGCGGTCTGTCGAAGCGTGATCCCGGAGTCGTCCTGGTGCACTTCGATCCCCAGGTAGAAGGAGAGAGGCCCCAGATCACTCATCTAGAAGGTGGCCTTCATCTCCTCCTTGAACGCCGCGACCTCCGCATCCTTGGTGCCGGTGATCACCAAGTCGTCGACGTAGACACCCACCAGCAAGGCATTTCCTCCATTGCCCCGCCGGTAGATGGCCGCCTCGTGTGGGCTTTGCTCGAAGCCCATCCCCTTGAGCGTGGAATCCAACTTGGCATTCCACGCCCTCGGTGCCTGCCGCAAGCCGTAGAGGGCCTTGTGCAGGCGTAGCACCTTGCCCTCCTTGCCGGGGATCACAAATCCCGGCGGCTGGTGCACGTAGACCTCCTCCTTCAAGTCGCCGTTCAGAAACGCCGACTTGACGTCCATGTGATGGACGCCCCAGCCTTCCTGAGCAGCCAGCGCATGAAGGAGTCGCACGGACTCCATCCGTGCCACGGGAGCGAAGGCATCGTCGTAGTCGATCCCCTCCTGCTGCACGAAACCGCGTGCCACCAAGCGAGCCTTGTGCTTGACGATGGCTCCGGCTTCATCCCTCTTCAGCTTGAACACCCACTTAAGGGTGATCGCGCGGTGACCACGAGGGAGGTCAGCAAGCTCCCAGGTGCGGTTCTCCTGAACCGCGTCCATCTCCGACTGCATCGCGGCACGCCATGCCGCGTGTTTCTCGGCCTCTGCAAAAGACCGAGGCTCACCGTCGTCGCACGCAAGGTGCAACTGCGCCTCTAGGTCGCGAGGCACCAGTCCCGGCACCGGCTGGTCGCCGAGAAGATCCTCCATCGTACGGTACCGTAGCTGCTCACCGTCGTGGTATGCGATGCGCTCCCCGTCGTGGGAGAGCGGAGTAGCGAACTCCACCGGGCTGCGCTCAACACGAGCTGGCGTCGAAGTAGACGTGCTTGGAGGAGTGACTGTTGGTGCTGGAGCATGTGGAGTCACTGGCTGGGGTGGTGTCGACGAAGAGCTCGTCGTAGTCGAAGTCGTGGCCCGAGGGTGTGTTGGTGTCGGAGTCGGTGGAGATTCGGGGGCTGGGGTAGACACGCTCGATGAAGAAGAGCTGCCTACTCCCCCAGCTCCCTCGAAGTGGACGTACTCGACGGTGAAGTCGTCGTACATCGGAGTCGAACCATCGTCCACCGCCTTGTCCCATACCCACCCTCGCCCTTCGTCGAACACAACGTCGCGCGCAGTGCGCACACGCTGTGTCTCCAGGTCGAGGATGCGGTAGGCCTTCGAGCCCTCCGCGTAGCCGATGAACACCCCTGGGGTGCTCCTGTCGTCGAGCTTGCCGATGTGGCCAAGCTCCTTGGCGAACGCGAGGCAGCCGAAGACCCATAGGTGGGAGACCGCCGGCTTGCGCCCATGCCAAGCCTCGTACGGTGTCCTGCCATCGAGGGCCTTGGTAGGCGAGCGGTTGAGGATGTAGGCGGCCGTCACCACCGCCTCCCCCCAAAAGATGGCCGGCATCCCCCTCTGCTTGAGGAGGGCCCGAGCCATCCCCACAACCGTCTGGTTGCGCCGCTCGACGACGCCGTTCTACTGCGGGCTGTACGGCGTGGTGTAGTGGCGCTGAATGCCCTCATCAGCGCAGTACGACGCGAACTGAATTTGCCGCCGTTGTCGGTGCGCAGCACGCGCAGCTTGCGGTCGCACTCCGCCTCTGCAGTAGCTTGCGCATGCCTGATGGCGTCCGCAGCCTCTCCCTTGCTGCCGAGGACCATCACCCACATGTAACGGGAGAGGTCGTCGACGAGCAGCAGGAAGTAACGTCGTCCTCCTGGTGTGGCCGCTGTCACTGGGCCACACAAGTCCCCGTGCACGAGCTCGAGCCGCTCCTTGGCTCGGAAGCTCGTCTGCTGGGGAAAGGGGAGCCGCCGCTGCTTCGTCACCACGCAAACGTCGCAGAGCTGCTCCACGTGGTCCAGGCACGGCATGCCTCGCACCATCTCCTTAGCACTGAGCTGCTTCAGGGCCTCGAAGTGGAGGTGCCCGAAGCGCTCGTGCCACTGCCACGCCTCGTCGTCCCGACGAGCGGCGAGGCAAACTGGTTGTGCGACCTGCGCGCTGAGGATGTAGAGTTGATTAGTGCCTCTGGTTACCTTGGCAAGAAGGCGACGACGGCGATCCCAAATCCTCATGAGTCCGTCCTCGACCAACACGCGTGAGCCGTTCTCATCCAGCTGTCCCACGCTGATGATAGAATTCCTCAACGCGGGGATGTAGTAGACTCCGGTGAGCAGCCTGTGCTCACCGGACTTGGCAGTGAAGGTGACGGAGCCAACACCCTTGATCTCCACGCCGGAGGCGTCCCCGAACTTGACGGAGCCTTGGACGCTGGAGTCGAACTCGGTGAAGAACTCCCGTCAGCCGGTCATGTGATGGGTGGCGCCGGTGTCGAGGTACCACCCATCAGCCTTGTCGTTGCTGGAGCCGTTGCAGAGGGAGACGAGTACCTTCGGCTCATCAAGGTGGAGGAAAGCCGCTGCGGCCGGTGCCGCTGGAGGTAGCTCGATGCTTGCATGAGCCAGGAGCAGAGCCGGCTCTTCCTCCTCCACCCGTGCGACGTGGGCCTGGCCACGTCGTGGCTGTCGACAGTCTTTGGCCCAATGGCCAAGCTTGCCACAGTTGCGGCAGGCGTTGTCTCGTGCCGGCTTGTGGTTGCCGGTGGCAACGCCCTGGGCGCCTCTGCGGGCGCCACCCTCGGCACGTCTTCGCGCCCACCGTAGCTGGACACCTCCCCGCGCCTTGCGCGGCTTACGGCCGCCTGTCGGGGAAGATGACTCCCCCTTCCTCCCGTCACCCTGAGAGGCCTCCCACTGCTCCCGAGTGAGATTGAGCTTCCCGCCGATGGTGATGGGCCCCGAGAGAGGCTGTGGCTCATCACCATCGACGACCTTGAGGCGACCTAACGCCTCCTCGATCGACATCGTGGAGAGGTCCAGCAGAGATTCGATCGAGCGAGCGATCTGCCTGTACTTCTCAGGGACACAGCGGAAGAGCTTCTCGACAGCTCTCTCCTCGTCGTAGGTGTCGTCGCCGTACTGCACCATTTTCTGCAAGAGAGTGTTGAGACGGAGAGCAAAGTCATCAACATCCTCACCTGGCTTGAAGGGCAGGTTCTCCCACTCCTTGCGGAGTGCCTGCAGTGTGGACTTGCGGGCGCGGTCGCTGCCGATGCGTGCCGCAGCGATGGCGTCCCAGGCCTCCTTGGCAGTCCGCTTCTGGGAAAGCGAGAACTGCATCTCGGGCGGGACTGCAGCGATGAGGGCATCCAGTGCCCGCCGATCCTCGTCGTAGTCGACGTCGCCCGTACCGGACTGCCTCCCACATGTGCCGCACCTGGAGCCTCACCCTCATCACCGCGGCCCACTCGATGTAGTTGGTTTTGGTGAGGGTAGGCCACCCACCGCCGGGACCAAAGTCCCTGACCACCGTCTGGACGCCGTGGTGACCATGGCGCCAGTCAGGGGAGAGAGAGCCGCGCTGCCTGCGAGGGCCGCGTGCGGGCTCCGGGCTGCCGCCGGCACGCCAGCGCCCGTCTGGGTTCCCGTCGGCGGGCGCGCGGTCCCTTGGGCCGCCGCCGCCGCCGTGGAGGTGGGCTGCTGCCCACCGCTCTGCCCGCTCCCATGCCCTTCCTCTTGCCAACTCCTCAAGCTCCCTGTCGGCGGTGATGTCGCCGGCGATGGAGCCGTTGATGCTGCTGCGCAAGGTCTCAACCTCTACCTCCGCCGCACGTGCCGCATCTTCCGCCGCCTCCGCCTCCGCCTCCGCCCTGGCTGCTGCCAACTCCACTGCCGCCAGTTTGGCCACCCTCGCTGCTGCTGCTGCAGCGGTCTGAGCCGTTGCTCGCCTGCGCTCTTCTGCTGCGGCGAGCTCGGCGTCCTGCTGACGCCAAGTGCTCGAGGCGACCAAACGCCGAGACCGAGCGTCGGACATGGCGCACCTCCGGGGGGCTGCTGCGTGGAGAGGGGGAAGGGAAAGGGGAAGGAGGAGCAACCAGTGCTGCTGCTGCTGGCTGAGAGCTCAACCGAGCTTGGGAAGGGGTGGAACAAGAGATGTTTAGCCTACAGGAAAGTGTGGCTCTGATACCAGATGTTAGAATTTCAATGGTTACTCTCATTGAGAAGAGGATGGCACTCGAGATGGGGCAATTTTCTGGTTTTCTTCATTCACAAAAACACAAAAGCCATACCTACCCGAGGGAGGTTGGATACATATATATAGCCAGAGCTGGCTGCTAGCCTATTGCTACACCCTCCTAGTCTAAAATTCGAAATTTGAATGGGATGCTGTCCTAGAGGGCATCCAAACTGAATAAAGCATAAAGGAGGCATAAAGAAGATGCTAACTGTTGCTGTCCTACTAACCGCAGCTGTCCTAGCACCTGAAAAATATGCTAAAGGGTAGATGCTGTCCTGAAAAAGGTGAAACTATCCAAAAGCAAAAAGAAGAATCACAACCAAGGATCACAAAGACTTATCCAACATGTTGGAGATAAAGAAATCTGAGATGTATCAAATGATCAATATATGTAGGCAGAAATTCTAAGCAACAGCCACTTAAATCCAATACTCTTATGCACTTGAATTCCTTAAAAACATCCGCCTGCAGACAAAGTTTTGAGCAAAGAGACCTGCCTTCGTTCAGAAACTATTAGCGTGCGCAGCCTTTGCAAGTTATGGAATCCATGGAGTTCATTTACTCTTTCGACAGGTATAGACAGATGCCGAGTTGTTCCTGAAATTTCTGCAAGATTACCATCTCTTTCTATTCTGGAGTACTCACCTCTGGAAATGTGAGAAGCAAGGTCATTCATGAGGTCATGCATAACATAACGTATTGTATGGCCATACTGAAGTTCCTGAAAAAATGATCTAGATAATAGTTCATTGAAATAACTTCTACCAGTTTCTCTCATACTTTCATATGTGCCTATATGACCATGAACAAATTTATGGGCTATCCACATATTCACCAACAAGTCAGGCTCAAGAGAATAGCCTTTGGGGAACAGGCTGCAAAAAGTAAAACATTGCTGGAGGTGACCTGGCAAGCATTCATAGCTCAGACGCAAAATTTGCATAATGTCTTCCTTGTTTGATGAACTACTTTTCATAACTCGTGTCCACTCTTCAACGTTGAGGTTAGCATTCAAATGTGCACCAACAACCTTTATGACTAATGCTGAGCCATTCAACTTTTGGACAATACATTCACCGATAGACTCTAGTTCTGGATAATTTCCTGGATCTTCAGCGCCAAATGCGCAGATCCTGAAGAGGTTCCAACTATCTTCACCCTTCAGACCCTCCAAATGGAATGGTGCTGGGCAACCCAAAATCCTTGAAACAATATTTGTTCGAGCAGTAACAAGAATTTTGCTTCCTTTAGCTCCATAGCATAGAGGAGCAAACAATTCTCTCCATCTATCAGCATTTGTAAGCTCACCAATCTTTTCATCATACCACACATCATCTAGCACAAGTAGAAACTTCTTTGCTGTTAACTTGTTCTTAAGATCTTCCTGGAGCATGTTAAAACTGAAATTTGTTATATCACTGTTTCTATCAATTGATTTCAAAATCTCTTTGGTGATTTTGACCTTATTGAAGATATTTGAAACATATATCCATGTCCTCAGATCAAAACCACTGACTATTCTTCTGTCATTGTAAATAAGCTGAGCTAATGCAGTTTTCCCAATGCCACCACTGCCAACTATGGTAATTATAGATGGTGTTGGTGATATTGTTAGTCCTCTGCTTGGCTCTGGTCCATCAGCTTCTCTCAGAAGTCGGTGCACTAGATCATCCTGCTCATTTTGTCGGCCAATGATAATTTGGCCAGGAGAAATTGAGCTGGTGACACGCCATTGAAGTGGCTGAGGAGGCATATATGAATTAGAGTTTTCAGCCCCAATCACTTTGATGAGCATGTCAGCACATTCTTTTACTCTAATCAGGCTATTGAGGACCCTCCTTAACTTGGATCTGAACTTGTCTTGGCCAACCAAACGCTTTCCTATGGCAAGAGAACTGGAGGCCAAGCTACTTAGCTTGCTCTTCTGCTGAGCATTTGCCTTCAGAATCAGGTAATCAAATTCATCCATGACGTCGTCGGCATCATAGGCAGAATCTTTCATTTTGGCAAAGTAGAGCTTCTTGGTTGCAATCTAGCATTTGCGACCTTTCAGCAGCACCCAGCACCAATTGGATTTTTATCAAAGTGGATTCGATCTTTTTTAGATCATCCTCCAAGTCAGATTGCCACTTGTACTGGGTTGATGTATAAGATTGGACCTTCTCAAAGATAAGCTTGATGATAGGACAAACTACCCACCCAATGCCGGTGGCTATTGGTAGTGTAGCCATGTTGGTCAATGTACAAACCTATTTCCCTTTTTTTCAAAATATACTGTTTTCTTCAAATGACCATTACAGCTTGAAACTCAATAATCCATTCACCTAATAAACATTGAAAATAATTAGAACTAACCAAAATAAGAAATTATTGCTCAAAGATGCAGTCAATATGGGCTACTCTACTCTTAAACTCTATCAGGCCATGTATAAGAAGACCGAAATATGGGCCTCAAACACAAATTTGCAACTTTAACGGCAAAAATTGGATACACGAGTAAGAGTAAATATTGTCTTCATTCTTCAATGATGCAGTCAGAAAACAGAATAGGACAACTGCCAGCTAGTGATTATTGAAATATTGTTTACCTGACTAGTAGTAAGATCAGAACTGCAGCTCACTCCTAGAAGAAGAGGCCCTTGATCTTTCTTCTTGCTGATCAAATGCAAGGCTGCTTTCAGAGAGAAACTAGGAGGAGAGCCAGATTCAAACAGAGGGAAATGGGAGTAAACCACAAATGGATGTGCAAGAAAGTTGACTTCCACCTCTTCAAACAAAGAAAAAAGGAGAGGTTTTTTCAACTTTGAGTAAAGAATTACTCCGTATCTTGTATGCATCCCACGTTCTCACACAAACAACAGCTGGAGGGCTTTATTAGCCGGGTTGACCAAAGAGACGACCAACCAAATCTTATAACAGCTGGAGAGCGGAGGTAGGTACACTCCACCTAGCAGAATAGGTGGAATCACCGTGAAATTCCAGCGGTTTGGCTTCCGATGCATCAAAGCAGGCAGTGGCAGTCGGTCTGTGGAGAAAGTTTTACTAACAAATTGTTCCGTATGAGATGCCAAGAAAATAATATACAGACTGTTTTGCCACTTAGAGTCTTGAGGAAGGGGAGGAGTTTAGATGAAAGTGTTGGTGTGGGATTAAAGTCTATCTTCTATTACCAATCCTAGCTCTGTGTGTAATGCTGATTGCGTTTTACCAAGCAACTACAATATAAAATATCTGGTTGGTTATAAAAAAATTAGCTTGGATGTAGTATCATAAGGAGCTAAGATCTACTCATCTCTCTGCTTTAAAAAAAAAGGATTTCTCTCCTGTATTGAAATGATGGTGTTGATCCCTTATATTTTCCATCCCTGTTGAATTCCTACATCCATCAACAGACAAGAAAAAAAATGGTATTGAAATGATGGTGTATCAATCCCTTATATTTTCCATCCCTGTTAAATTCCTACATCCATCCACTGACAAGAAAAAAAAATGTTAATAATAACATCAAACCCGCTCAACTCCTATTAGTTTCATTCCCTCTCAATAATCCACTAATCCACTAATCATTCCCTTAGGACAACACATGATTGACTTCACCGATGTGCGACATTTAAAAACTCTACGGAGACTTTACCCTAAGATTAAGAAAAAGCGTTACCAGGGCGGGCCAGCCGGCTCTGCAAAACGAGGCGGTGGCGGCGGCACGGCGGAGCCGAGCGGCGCCAAACAAGCCATTGGTCTGGGGGACATACTTCCACCGTGTGCAGCCACAAGCGCGCTCTCACCTCGCGCCACCACCCAATCGGTGAATTGGGAGGCGCCGCCATCGCCGCCGCCGCCTTCTTCCCTTTCGGCGGTGCAGCGCTCCCGGATCTCGGTTCGCGAGGGGAGGCCATGGGCGAACCCGCCGGTGGAATTCCCCAGCCTGCGCCGGCCGCGACGGAGGCGTTCGCCGGCCGCCGGTGGCCGCGGGCGATGAAATCTGTTGACGAGACAGGTGGACCAAATTTTCCAGTGGGCTGAATTTGGTGACGGGAATTTTGTGGTCCAAATTCCCTCGTGGGCTGCATTTGCTGACGAGAATTCAGTGGACCAAATTCATTGGTGGGCCAAATTGTCGACTGCAATTAGGTGGGCCATATTTATTCTTGGCCCAGTTCGTAGATTGGAATTAAAGTTGGGCCAATAATATTCATGGGCCTAATTCGTTCATACGCAGTAGCTGGGCCAATTTCTTTTGTAGGCTGAATTTGTTATGGGAATTTAAGTGGGCCGAATTCATTTTAGCCTTTATTGGGCTGACTTTGTTGATGGGATGTTTGTGGGCTGAATTCACTTCTGGGCCCAAATTGCTGACATGAACTAACCAAGCCGAATTCATTGGAATCAGTCAGTGGACCGAATTCATTGACGAGAAAATAGTGGGCTGAATTCATTCATGACCGCCAGCAAGTTTTAGACGTCCAAAACATACTCCCCCTTCCAAGTTTTAGCAACTGATAATTTCGACTTTCTCATTTAAACTTTAACCATCAATTAATTACCTATATATTGTTGGATCGAAATGGACTTTTTTTTATGTGTATATTTAGGAAATAACCCATTTTAATACCATAACATCATTTCTAGCGTTCATAATTATTTAAGAAGAAAGATGAGTGGTTAAAGTTTAAGAGCAGGTACAATAGCAGGCTATAAGCCAGCTATAAACATATTTTAAAGAGATAAAGGAAGAGAGAGAAGAGCAGCGGGTGTCACGCCCTGAAGTTCCCCTTTCCAGCTTTAAAATTTGTAAAATAAATCGTCCGAAGAAATTGTTCAATTTAATCTAGAGCTAATTCCTCAAATTAATAAATGCAAATAATAATCGAAATCGGACGCACGGACTTCAAGACATAATGTGTGTATGACATGTAGGACCAGGTATTACTAGTACAGTAAGTAACTATTGTATGAATTGGCTATTACATTAGCTATAGAAGATATAGAGCTAGTAGTGGGCTATACTATTGTATGAATTAGCTATTACATTGGCTATAGTGAAGCATTCACCGTTTAGTATCAGTTGTTATGAAACGGATGTGCTAGCAACTTCGTAGAGATGTCGGCATGGCTGTCATGGCCTCATGGGAACAAAGGCTGTTCTTCCTATTTTCGAAAAAAAAAATGGTTGTTCTTCCGAGAAGGATGGATACAACAGTAGAGCAGGAGGCAGGAACAGGGCATGGTCGCATGGAGCGTGTAGCAACGTGGAATATGGCAATGCTGAGATCTACTGACACCGAGGAATCCAAACAAACCTTACTGGTGGATAACCAGCCTGTATTCTCCATACTTAAGAATAAGGAAATTAAGGTGGTAGACTAGACTGTAAAAATAATCTCTGTATGCCAATCACCAAAATATTCAGAAGTTGAACCAGAAGATCAATGCAATCAAATGTTTCCACAAGTTTGTGCTCGGTTGATGTGTTCAACTGTTTCTTTATTTGTTGCCTGATTTAACCATATCCTAATTCATATTGTAAAACATATTAACAGAAGGAGGATGTCTTGCCAGGTGACACTGATCCTACTAACACACTATCCCACGGTATCACACCATCAGACTCCTCCATGGCCGCGAAAGAAAAAGTAATCGCGTTGCTTGCAATTTGTACCGCGTGAGATGGATCAGACGCCAAGTACGGTTTCGAGCAATTACATGCCTGGCCTTTGTCCAGAAGTCTAGAGCTACTAGTACTACGAGCTAAGGGCCTGTTTAATAGTCCAAAAAAAAAATTGCCCCCGCATATATCAGATATATGAACACACTCACACACATTTAAAGTATTAAACGTAGTCTAATAACAAAGCAAATTACAGATTCCGCTAGGTGCGAGACGAATTTATTAAGCCTAATTAATCCGTTATTAGCAAATATTTACTGTAGCACCACATTGTCAAATCATGACACGATTAGACTTAAAAAATTCGTCTCGTAATTTCCTGGCGAACTGTGTAATTGGTTTTTTTCTATATTTAATACTCCATACATGTGTCCAAACCGCGTGAAAAATTGCAGCTACGTGACAGCGAGAAAAATTTCGTTTGGGAACTAAACATTCCCTAAAGCTCGGATCAAGATCGCAGCTAATCCTGGTGTAAGTGTAACTGCGCTGCTCAGTTCACAATCACTGTTACTGGCTCATGCTCATGCTCATGCTGCCCCCAACCCCGAGTCCGTAGCCCGTAGGCCTGAAAAGGCCTAGCACGAATGTAGATCAATCGAAACTGTTGATGTGCTATACTCCTTCCTCTATCCCATAAAAATTAAATTTAGAATTGAATGTAATATATCCAAATATAACAAATATGAATAAAAACCTATCCAAATTCGTTGTTGTGTGCTCCTGCAGGAATCATAGACCTAATAGACCAGGAATGTAATCCTTTTCTCCGTGATTAATAAAGTTTCCCTCTTTAAGCTCAAAAAAAATTCGTTGTTTGGACAAAGAAAGTATTTTAGATAAATTTATTTTACATCCAATAGAATGTATTATATGTCACAGAGTTTGTTCCAGTTCGACAATATACTATTGATGTTGTTTATTTCTGCAATATGCCGATGAGTTTATTAATTCTTCTCCAATATGCCATTCGGCTAGATCATTTTTATGAAAAATACGCAGAATACCCTTAAAGACATCGAAGTTAGCATTAATTTATAGGTTTAATTTATAGTTGTCTTTATTTCTTGTTGATTACAGGATCAAATCAACTGGTACGCTAGCATACCCGAAGACGATTTTTGGACCTGCACTGGAATTAAGCAGATCTCTCAGGCCTCGTGTTTTTCATCAATATTTAAATAAGATATAAAATTGTCTATATAGCATCCTTACACAATATGAAAGTTTGCATATAGATTTTCAAGTTATTGGGGCATTTTTATTTTTTTAAAAGAAATAATTTTATGTGATAACTGATAGAGAAATTGCTTACGTAAAATATAATAGCATAAAATTATGTTGGGTAGGATATGAAATATGATTTATATTAAAAACAAAGACAAAATATTTTATATAGCATAAATGGATAAATTATAATATTTTATAAAAAATGAAATACAAAAATCTTTAAACTTATACACAAACTTTCACATTGTGTATAGAGGCTAAAAAAATTCATAATTTTTTTTAAAAACTTTTAATAGGATAAATCAATAGTTAATCTTACATGTAAGGCCAACCTAATGATATACTCCCTTCATATTAGTAAAGAAAGTCGTTGAGTACAATGTTTAAGTTAAATCTTGAGAATATAAGTGATGAATAACTCTCAAGTTGTTGAGTTTGAAAATGTAAAATTATATGAATAGATTTGTCTTGAAAAATACTTTCATAAAAGAATATATATATATATATATATATATATATATATATATATATATATATATATATATATATATATATATATATATATATATAACTTTTCAATAAATATTTTTATGGAAACAAGAACTCAAAGTTGTGTTTTGGAGACCGTGCTGCTGTCTAAAATGACTTCATTTACGAGTACGGAGGGAGTATTAATGCCAATTATAAATCATTAAACTATGATAAACTCAATATTATAGAGTATATTCTCTATACCGTGTCATCTCGATGGTAAAAAACAGTTGCTCTCTCCGGTCATCCGGTCACACACTCGAGTCACTCTCACTCACCACAGTTCTTTTTTCTTCCAACCAAAAATCACTCTCAAGTTCTGAGTAGTGATTTTTGCCGTCTAGGTTTGAAGCTAAAACTTCCGTTACCAAAATGCCGGCATTTTGAATAGTATTTTGGCTATGTTTGGTTTCCTACAGCAACAAGTAAATATTACTATCAAAATATCGATAATGTCAAAAGACAGGGTAAAAACCAACCTTCGTTTTGGTGAGGTGACAAGATAAGCAGAACTCTCAAGTCTCACAATCGCTCTGACTGCAAGCTGGGGATCTTGGAGCTTGCAGAAACACGGATCAGCGAGAGGTGCTACTGCTTTTGCAAAATCACAAGTTGCCGAGGGTGCAATAGCAAAAGAAGGCAACCTTTGCTAATTGCTTCGCTACTCGTCCTTAAAAGGGAAGCCGCCGCGTCTGCAGCTGCTGCAAATCCCAATAAAGCGAGAGCAGAAAGGAAGGACCCCTTCCACCACTCTCCCCCTGTGTTGTGCCTGTGCTCCTCTCATCTTTGACTACCCACGATTCCAGTCTCCCACCACAGGCCAAAACACTGCAACATTTCAGACTTCACAGTTCACAGTGAGTTCAGACCAAGAACACAAGAATACCAAAAAGAACAGCACCAAGAACTCTCCTCCAATCCATCACAGACATTTTTCTTCCCTCCAAGAGAGGCATTGATCATCAGAGAGTAGAGCCAGGGCGTGTGTGTGTGTGATGAGCTCAGTGCTGCTGTTCTTGCTTCTGCTGCTGCTTTCTGGAGTGAGCTTGAGTGGCTGCATAAGGCTTGGCAATGGCGGGTATGAGGAGTGGAGGATGGGCTCGGCGACCTACATCAAGGAGTCCCTGGGGCACCCGCTGAATGATGGTATGTGCAATCTGTGTGTGTGTTTTTTAACAGATTAAGCTTCTGAATCTTTGTCAGTTGGTAGGATCAAGAACATATGCCCTTTTTCTGCATTTTTCTTTGGATGGATTCATCATGGAGATGGTGAATGTAGTTTGCAAGGATGAATGGTGGGCAGATGGTGTAGTATTGTGCAGATCCGGCATAGTGGGAAGTGAAGTTCAAGTTAGAAGTAGGAAACAGGAGTGAAGATTCACTGCTGAAACTTGTTCTTCCCTTTCTCTTTCTTCAGATAGATTGTGACTCTTCGAACTGAACTTCCAATGTGTGTCCTGTTGTTGGCAGGTCCATTTTGTTTTAATTTGTAAAAAAGGTTAGTAAAAAGGTTTCTTTCAGGGTTATAAAAGAATGTTGGTGCCAATGCTAATAAAGCTATCATTCCAATCAAATATTTTGTCTAATATCATTAGATAAAACCTTTTATGTGCATTAGTGCACTAATGCTTTCCTAGTCGGACGAAAAAAACAAACGATAATACTACATTATTGGACTAAGTGGGCCTTAAATTATTGGACTAATGCTGTCCTAGTAGTACCAGTTATCTTTTTTCCTTTTAGGTAGGTTATAGAAAAGCTGAGGCACATTGAATGCATTTGACAATAATACTACTATAGTTATGACAGGCAATCTGGTACTATCATATGATATTTCCTTGCTGTTTACTGTCCATGACGTAGTACACATTTAAGTCCTTGAGAGTACATTTGCAGTAATTGCTCCATGGATTATTAAGTGTCAAAGTAACGCAACATATATTGTCAGATCAAGATTCATGGCAGCCCAACCACACTGCATTTCCTCACTTGGGATATCCTGAATTCAAGGACATCTCAACATGATCAAACTATCTAGTACCACCCTTTGTTCCAAATAAGTTCATTTTTCATCCATTCCATACATACCAATACAAAACCACTTGTTTCATAAAAAGAAAAAAAAACACTTTCTTCTATTGAATTACTGAAATTGTTAAAAAAAATGAAATAAAATGTTAATTTGCTGCTATAATCAAATCAATAATCCACGGCAATAATCTGCTCAAAACTCTATCTTGAAACAGGGCCTTAATCTTGACATCTTGTTGGCTACTGTAAAGCTGATCATCTCCATCTCACTTGACAACGGAGCAAAAATTATCAATTTTTTGTCTGAATGCAATGTGTTGTCTGAAGTCTGAACTTTGAACCTGCAAATGCAAGGTGGTGGAGCCTGTGGGTACGGCGACCTGGACATCTTCAGGTACGGGAGGTACACCGCCGGCGTGAGCGGCGCGCTGTTCGGGCGCGGCAGCGCGTGCGGCGGCTGCTACGAGGTGCGGTGCGTGAACCACGTGCTGTGGTGCCTCCGCGGCAGCCCGACGGTGGTGGTGACGGCCACCGACTTCTGCGCGCCCAACCTCGGACTCTCCGACGACTACGGCGGCTGGTGCAACTTCCCCAAGGAGCACTTCGAGATGTCGGAGGCCGCGTTCCTCCGCGTCGCCAAGGCCAAGGCCGACATTGTGCCGGTGCAGTTCCGGAGGTAAAACAATAAGCTTCTCCCACACTTTTCTTTTACATCACCATAGTCTCCAATACATGTTTTTGTTACTTATAGTTATATGTTAGTGAAGTGAAACGAGTAGAGCGACATGGAGATATACATTTTTAGGACAAATTCACTACTTGCTTCGTCTCAAAATATAGCAAGCTAATACTAGATTAGATCTAGTGTGTGTTAGCTTCGGCTCTGCTAGTATGGGTTGTTTATCGATCCTATTGGTGTGAGAGTTTTGACTCTTGTTTTTTTTCCCTGTACTGTTCTGAATGTTCTCCTTCTTGGTACAATGTTTGGTCGGAAAAGCCGGCGCGGCAAAAAAAAGTACTAGATTGGACTCAATTAGTTGTGTTCAGATTTGTAGTACTAGGTTGTGTCTAATCTAATACTACTAGATTACTGTATTTTAGGACGGAGAGAGTACTATCTTAGTACGATTGAGTAGTCCAAGCAGTTTTAAGTTTGATTGCCCGTATTCTGGAACTTCATCTATCAGAGGGAGTATTAGAGCAGGTACAATAGCAGACTATTAGCCAGCTATAAATATATTTTAATGAGATAAAAGATGAGAGAGAAGAGCAGCGGGCTATAGATCTGTAGCCAGCTGCAACACGGACTCCAAGACGCAGTGTGTGTATGACATGTGGGACCATATATTAATAGTATAGTAAGCAACTGCTATTAGATTGACTATAGATGAATTGGAGCTAGTAGTGGGCTATACTATTAAACTTGCTCTTAGAGCAGGTACAATAGCAGGCTATAAGCCAGCTATAAACATATTTTAAAGAGATAAAGGAAGAGAGAGAAGAGCAGTGGGCTATAGATCTGTAGCTAGCTGCAACACGGACTTCAAGACGTAATATGTGTATGACAGATGGGACCAAGTATTAATAGTATAGTAAGCAACTATTGTATGAATTAGCTATTACATTGGCTATAAATAATTTGGAGTTAGTAGTGAGCTACTATTAAACTTGCTCTTAGTACTGCACACATCATGTTCATGATTTGCTCGCTGGTCATTGATCACTTGTAGCGTATCATTCTGCAACTAGCTGATGTGTGAATTCTGACCATGCAAAAAGGGCATGGCGCTATCATTCTTGAGTAGTGCATTTGGAGTGTGTTTCTCTAGGCTGAACCAGTGCTGCTTTTGCGAAAGTTCAGAATGATGTTTGATCATTGGAGATGGAACACAGAATATGCGGACAGTGCGTGTTTCCTGCTGCTTTGCATGGAGCAAAGAGCAGCTTTAAATCTTTAATCACTGCTGCTAGCTTCCCCCTTTTTAAATCTGACTTGTGCTTTGTTAATTATGAGCACCTCCACAGTTTCAGACAATTGCCATGAGTGTGTCCCATTGCCCCAACTGCTGATGCAGGAGTACACTCCAAGTATTCCATTTTTCTAGAACTGTAGTAGTACTACAACTCTAACAAGATAAGGTTAAATCTTACTGCCAATCTGCTGAATTCCGCATGAGTCAAAGCATCACTTTTTTTAACGACTCGTATTAAACAGTATGAAGTTTTATAACAAACTACCGCAATTTGGGTTTTCATGACATTAGCCATTGATGGATGAACTCTAGATAGTACTACAACTCCAATAAGAGAACCAAAAATTTAGCTGCAACTACTGATCAGCTCTGCGTGAATCAAAGCATCAAACACATCCATGGGCGGCGGAGCTAGAGTGAGATTGAGGGGGGTGCTACTTGTTTAATTTACTCTGTCTTATATTAAGTTTAAGCTAATGCGGATGTCTAAATTTGTATTGAGAATGGTGCACACGGTGAAAATAGGTTAGGTATAGCTATAATTTTTTTTTGACCAGGTTCCTGGGCATGCCACCTTAATACTCTAGCTCCGCCCCAGAACACATCGGCACATTGCTCATATCGGGTTCCATCTAATGAATGAACGAAATGAGTGGTGGTGGTGCAGGGTGAGCTGTGACAGGGCAGGGGGGATGAGGTTCACCATCACCGGCGGCGCCAGCTTCCTGCAGGTGCTGATCACGAACGTGGCGGCGGACGGGGAGGTGGCGGCGGTGAAGGTGAAAGGGTCGAGGACCGGGTGGATCCCGATGGGGAGGAACTGGGGCCAGAACTGGCAGTGCGACGCCGACCTCCGCGGCCAGCCGCTGTCGTTCGAGGTCACCGGCGGGAGGGGCCGCACGGTCGTCGCCTACAGCGTCGCGCCGCCGGACTGGATGTTCGCGCAGACCTTCGAAGGCAAGCAGTTCGTCGAGTAGGTGTCGACGATGTGGGTGTCATTCTTGGAATGATTGTAATTATTATGGTTATAATTATATTATACAGGTGAAAAACAACTGTTTTGGTTTGGTTTTGGTTTGGATGTTGTTGTTTGATCTGCTCAGCATGGCAAACGAAATTATTATAGAGTTAATCAGTTAATGAAGGATTGACAAAAAAAATGTTTGGCTAATCAGAGCAGTTATGTGCTATCAGTGGTCCAGTGTTGGAGTAGCATCATCTGAAGAAAAAACAATTGAGTACGGAGTACCATTTTTTTGGTTGGTGACATAATAGAGGTGCATAAACTACATAAAAAAGTGCATGTAGAGTACACAATAAATAACAGGGAAAACACTGCTTTGTGGTAGGACATGTCATGTGGCATAGTATTCTTGAATCAATTCGCGAGGCCTGGAGTGAATGAATCATTGGGTGAACATGCAAATGGCACTGGGTTTCACACTCACCACAGGCACAGTGACGAAAAACTACGAAGAGAGTAGCAGTAAAGCACACGCTAGTGCAGTGAAGAAGTTTTCTAGTCATACTGGTGATGATCATCACACAACAATCATGCTATCGAAACTGTCGCGCCTAGCTTGCTGACAGGCTACTGTACACATTTCAGCACCTAAAAGCTAAAGCCTATATATAGAACTTCCATGAGCGAGGATGCACACTACTTACAGACGAGGTCGCAGTTTTTTTTTCATATATAAACAAGCCGCTACGATTGATGAGTTGAGTTTTGCTTAAGCAAGCAGAGACAAATCGGGAACCAACTACACCACGGGAAGAGCTGCTTTGGCAAGAGAAGCATCACGCATCGGCATCTAAACAAAGGAATCTATTGCTAGCTGCAGAGAAAAGAACTAATCAGAGGCATGAAGCAGATAGCAAGAGAGAACAGGCAAGATTTCATATTACGGTGAGTGAGACTCTGAGAATTGACTCCAACATAACAAGAGAGTAAATGCTCAAGCCTCGTTACAGCTGAAAAAAAGGGAAAGAACAGGTACCTGGCAATTTTCGTTCTTCATGACTGCTTACAACTTCTAGCAGGGCCCCTACGTATCCTCTTCAAAACAGGGCGAGGGGTACCAGGCTGAGTTTGTGAGGAGTCGCCTTCAGCATCATCTGATAGCAGATTGTTAGTTCACGAAAAGGAGATCAGCAGAAAATATGCACTTTCATTGATTGTGTTTTCGTCTACACACCATGCTTATCTTCGCTGTTGTTTTTGTCCATCGACCGGGTCCCATTGGATGATTTCCTTTTCTTGTTGACAACCGTTGAGATTAGTTTGACGTCCTGAAGGCATAACAAGAATAATTTATTTCCTTCCGTTAGTTTACCCTCCAACAAATTGTACAAGATTTGGATTTCTAGTTACCTTCACATCTTCATCTTGAGTAAATTTTTGAGACTGGCTGTCATCGGACCTAGTTTCTCTTGCATTTACCTTAGCCACCTCTTCCTGCTGGGTAATCCTATCACGCTTATCATGTTCAGATCGTTTCTCACCTATCACAATGACACCACGTGCCATTTGTTGCTCTGCAACCTCACATTTCCCATTGAATGGTGGCATGTAGCAAAACCTGAAATTTCAGAACTTTCTCAATAAATAGAATTCCCAATGCAAATACCATTTTATCTTATATTATACCAAATATAACTGCAACCTGAATATTCAACTGGTGAACTGGTGAGCCAACAAGATGAACTTGGCTAGTATTCTTTCTATACAGAAATCTCTCATCAAGTTCACCCCAGAAGGGTGCAATTGATCTTGCAAACTAAGAAATGAACTTTAACATATAGCTGATATAACATTGGTATGCCACAAAAAATACCCTTACAATAGAAAATGCAAACCCAAATGTTAAAAGAGAATGGTTGGTTGATACAAACCATTCATCTGGCAGAGACTTTGTATCGAAGCCTGCATTCAATATTCTCCATTTACGACAGCTGTAGCACTGAACCCACTCATGATCAGCCTTATAGCGCTCACTCCCTTTTCTCTGGATAAAGAAAGTTAAATGGAGTGAATAGTGCTTAAAAAGAGAAGAGAATGGAATATTCTGAAAGTCAAACCAGTAGGATGTACTAGTAGCCTGGTGGTGGGAGGGAATGAGTCATGACCAAGATCGACAGTGTGCCAATGCAATTGTGTGCATTCAACAGGAAAGCACATCTCCTGATCTACAAAATTATTAACACATGTACACATGCAATTTATATGTAGCTTAAGTGGGGTGCTTGTGAGGCGTGTCTTCTCTGTGCTCTGTACCGAAAAGGAAGGCAAAATGAGGACTTAACTAATGTATACAACAATCTAAAACTGGATTTGAGAGCATGCTATAACGAGAACGATTATAGTACATATAACATAATCTATGCACTTTTTACATAAACTTAACCCATTATCCATTTATCAACCTACAATAGTGAAAGAAATATTGAGACAGCATTTTTAATTAAAGGTTCATGTACTATAGCTATCCCCTGATTATAATAAATTCTGTCTCAGTAATTTTCAAAATAAATCTGCTCATGTCCTTTTTTACACAGCCCATCTAAATATCCATTAATCCTAAATATTCTGAGTGCAGCCATGTTAGGACAACTTTTTCTCCTTTTTTTCTTGACTGAGGGTTGTTAACTTGTTACTCCATATATGCATGATCAAAAGCTGTGTCAGCTGTCAGCATATGCTGTCAGCTACTCTATACCTTGTTATTGTCATTTGGGAGATCTAGTGACCATTGAATTCAAAGAAAAATTAAAGAGGACTTCATGGCCAGAGATGCAAGTGTTATCTAAAATATTTTCAAATATGAACTAAATCATGCATTCATACCAATTCGAGAGTGTCAAAATTTGTATCCCAGTATTCATCCGCTTTCCTACCAAGCCACTCCTCCAGTTTAGCATACATTTCACAATCTTGGAACCCTTGTTTACTGTTAAGAACCCATGAATTACCATCTTCATCATCCTGCAGAAAAGAGGAACATAAAAGTTTGTTCAAGGGACACCACAAGGAAAAGTAACAGGAACTGAATTACATGGCAGATAAGTATATTTGGAAATATACAATAAGGTCTGTGATATCTGCAACTCCAATTACTCCACGTCCCATGTCAGCATTATGCTTTTGACCTCCAACTCGTTTGTAAGACTGAGAAGAGAACACAAAATAGAAGTTCAGAATAAGGGTGCACATGTCACGAGGGAAGGTTATCGTTCATACTAATTTATTTATTGTGCAACATGAAAGCCAAAAAGTGCAAATAGTTTCCACAACTAAACATTAAACAAAATATGTGATTAAGACCTGTTTGCAACTACAGCTAAATAAAATTCAATAAGAAGAGGCACAATCTCATTATAATTCCTGCAGATAGTTGTTGCATAGCATTCAACAGACCTCAAATTTCCCATGATCAACAAAGATGGGGCTAAATTTTGCCCTCCAACTCTACACTAGAGAGAGAGGGAGAGGGAGACTTTATGCAGCCTGTTTGTGTAAATGTATTACGGTTTGTGTTCTACTGTTCTATATCAAATGTTGATCTTGAACAGTTGCATTTGCATGTGTGCTTCAACACGGAGAAATTATTCTAGTGCAAAAATGGTTTTGGAGAATTTTGTAGGGGAACATGCTGAACGGAAGAGGACAAAAATGCTGACTTTACCTCTATTAGACGGCCATGCCAATACAAGAAAATTCCACAGTTCATTCTGTCCCATTCTACATTGCTCCTTCCAAGGGTCAATTGAATAGTCCTACCCATTATTTCACCAGATATAACAGATGTCTTGTTAAGGGTCTTTGCTAAAGGGCGAGTTTTGACCTACCAAGAAAATAAACAGTAAAAGAAAAGAATATGAATGTGCCAAAACATAGAGAGAAATGACATATGGGTATTTACCGAAGACCCTTGGACAGAGATCTTCATCCGAGGATTCAGGAACATAACTTCCAAATAGGACTGAAGAGAATAGTCCAATGGTACCTAAAAAATACCATGAAACAATTAGTGAAGCCAGACCATGTTTTCAGCATTTCCATGGAACAAAGTTTACTGGAAAAATAAGCCATTAACACTGATGTCTTGATTAAAAATCATGCACACACACACACACAGTACATTCAGAATAAGAGTACAGATTGTGAAGCCTATGCGGCTACATCTCATCAAGGTTAATCAACCTTCAAGGGCAATATACAGACCATAAATAATTTACATTTCCCAATGCCACAGCAACCCATCAGAAGGATATAATAAATTTCAGGTTTATATGTAATTGAAACTGATAATTGGCTCCCATCTACAAGATAAAAATTAAAAATAAAAGAGTAAACTTCACAAAACTACAGGTACTTTGATCAATATATCAGAAAACTACAGATTTAACATCAGTTTTATCACAAAACTACAACTTTTGTAACCACAATAGTGCTATGGATATAAACTCTAAAAATCTGTAGTTCTTTGATAACCTCATTACTAAATCTGTAGTTTTGTGATACGATGCTTTAAATCTGTAGTTCTGGTACAAATTTCGCGCTAAATCTGAAGTTTTGTAATACAAATTTTCAAAAATTTGTAGTTTTGCGATAGTTTGGTCAAAGTATCTGTAGTTTTGTGAAATTTGTCAAGGAAAGATTGTAATCCATACATTGTTACTTGTTTGTCCTGGGCGCAATCTGACTCTTCTTGAACGGATTAGTATGTCTCCACGACCATGGTGGACAGGATCTTCAGATGGCTTCCCTGAACTCCAGTCCAAGGTGTAATCTGCACCCCATCTATCTAAATTCCATATATAAATCTGTGTTCCAGTACCGTCTTCACCAAATATCCCTAGCTTTTCTCCAATGAAATACTCATTGAAGGGAGAAAATTCCTTAATAGCATTCAGGTTATATTCAGCAGTAGCTTCAGATTGGACACTTGAATCAACTTCCATGTATTGCCCTTCTTTACGATATGTCACCACAGGTATCTCAAGATTCTGCAGCAAATAGCACTGTGTTAGCTACGTTTTACAACTGAGCTACCTAGCTTTAGAGTTCCCAGTAGACTAAGAATGAAGTACATAGAGCCGTGCTTACATCTTTATTTTCATTAAAAGACTGAGATAGGAAGGCCACTGATCTGGAAGATGAAGTTTGGGTTAGCACAATTGCATCTCTGCCAAGTTTCATAGCACCAGTCTACAAAATAAGCACCAAGAAAACAGTAAACTCAACAAGAATAAGAACAATTTTTCACATAAACAAACATCTGCAAGTATAAATTTAGGTCGAACAAGAATGCAATACGGTAACTGTTTTGAACACTAGCACATGAAGTGTATGGATTTGCCTCTTAAAATCAATAAAAGGGCTAAAGGAGCATGAACAGAGGGTGTGTTTACTGAATAGATATTCCTAACTTCTAATTGACATAACTAACATTTATTCAAGTTCATTGGTTGAGCAGTTAAATACTGTACAGTCCAAGACTTTTAAGTCATGCTAGCTTACAGACAGAAAAAAGAAATGAAAGGACGTCAGCTTTGAGATGCTGTTCACTGCATAGCAAAATGTTACACTCTGCCTCCAAAATCCGTGTTAGCGCAGTTCTTATGTGGAGCAGGCCTATGTTTGCATAGCACTCCGCTTACACTTTCATCCCGGCTCGTACAATGGTTGGAGAACCAAGGCTATAAGCCGCTGACCCTCACCCACCTAAACTTCCAAGATGGTACTAAACCACCTCCTACAACCACAATTGGGCCATGGGCCTCAACTACACCACACTACAGGTGGCAAACGGGCTACAGTGTTACACAAAACCTACCTAACTAGCACCCATGGTGAATAATATGCTGCAGAAAGCATGTTCAGAAGTGTATTGGATAATACAGAAACAAGTTCTAATTTACTCACAGGTAATGCATCATATAAGCCGATAACCAAAGTTTTGTATATGGAATGCAGACAACAGAGTTCCCGGTACATTTTAAACAAGTCAGACATGCCACATCAATACAGCATAAAATCGGCTTGAGATGTGAAATAAATTATTTTTTAAATTATTAAATATCAGAAATGTTAAGAAACTGATAACCGGAGAGGAGGATGACGCCAACAGGTTACCTTAAATCCAATTCCAAACCTCCCAATTTGATCCTGGCGTTGCTTATCCGGTCTTTTGTGACCGAATGAGATCATTCTCATCATTTCAGCACAAGTCATTCCATGCCCATCATCAATTACAGACAAGACAGGGATTTTTTTGTCTGCTTTCTTCGAAAACAATGATTTGACTGAAATATTCAACCTTCAAGAAAGGTAGGAGAACAAATAAGAAGTCAGCTCAATCAAAATAACACAAATGCACCCCCCCCCAAAAAAAAAGGGGGGGTAATCTTCAAAATACGCTAACAACACAGTCAAATTAGCAAAAGCCTCAAATAGTCTTTAAATTATGTATACAACACTACCCTCAGAGAGGAAATGCTTCCTACACAACTACACATATTACTGAGATTACATTCTGTAAATACTACAACAAAAGCAGTAAATATGTAAAGTTTGTATACTAATAGAATGGGCATGTGCATATTCATCTGGAAGAGATGTAAAACAAGACAATAAAGAAAACTTAGTTTGGCATAGTGGAAGATTGTAGTCTAGAGCTTTAGTTCACTGTTTTGCCACAATAGAAATATTTTGTAACTATAATCAGTAAAGAAACCCTTAACTAATTAGATCGCATGTTGCAGCACAGCACAATACCGGAAATGCCAAATCAGCCCTAAAAATTATCTCAAGAAAAAACAGCACCCAATCTCTGGCTACACAACCTTGAAGAAATGGGCATACCTTGATGCATCTGCATCTCTAGAGTTGTCAATGAGCTCTGCTATTGCTCCAAAGACCCAGCCAGCATGTGTCTGACTGAGTGTTCGCAGATAACTAGGATCCGTGCTGACAAAATTTTTTGCAAGAGTGGTGGTTCTCTTTTTCACTATTGGATCTAAAATTCTAGGGCCATCTTCAACAGACTCACATGGTGATGATTCTGGAACTGATTTGTGCAGCTCTGTGACACGCGAGGCATTCATCTCCTTAGGATTTGGGCCACTATCACAAATCTCCTCTCTCAAATATGACTTTGGATTCATCGAGCCAGATTGGAAATCACTTCTGTATGACCTTTTTAAAGCATCTGTCATAGCAATATTCATGTGTCATTCTGGTGGCATAATAGACAAGTGAATAAAGTTAAATACCACAAAGAAACGAATCAGCAAATAGCTCATAGCTGACTACACGCATATTATGGTGTATATCTTTGATGTTAACTATAGAGAGAGCTTCCTCCAACACCATGGACAAGTGAGAATACAAATGAAGTAATAAAAAAAAAGAAGGGACTCCAATTGCAACTCTTGGGGATTAATAGACCAATATTGATGAAACAAAGATTACTGGAATGTATTGCCAATTGTTAAATTTCAAGTTTTTTTTTATATAAAATTAGCATAGGGTCAGCCAAAATAAAAGGAGAAGTAAACCATCCAAGCATAGCATTCCTGTTCAACAATCAGCATAGGAAAACTCTCACCAGATACTCCAGCCATCGGTTTGCAGTCTCCAGGATCTTTTTGCTCATACATGACCACCGCATGTGAGAAGTTAGGGCGTTCATGAGATTCATGAGATTGAGGAGGGAAAATATGTAAGGCAAAGGAGCTGAATCTAACTACAGCAACCTTCAAAAAAGCACCGAAAAAGAACAAGGACCCCACATTACAGGCAAGAAAAGAACAGAGAACATTGCTAATGATGTTAATAATAAAATACAAAATGGCAAGTAGAGAACAGAACAATGCTAATAGTGCTAATAATAAAATACAACATGCCTACTGACTTGCAGGGGAACAAAACCCTGACAAAAGTTGATTAATTGGAAGATAAAAGGTACTACAGTGCATGGCCTCCCCCCTATCAGCCTATATGTCCCTGTTATTTGTCCCATGTCCGACACCTACCCCACCTAGTGCGGGTTCTCAGTAAGAAGTACGATAGTATCCAAATGGTCAATCCTTTGCCCCATTTTACTTGAACAAATAAGTAACAAAAAAAGATAAAATATCTTGTATATATTTTTTTAGAGCACCTATCTTGTATATTTTTATTAGCAATTATGACATGCAATAGAAACAATAATTACCCTCTGATTGTCCCAGAGGAAACGCATGAACTTTCCCCATTCAATATTCTGACGATCATCTTCAGGTTCAGGAAGCAGTGAAAATTTCAGGAAATCACACTGCTGGTACACCTTAGTTGGCACAAACCTAACAATTGACCAAACCGAGGGCCTGTAAATGTGAAAAGCACAGACATAAGATACCTCCATGAAATTAAGAAACAAATCACCCCACCCCCCACAACAACACACCCAAAAAAAAGTCATGGTTTTTTTACCGACATGTTGATTAAATGTTTGTAGATTTGAGTAAATTAACAGTATAGCTGCAGCAATTCACTTTAGTAGTATATATTTTTACAAAAGCTCTACCACTATTTTGATGATAGCATATGAGATTGGGTAGTTGTAGCATGGCATTTAACAGGGGGTATGTATGGTTGAAATCATTGCTGGTGACTATTTATTTTGACTGAGAGCAATGGAGGGCTCAGGGTCTCTGACAAGTACTGTGAAACAGCGGGAGCAGTCAGATGATGCTAGTATGAAAACATGAACACACCAGCATTGAACTTTATAACAGAAGAGGAAAACCCACTAATACACACTGTAGATTGTAGATTTAACCAATCGATGACAGTATGCGATAGAGAACATCAACAATATTTATCTGACAATAGTTTTGGCCAATGGATGATGATGTAAAACTTGTAAAGTATTCACAGATCAGGAAAAGAAAAAGAGATCAACTTACACTTTAACTGGAATATCACAGACTTTGGTGCGGCATATGTTCTTAGAATCTTTTTGTAATAATACATAGTTCAAGCCACCACCTACCACAAAAAAATATATCCTTCAGGCAAAAATTCACACAGTATGTATTCTACCAAAAAGGATAATTCTAACAACAATATAAAAGAAGCAAGCATCATTCATAATTGATGTGAATAAATGTTAACATATTGGCATTACTACCATTTTTAAGTTATAAAAAAAGGCTGGACAGGTTTGCCACTTCATCACATGTTAAAGTGAGGTACTAGGACCCTATCCACATCTATCAACACTGTTGATCAGTTAAAAGTACAAAACTAGAGCTGTTAATATAAACTTAGGAGTATAGGTGATAGAGTTTCCACAGATTTTGCAATATGTGAAGTTTCAGGGGTACAAGTGGACTTGGTGCAGTTTCCTCTTAATTTTGCAGTGGAACCTGGTCTACAGAAAGGATATGGCCAATTGGCCATCCTTTATGGCAACGCATCTCATATAATCATACCTTGATTTTCATGTGGCGGCTCATTCAAATCAAGTGTTTCATCCGCCATCTCCTTCTCTTCACCCCCTATGAACAGCAACAACCATCAAATGATAACTATATTTTCTAAAAGCAAAAGATCATCATGCATGTAAACTGAAACTGAAACCAAGCATGAGTATTAACTAAGCAGGTCAATTGTCATTCTGGAGTAACATATGACCATTAAACAAGCCAGTAGATCCAGAAATGTGGTATAGTAGACTCACAGTATCGTACATCATTAATTGTTCAAACTAGAGGAAGCAAACTTATCAAATCCCAAGTTACATGACTATTCATCTATAAGTTATTAAATAATGCCAAAAGAAAAAAAAATCAGCTGGGCAAACAGGCCAATCCGACCAAAACTCATCACAAAGGTCAAACACGACAAGAATTTGCTGGTGAATAATATATCCCAGAATGCTAAATACATGCCAGATAACATGCTTAAAACTATCCAGATGAATCGAACTAAGCAATGCTACAAATTATAAAAACATCAGATTCAGCCCTACATAACTACATAAGTCAGGTACAAGCAAGCAGCAACGAGGCTCAACTCTCCAGTATATTAAAATGTTAAATGCAGCTCCAAGGCTTCAATGAAGGCCATGACTCATCAAATGCCCTCCTTACAGCCTCGCATAACTCAACATATTAATGTGATTCCACTATAGAAGAAAGAAAGCAACAAAAAGTACTTGAGATCACGGTCCAAAGTGGTGATTTATGTCACTTAACACCTCCAATCATAAATATTTGGCATTTAGGACAAGATTTGATTAAACTTTTAAAACATTCACCATTAGAATAAGCTTATGATGCTATGATAGAACTTTTCAAGGCAAATCTACACAAAACTAAGCATTTGAGAAGTTACTCATGGTCAAAGTTTCAAAAGTTTAACCAAATCTTGTCCGAAACATTAAGCATTTATTGCAGGAGTGAATACTTTGGTTACACACCGAGCTCGGTAAAAGACACCACCTTCAACCCCCACAAAAATCCCAAAAGACTCCGTCTTCTATAAAGACCATGAGCACCCAAAAAAAAAATCTCAGAAAACAAGTTCTTAATGCGCATCAAAGGCATCAATAGGATTGCAAAGTAAATTACCAAAAAAAACAGAGAGAGAAATAAAACTGAAAGCGGAGAGAGAATGGACCACCTCCACACATTTCTAACCAAGAGAAAATTTTGGGCACCCGAATCTCCCGATCACGCACCAACCACTACGCGAGCAACCGCAAAGCACGTCACGAACACCACCACTACCCACTTCACCTCAAAACCCAAACGTCAAAGGCCACGCACAGTAACTTTTACCCCCAAAAAAAAGAACAGGAGAAAAAAATCAGAGCGGTGAGGGGTTTGAACTAGACACATTTTTCTCAAGGGAGAAAATGAAAAAAAAAATCGAGCCTCCGATCGCGTACCAAACCACTGCACGCAAGCGAGTCGTGAAACCACCACCAAAAACCCCACTTCGCCTCAAAACCCCAAACCCCCCCAAGCCCCGGTTCTCGCAAAAAACAACCACCCACGAGCACTCCGGCGCCGGCCGCGGAGCGCATGCACACACGCACACACGAACCACCGGAATCCACGGCGGTGGTAGCGAACCAACCCCCCCACCACCAAAAAAAAAAACGAAGCGCGAGTGATAGCGGAAGGAAGCTAGGGCTTGGCGGTGGCGGCGGGCATTACCGGGAGGGATCGGAGGCGAGGCGGAGACGGAGGCGGCGGCCACGGCGGCGAGCGCGCAGCGGGTGAGGAGGCGGCGGCGGTGGGATTTTGGGCGCGGCGAAGCGGGGCGTGTTTTGTGCTGGCGATACGAAGGAGCATTGAAGGCGGACGCCGCTTCCGCTCGCCTACTAGCCTTAGGGCTTATTCGGATCGGAGGGTAAACTCAGGAAAAACATAGGATCTGCATTCCTATGGATTCGGGTACTGTAGCAGCATTCGGATCAAAGGAATCCCCTGTAGGAAAATCAGAGGAAATTCGAAGGAAAATTTCCTTGGCCATCCATTCCACAGGAAAACAAACAATCCACTCCAACCTCTTTTTATTTTTCCTGTGCATGGGAACGAGGCAATCAACAAACTAATCTTCACAAGCTTCACTCCTCTGACACATGATGATTTTAGTTAGTGGGTAGGTTCTTTAAAAATTCCTATGTTTTTCCTACGCTCTATCCGAACGCATGTTTATATAGTATTCCTATGTTTTTCAATTCTCTGTTTTACACGTGCATTCCTATCATATTCCTATGATTTTCCTATTCCTGTGTTTTTTCAATCCTCCATTCCGAATAAGCCCTAAGCCTATATAGCCTCGCCACGTGGGATTGTTCTTTTTGTTTCTTTTTCTTTTTTTTTTACCGTTGCAGTAATTGTGACCGTCCGCCAACCTCACACATCAAAACAAGTCTTTTCTTTTTCACCGTTACAGTAATTTTTGACCGTCCGCCAACGTCACACATCAAAACAAGTCTTTTCTTTTTCACCGTTGCAGTAATTTTGACCGTCCGCCAACGTCACACGTCAAAACAAGTCACAAGGTTATCTCTTCTACCATAACGGCAGTAGTATTAGAGCAAGTTTAATAGTACAGCCAACAACGGACTTCAAATTATTTATAGCTAATCTAATAGCTTATTCATATAATAGTTAACTATAAAAATATACTCCCTCCGTCTTATAATATAAGGGACTTTGAGTTTTTGTTTGCACTGTTTGACCACTTGTCTTATTCAAAAAAAATTTAGAATTATTATTTTTTTTGACTTACTTTGTTATCCAAAGTACTTTAAGCGTAGCTTTTCGTTTTTTATATTTGCACAATTTTTTTTAATAAGACAAGTGGTCAAACAATGCAAATAAAAACTCAAAATCTCTTATATTATAGAACGGAGAGAGTACTACACTATTAATATTTGGTCACACCTCTCATACACATATAATGTCTTGGAGTCCATGTTGACATATAATGTCTTGGAGTCCATGTTGCAGCTGGCTACAAATCTGTAGCCCGCTTTTTTCTCTCTCTTCTGGATATGTGGTTATAGCTCAATATGTGGTTATAGCTTGTTTATATTCTGCTATTGTACCTGCTCTTAAAGATTGACACGAGGGAACCCACATTGGAAGATATACGGTCCCCACATATTAATGGCTATAATGGTAGTGTCGTTATGATAGAGAATAATTAATCATCCAGTCATGAAACAATTTATATTAGAGTAAATTTCATAAAACTACAGATACTTTGCACGATCTATCACAAAACTATATATTTAAAAAATTGTTTCACAAAACTACAGATTTAGTGTCTTCATTTAGCACAAAACTACAGGTACTTTGCACAGTATATCACAAAACTATATATTTAAGAATTTGTTTCACAAATCTATAGATTTAATATCTTCATTTATCACGAAACTACAGGTTTAGTGTCTCCATTATCACAAAGCTATATGTTTTACACTAAATCTATAGTTTTGTAAAACAAGTTCTTAAATATATAGTTTTGTAATAAATTATACAAAGTATATGTAGTTTTGTAATAGATTGTACACTAAATCTATAGTTTTATGAAACAAGTTCTTAAATATATAATTTGTGATAAATTATGCAAAATACCTGTAGTTTTGTGAAATTTACTCTTTATATTAAAATAATAAATACATTTTTAATTTATTTAAAATTTAATTGGGTTATTGGGTTTGCCATCTACACTTTTATTATCTCACCGCGTGAAATCACCGTGCATACCTTGTGTATTGTCTAACTAACCGCCATGAGTGCCTCACAACCACCAAAATTAAGTGTGTTGTGTGCATGGGCATGATCAGGTGAAATTTAGGTGCTTGTTTCCGTAGTTTGGTTTTAATTGAAATTACGTTGTTTTGCAGGAGAAGATGGGTAAACTTCGGTATCATTATCTTCCTCTAATAATCACATTAGTTGACAATTATGACTAACCAAGCACACTTAATGCTCTAATGTTTTGTGGCAAGGTTTAGAAATAATACAACATTATAAATAATACACTTTTAATGGAAAATTGTCAAAAAAAAAGATGTTGATTGTTCAAATCACAAATTTAGCACCCTATATAATAACCGTAGTTTGATAAGGTACCTGTGTTCGACAGGTACGCCTGTCGAATAACAACAGTTCGATAAATTAGTTGGCTTGATTAAAAAAGGAAAAGAGCAACCATGGATCCCAAGGTATGATACATCCCACTGCTAGGGATGAAAACGAGCCAAGCCAAGTCAGGCTTGCGGTGACTCGTAACAAATTAGGCTTGGCTTGGCTCAACTCGATTAGGAAACCAAGCTAAAACTTGATCTCGGCTCGGCTCGTTTCCTGACTCGAGCCAACTCAAGCTGGCTTGCAAGATTTCCTATTGAAACACCTCTTCATATATATTTTGTAATCATTAAAAAAATCAAGAACAAATCATCAACATATAAAATTTAAATAAGTTTATATATTCAATTCTTAATATCTTAATGAAAAATTTCAAATTGACAAATAATAACTCTATAAAAAATAAAATAATCCATATAAGCACATGATGGCCTAGACTCACGAGCCAAACAAAGCAGCTCACGAGTCAGCTCGGGCTCGGCTCATTTTAGCAACGAGCTGAAAAAGAGGCTTAGGTTTGGCTCATTTGACTTACGAGCTGAGCTAAGCCAACCAAGCCCGAGCTGATGAGTTCATGCGCCCGAGCTTTTTTTCCACCTCTACCCACAGCCCACTCACATTCACTCATCACTGTCCAGATTCATAGTATTATAATGCGTCACATCCGGTATTAGATTCGTTTTTTTTAAACGGTGGAGTATAGACCAAACGGCATATCTTAGCCTTAGTAAAATACTATAAATTTAAAGTTATGTATCCATGACTTCACTACTATATCACCAGATATTATTTGTGGCTTCTTCTACTATATTTGTTGGGCATTTATTTATGAGAAGTTCAACATATTATTATAGTCCCAAAAATAATGGTTAAAAATTGTAGTGCGAGAATTAAGGCCGTGTTCTTTTCAACTGTAACATCGAATTGTTAAAATGGATTATTTACTCCACACTTCGATATGTACATTTTAAAAAAATCTACCTCATTTCTTAAATTACTTGTTATAAACTATCTATAAAGTTTATTTCTTACAATATTTCATTTATACCTATAATATATTAATAATTCATAGTATAATAATCTAAATCACGACCTAATAAGATCATACTAGTAGTATGTAGAGCTATCATTCTAACTACCATAGCAGTCATTGAATCGCTATAATTAGCGTTATGGAAACTTTCGTCGTAGAGTCCGAGCCTCAGTTCATTGGAAAAGAGTCCATGAGTCATCATGGCCTCGTATGGTATGGAGGACAAAATATAGGCTATATAGCCACAAGCACATGGAAAGGGGTTAGGAATAGTATCTAATACTGTCACAACTCACCTTAGATTAGGTACAATAAACTATTAACCAACTATAAATATATTTTAAAGAGATAAAAGATAAGAGAGGAGAGCAGTGGGCTACTACAGCACGAACTTCAAAACATAATGTATATATAACAAGTGAGATCATATATTAATATTAATAGTATAGTAAACAACTATTATATGAATTGACTATTATATTGGTTATAAATGAATTGAAACTAGTAGTGGGTTATACTACTCCCTCCATCCCATATTAGTTGTTGTTCCAGGTAATTTAGCATCGATTAAGGTTTGAGAAAAAAAGACTATAGTATCTCTAATTAAATATTGTATGGTTGGATATAGGAGGGTGGTTAGGGGTAGAAAAGAGATAAATTTGAATTAGAAGTGATTGATGGGACAAATACTATTTCATTGTGATAACTATTTTAGGATAAAGTTTAAATGCTGAAGAGACAAGTAATTTGGGACAGAGGGGTATTAAACTTGCTCTTATACTCCAGTAAGGCTGCCACAGTTTTTTGTTGGTCACAATTAAGATAAAGTTAGCTAAGCGTTTAATAAGTCTAACATGTGAGCTAAGATGCTAAGAAAATACTATGGCAATAGTAACTGAGACAATAAATCCAATATATAACTAATGAGGAATAAGTAAGGTATAGCGTAATGTACGTGATAAGTTGGGATTTTCAACGAACCTGCTCTCGCTATGCACGATCCGTGCTAACCCAGACAGAGATGGAATAGCCGAGTAGTAGCCAGACAATTCAACATCCTCTCACGCGTTCCTGGAACGCTAGTTGTTTATATATATCGAGCATAGAAATATGTATAATCACTTTCTAGTGATACTAATACTACTAGTATCATACCCTATATTTTATTGTGAATCACACGAATAAATGTATGTTAACTATATAAAAATTATATAAAGAATATGAAGATGATGATTTGATATACTTGTATAGGTTGAACTCTATAATGAAATGTTAATGATGTGTGTTATGTTTGCACGATATTTAAGGGCATGTTCGGCTGCCCGTTAACGCGGCTGGGCTGTAGCAGCTTAAACAATGCTACTATTGATGATTCAGTTGTTGCAGACGTGAGATGCAACGCTGCGGCTGCACAGCAATGGCTGCCAAACACAGTCTTGGGTGATAATCAATCTTTGTGATAATCAATTAAGATGTTTTAAAATAGTAATACTATTGGGTGATGATGTACATCTTTGTGATAATCAATCTGGAAATATAGGAAGAACCGAAGGATTGGTGCAGATTCCGAGAAGGCACATTAGATACAGAAAATATCAAAAGAATCCACAATGCATACGTGATGACCTTTGGCTATTGTCTGCATATTTGTAGCTAAGAGCTCGTTTGCGTCAAGCCAATGTGAAACTTAAAGTAGGGCCAAAGCGAAAAAGGATATTACTATAAAAATTAGAGAAGGTTATATATATTGACCCTGTTTTGAAAAAGAGAATAGAAATATCATAGTAAGTCTCAAATAAATTTCACACTAAAAAAAGAGGAGTTCTTTGATTCCCCCCCTCCCCCCAACACCTTGATGGCACGAGAGGGCGAGGAGATCATCGCCCAGAAACATAGTACGTGGTCCTCCCGCCAAGGGA